TCAGAGAGGGCAGTGGGGCGGATGCTTTCAGGCAAAGCTAAAATCACTGGATTATGAAATTTGGCCTCCGGCAGCAGGAGGGGGGAACCGTGTGCTTTTCCGGAGGTCTGGGGCCTGTGAGAGCAGGGAGTGGGCAAAGGGGAGGAAGACAGCAGGTGGGGGCTGGGAGCCCGGCAAGGCTGTGGAAGACCAGGCGCCGGGGGCACACTGCCTGGCCCAGCCCGACCTCCGCGGAGGGCGCCGTGACCAGGGCAGGAGGAGGGAAGGGCGCGCGCGCAGGGGACGGAGGCGTCGCTTCGTCGCACAGGAATCTGCGGGGCCTCAGGATTTGGGGAGGAGAGCAACCCTCGCCCATGGGCCGCGCAGACCCGGCCGGGAACGCCCCCGCGTCGCGCCGCTAGAAGCTCGCGGTTCCCGGACGCGACTCGGCGACCCGTGCGGCCTTAGCCGGGCCAGGGGCGCAGCGCTGGGCGGGCGAGGAGCCGAGGCCCCGGGGGCGCGGGGGCGCGCGGTCGCCCGCCGCCTGCAGGGCGCCCGCGCGGCGTGTCCGCGCCCTGGGGCGTGCAGGCCTGGAGACGCGGAGCCCGACCCTGGGGACGCGAGCGCAGGCCTGGGGCTGATTGTGATTGGGTAAGTCCTGATCTGGGAAGGGAAGTGGATGAACTCTGTCTTATCACATTTTTATGCCCTGTGCTTTTCCCCCCCCGGCTGCCTGCAAAGCTGGAATCCATCTGGTCTGTGTCCTTGCATCCATTCATGAAATGTCTCGTGCTGCCATCACCGGGCCCTCCCCAAGTGAAGTTGCTCAGTCATTCAGAGGAGCATCTGTGACAACTGAGATGACTTCTTTGTCAGTCCAGAGAGCCTAGGTTACTTATAGGATGTTCTTGAGTTAAGACAGGGCAGCGTGAATGTTTTCTCGAAGGGGTTGCTTCGTGGTAGCCAGTTTGTCTGGAAAAGCATCATTCCTTTCAGCTCATTCAGAATACAGCACTCGTTTCAGACAACCCTTTTAAGCAGAAATACAAAATTGAAAGTTATGATTACTGTTGAGTACTTGAATTTCTACAGGCAGAGGCTGTGGGCTATTAAGAGGCAGCTTTTTCAAAGTAAAAGTGGATGGTCGTTTCCTTGACCACTAGACAGGAGTGACTCCTGGAGATGGGACTCAGCCTTAACTTTGATGCACCAACAAATGAATACAATAAGCTAGGTCCTGTCTCCAAATGAATGGCTTTATTTTTTAAAAAAAGATTTTATGTACTTATTTTTAGAGAAGTGGAGAGAGGGAGAGAGAGAGTGAAACATCAATGTGTTGTTGCATTTTGTGTGCCCCATGTTGGGGCACTGCAACCCAGGCATGTGCCTTACACTGGGAATTGAACTGGGGACCCTTTGGTTCTCAATACAGCAGTTAACCCACTGAACCACACCAGCTAAGCCCAAATGGGTAGCCTTAAATGTACGCACTAAGCTGAATTTTATTATCTCAAAGGTATAAGGATCTAGTACATAATTGTTATATGTCTATGTAGTATGTAATAAGAGCTTGAACATTTCACCACTTTCAAGTTTGTTCCTTTTTTTGTAGGTCATATCATGAAAGTTGTGTACACTTTCTTAGAGTGTATGGCTTACGTAAGAGTCAATAGTTTACAGGGAATTCAAGACGTTCAATGGTTTGCATGAAATAACAATACAGTGCATGGCTGGAAGACAAGAGAAGCCAAAGAATCAAAGCAAGACATAAAATTAAAAGAAAAGGTACATTTTTAGAGATCCTGTCTTTAATTCACAATGTCAGTAACTTCTGACTCCTGGGAAGACACGCAGGTTAGCCGGCCTGAGTCCTGGGGCCAGCTCCGTCACTGGGGTCTTTGTGACCTCGGGCAGGCGAATGTTCCTCTTCAGAACTCTTCTGAGTTCTCTGGCCGAATATGTATGTCATTACACTGAGCTCTGAAGTTCAGGACGTTCCACGGAGGCCCAGAGACTTTGACGAAGCAGGGAAGAGCAGAGGAGGAAAAGTTGGAGACACGATGTAGAAGGAGGTGTGGTTTCAAGGCACCAATTTTATAGGGGTCTCCCCGCCTGCCCCACCCCAGCACCCCTGCATCTTGGAGACTCCTGTCCTCACAACACTTTGCAGTGAGTAGGAGCGCTCATCTCGGCAGGAGATGGTGCAATGTGAAGAGAGAAACTAGCTATTCGGAGATATCAGCTGCTGTAAGAACTGAATTTTCTTTTTTTATGAAGGAGAAAAGATTCCCCAGAAATGTCTTGAATTTGGAGACTATTTTTGGGTCTAGTTGCCAGGTAATCTTTTCAATTAAGCATGAACATTCAGAGTAATTATGGATTAAAAACATCTTCTTTAGAGCTACTAATTTAACCTCTGCCTATTGGTTCTTTCAACAAACAGAACATCTCTATGTGACAGGCATTGATTTAGGTGCTACAGATAAGGAAAACTATTTAATAAAGTGTCAAGATTATCACAATAAAAAGCTAAATATTGAAAGAGCTGTAAGCAACCTAAATGCCCACAGTAGATGAGTAGATAAGGGAGCTGTGGTACATAAATACAATGGAATATTACTCAGCCGTCAAAAGAGTGATATCTTACCATTTACGACAACATTGGTGGTCCTAGAGGGTATTGTGCTAAGTGAAATAAGTCAGACAGAGAAAGTCAAATACCATATGATTTCACTTATATGTGGAATCTAAAGAGCAAAATAAATGAACAAACAAAACAGAAATAGACTCACGATTGCAAAGAACAAACTGATGGTTGCCAGAGGGGAGGTGGGCTGGGTGGTTGGATGAAAAAGGTGAAGAGATTAAGAAGTACAAATAGTCATGGGATATGAAATACAGCATAAGGAATATAGCCAACAGTATTGTAACAGTTATGCATGGTGCTGGGGGGGTTCCAGACTTATCAGGGGGGCCGCTTCAGGATCACTTCATAAGATACAGAAATGTCTAACCCTTCTGCTGTACACCCAAAACCTATATAATATTGAATGTCAACTGCAATTGAAAGATTAAAAATGAATATAAAGAAAATTTAAAAAAAGAAAGAGAGGTGTATAGTCAGAAATGCCGTGGGAGGTGCAAGTTAACAAGAGCAGGGTTTTCATAGGGTAGCACTTGCTGACAATAATAGCAGTGAGAAGGATCAGCCTGGTGTAGCCAGCACATAATATGTAGCACTGATTTGGTAGGCACTTCACACACTTTATCTAACTTCAGTCTCACAACAACTGTACAAAACAGTTCACAGTGTTGTCACTGTTTTACAGACATAATAGATGCTGAGTCCACAAGAGGAGAAATTACTTGCTCAAAGCGCACAGCCCCATCAGTGGCAGAGCAAGATTCGAGTCCATCGCTGTTGTTACAGAGATCGTATCAAGGAACATGTTTTACTTGGTTCACCACCCTGAGGTTTAATATTATTTTGCAACAATGGCCAGTTACCTCATTTACCAGTATATATTTCTTAATGTTCAAAGTGATCTGTCTGATACAATTTTATGGATTGCCTCTTTTATGTCTTACATATTTTGATGTTTATCTGAAGAGATACTGTGTCATGTGCGAATGGTAAATAATTGATGGTTTTAAACCACCTGAAGAGGGTGCAAGGTAATGCAGCTTATTAGCGTGAAAGCTTGTCCTATATTCTTTTCTCTGGTACCCATTCTTTAACACCTTTGTCCTCAGAATTGCTTGGTTGTACTTAAGACATACAGCAATAAGAAGAAAAGGTCGTAATTCTGTTCTCTTTTATACAAGATGTGTTTGGAAGGCAGAGGTTCTTGCTAACCTCTGTTTAGCAAATTTATAGTACTAAATTTGTTTTTGAAATTCCCTTTGTTGAGGAGTACCTATAAGTAAATAACGAAAGGCAGAATTTATTTATTTATTAGTATTTCTTAAAACTCCATTTACATTCAGAAATACAAGTGTTGAAAATTAGGAACCATTGTAATTGAAAGCAAAAGCAAAGCTTTATTTTCATGAATGCTAGAGTGATGTCCCTCTTAGAAATAGTGAAAGTTGGCCCTGGCTGGTGTGGCTCGGTGGATTGAGTGCCGTCCTGCAAACCAAAGGGTTACCAGTTCTGTTCCTACACAGGGCACCTGCCTTGGTTGTGTGCCAGGTCCCCAGTAGAGGGCACATGAGAGGCAGCCACACATTGATGTTTCTCTCCATCTGTTTCTCTTCAACTTTCCCCTCTCTCTAAAAATAAATAAATAAAATCTTTTAAAAAAAGAAATAATGAAAGTTGACTTTCTCTCCAAATCACTTGTATCTTAAATTAATATAAACTATAACTTATTTGTTTGAGAAAGTATGTCTATAAAAATAGACTTTGTTTACTGTTAAACATTAGGAAGGTATTTTGACTTGAATGCAGTAAACGTTTGAGGAGATTCATTGAGAGTTAATGATTAACACTAACTGTGCTACGCCAGCCTGGTTTAAGACCTCATTTAAAATTTAGAGATTTCTTTTGTTAAGGTTTCCAATGTAAGTGTTTAGTGAGTCAAGAATATTTGACATATACTTTGGAGCTAGATGAAATCACTGAACAGAGCACCAGGACACCTGTCCAGAGGACAGGCGGAACCTGCAGTCCAGCTCACGGTTACTTGCCGTCCTGCACTGAAGTGAGGCTGTGTTTGTCCAGAGCTTTGGGAAACTTTTACCAGTCTGGCTAAGTCACAGAAAGTTGTTGGTTTTCACCCAGTTTAAATTAAGTTGCATGTAGGTTAATGGCAAACTTCATTCTAAGAAACTAAAACTAATAAGGTCCTGGGCCTCAGTTTCTTGAGGGCACGCAGTGTGTGTATGCACATGTGCAATTTTAGGGGGACAGGGCAGGAGGGAAGGGGCAACTTTACACAAAAGGGAATTTTAAAAGCCTTAATGAATAAAATTATGTCATTACATTAGAGATACTTTTAATATTTTATTTTATTTTTCAGAAGAGGACTGTCCAAAGGGTCTGGAAAACACAATTTTGCTGTGAAAAACAGAGATCCTTTACCTACACATTTTACAAGAAATGTGCAGAAGGCCGTTGATAAATATACCTGGTAAGAATTAGTTGGTGAAACACTTCGGATTGCGAAACCAAAACACAGCCATAATGAATGTGGGAAACAAAACTGGTGATGGGCATGAATTTCTAAAAGCATAAAGGCAGCTTTATTTTCAGAGAAAACTAAAAGTAGTGAAATGTTATATTGCATAACTATTTTAAAATTCAGTGTGCTGTGAAATTCACATATATTTAAAGAAAGAAAAAGGAAGTACCTCAGAGAAGTGCAGCCACTTTCCAGACTAGCCTCTTCCCAGGAAAGGTCATTTATGTTCCCTACGTTTGTTCTGGCAGTGAGTCCGCATCCTCATTTTCATCCAACGGAAGCCCTGTGCCCACAGAGGCCCCCAGCTCCTGGTCTGCGTCCGGGACACAGAGTTCGACCACTGGCTTGTCTACCGAAAGGAGCTCCGTTTACTCTTGGAGAGATGACGTATGTCTCTGAATACTTTGGATAATCACATGATCGCCATGTATAATGAAGTGCTTTTTAGTTTTTGAAAAAATCTTTGTACCAATTTTACATGCGTTACCTATTACGCACATACATAGCCATACATATAAAAGCATTTCCATGTCACACGTAAAAACTTAAAAATACAGAAAACAAAAGGAAAAATAAAAATCACTCAGATTCTCATAACTCAGAGTCTTAGCTGTTGGTAGTTTTGTCTTTCCTCCTTCTCCCTCCCCGTCAGTGTATTATATATGATTTCTTGCATGAAATCTATGGCTGGAAATTCAGGACAGGTGCTGACCTTAGGAACTCAAATTAGAGAAAAATTGGGGAGAAGTAAAAACTAAAATATCACCATGATTAGAGAATTTCTAAGTAGGATGTTTTACTCACACCTTCTAAAGCTTGTGGAAACTGTTAACTTTAACCCCATTTTTGTTCTTTTCGCGAGGGGGCTTTGCAGCTGGGCGAGCTTTCCGTCCGCAGCCGGGCACTCTTGTCGATAGCGCGGCCAGTCCCCTGGCGCCCTAGGCCCCACAGGGTCCCTGAGGATCCCGGGGCCCGGCCTTCGGTGAAGCCCTCGTGGCTGGGAAGAGCCTCTACTAGAGCGCACTGGATGTTCTACGCTCTGCCCTTTGCTTGTGTTCTGTTTTTCTTTGCCGTCTTTAAAAGCAGTTCTCCACTGGCTCCTCTTCCTCCTTCAGTGTTAGAGGTGGCAGCGGGGATTCCCGAAATGTGGGAGAGGGCCCGGGAGGCGAGCCAGCGCGGAAGCACTCAGGGCTTCTTCACAGAAGATGTGGCTCTCACTTCTGATAAGCAGCCTCTGCCTCACACCCACTCCCTGCCACCTCACTCACGCCCTTTGCCCCACGGGGATGCAGGTGGGAAGAAGGCTGAGAATCACTGCTTCATACTGTCCAAATTCTAAGTTTCCTTGAGTACACGTTTTCATGTCATTATCAGAGAGATTCGTATTACTTTCCTTTACAGAAGGCATCATCATTCCAGAGCCAACCGTTGCTTTGAAACAGTGTCATTTACTTTTTGATGGGTAACATTGGCAAAAGTAACCAAATGCAAAAGAGAGAAAATGGGAAGAAAGCCCTCTTCCAGGCCCCAGCCACCCAGGACCCTCCTAAGAGGCATATATTATTATTATTATTGATTTTCTCCTTATTTGCATTTTTAAAAGAGAATTCAGCTCCCTGCCACCTGGGAATCTAGTTTATTATCAATTGGAGGGAAGAAGTAACACAGAAAATACTGAATAGTATTCTATGCAAATCAACCTGAATATACCATTTGGATCAGGTGGGTCAGACTAAAGACTAAATACGCACTTTGTGGCTCTGAGTTCTGGATTAGATTCCAGGCTCACACATCCCCGGAAGAAAATAAAGTCAGGGCTTTCGCGTGGGAGGCTGCCGGTTCGGTGTTAGCTCTCTCCCAGCTGCGGCAGTGTTCATGTCTTCATTGGTTCTGAGCGCTGCTGGACTGTTGTTGCTTCCCAGTCACCAAGAACATGCAGAAAGGCCAACAGGTTTTCTCACATCACGGCAACCACAGCCCAAGAGCCTCCTTAGGTCAGGCAGGAGAGATGGCTACTCTGGCCTCGCCCTAAGAACCACACTCCAGGATGGTTTTTCTTTCATTGATCAAAAGCATACTAATGGCCCTTCTATAAAAGTAATTTTCCTTTTCAGTGGTAAAATCAGATTAAAAAAATAGTTTGTATTTTGCAGAGGTGCTTAGGTGCATCACACCCAACTCTATGACGGACGTGTATCTGTGTGTATATATACAGATATTTGAGTGCGTACAGGTACATAGGTGTGTGTATGTCTAAGTATCTTTTATCAAAATATGTGTCAATATGTATACCTATATCTATGTAAAACCTAATAGGTCTTATAACCCACGTGGTGAAAATGATCTCTACTTAACAAAGAAACCGAGGCTCAGAGTGAGATGTAATTTATCGGAAGAGTAAAAGCTGCAGCAGCGGTGTGTCTGACCACAGAGTCCACTTTTTTTGTCACGTCGTACTTCCTCCTCTATGATGGGTGCTTTAAATATGTAAGCAGCACTGATTACGCGGCCAATATTTCTAGAACTTCTAGTCTTGTAACTAAGTGTGCATTTATTTCTGTTTTAGGAGTTTGACAAAACCAGCGCACAGAAAGTACAGAAGTTGTTCTGGGAGGTCGAGGAAATGTTATTTGAAGGGAACGAGAGCCCTCAGACCCAGAACCTCGTGGCCGAATGCGCTGAGTGGGCACGACGGTCTGTCCACCTGAGGTAGGGAGGCCAGTCACAGGAGCTCCCCAGGGCGGGTTTCGGCACTCCTCTCTCCGGACTGGCCTAACATGATGAGTGCATTTTGACTGAAACGTGTACCCACAACACATGCCCTCTGCTGAGAGATCGCATCCTTTGCAAGAGTGTCATAGGAAACAGGGAGACATCCCAACACTCCAGTGCATTTTAATTGGTGAGAAGCACATTCAGCTCATCCCCAGAAAGGCATGGCATGCGTAAGGAGAGTGAGTGGCAGAAGTTACCCTTTGCCTTCGCATTCACTGATGCGTGAGTCACATGCGCGTGTCCTCAGTGCTGGGAGCAGGGCACAGGGCGGGGGTGGGGAAGGGTCAGAGTAATTATTTGCAGACGGATTGGACAGACGAACTTTACCATGGCACCAAGGTTCCTTATGGAAGAGGGACCATTTGTTGTTTTTCTATCAAAGATGGAGAATATAGATTGGACATAAAGGGAAGCTTTTCTTCCTTCAATTACTCAGCCAAAGTACTTAGGGGAAAAATCCATACAAGTTATCAGAAGTTGCTGTTATATATATATATATCTATATATATCTAAGGGAAAAGAAGTTAATGTCCCTGATGGAATAGTCAGGTATTGTCACAAGAATTTTTAAAACATGTAGTACCTGACTACTTATATAAGGGCACTGACCTATGTACCCTCAAGAAATGTTAAAGCATGCAGCACCTGGCTATTTACTCTCAAGAATTTTTAAAACATGCAGTACCTGACTATTTTGTTAGGGTCAAGGACCTATTTTCCCTTAGACTGTCAAATAAAAAAATGACAACAACCCACACAACAGTAACCATCCTCCGTGACGGATTCAAAATTATACTTATTTTTTTGTCAGATCAGTCAAAAACAGTATATTTTTTGGTGTGCCACAGATTTTAAGTAATTAGTTTATGTGTGCCACGAGACGAAAAAGTTTGAAAGTCATTGCCCTAAAGGTAAGGATATGATAGATATTATCTCCAAGCCACTCATTGGTCCCACAAGGTGACTATTAGTATTTTGTCTTGCATACACAGTCCCACAAATGAAATCAGTGGCTTAGAGAACTGGGGAACCCAGCCTCAAGCCTGTCCATCAGTAGCAAGAAATGTCAGTCTGGCCTCTCCTTCAAAGCTTTTCTGTGATGTCATATGATGTTTCTCATGTACCAGCATGTACCTAATTGTTTCGTACATGGTCCTTCAAAATGGTATTTCATTTTACTTAAAATTGCAAAACTTTTTTCCTTTTCCAATTAAAAATATTAGTATATAGAGTTTTTTTTCCCTAAACCTTGCAGAGTATTAGGAAGACAGATCGTCCTGCCAACTGATGAAGGGGTCCGCCACTTCCAGGGCAGCGAGCCTCATTCCACGGTCCACGAGTCCTTCTCAGGCACCCGTGAATGGAACAGCAACATCAGGCAGTAAGTTCCTACAAACTGCTTTCCAAAAGTATTTTTAATTGCATTTAGTTGTACTTTTTCATGTCTCTCTTAGCCATGAGCCTCTGCTCTACCACTTTGGAAGTTTAGATTTCAATGTAGGGCAGGTATGGAGCATTATTTTCACAAGATGCTTCTGATTCTAAATTGGGGATGATGCTGACGACGTGTGTGTGTGTGTGTAGTGCAGATATCAAGGGAGTTAACTTTTCAAGTTTTGTCCCAAAGAATCTCTGAAAGGTGAGCTGGATGCAAAATCAAAACTGATGGATCCTAAGCCCCAAGGCAATAGCAGCAGAAGAAATTAAGCTCTGAAAAAAAGAAGAAATATTCTTTTGCTCACAACTGATTTCGATAAATCCCTCTAGGCTAGCCACATGTATTTGGAACAGTGCCATGACATCCTTTCATGACAGCGAAGAGGATACGAACTCATAGGACAATTTAGGCTTTCAAGAAGCCCTTAAAAAGTTTAATGATACCTGTGTTAAAAATGTTGCTTTTAAGGATATGACTTTTGTTAAACATAATTTTTAGTGATTTTCAAATGTGGGACTCTGTGCTGTATGAATAAAGACCTGCCATAATCACACAAACATTGTATTCTTGATGTTCCACAAGCTCTCATGGAGAATCTGCTTTTTCCCATAGGTTGTGCATCTCGGGCTCTCAAATACTCCCAGCAGCACTTGCAGCCCCGGCCATGCCCGGTCCCGACTACACGGGAGTGGCCGACCTAATGGCGTGTTCTTCCCTGCAAGAAGAGGTCTATGATGTGGAAGGAAAGATTGAAGAATATTTCGCTTTTGACAGAAAAGAGGAGTGAATAGAATTTTATTTGACATTAACTTAATAGTTTAGTAATATTAATTTATTTGGTATTTATTTAGATTACATGTTCCTTTAGTGTTTTGTGTATATTTCATGTATCCAAAAGATTTCATGTTCTTTGGAGGGTAACGTGTTCTCAAAATATGCTCCTAGCAGGAACCATTCAAGCTGGAGGAGTGGCTCCCTTCCTTTTTGATCATGTGGAGCAGATAGAAAGTAGGAATTGTGTTTAGCACGCCGGTGGGCGTGGACAAGCTCTCATTGGGCCTGGTGCCCGGGAGCTCCAGGTCCCCTATACCTGGCTGCCCAGAGGACAAAGGAGATGCTCCAGTCTCTGCAAAAATGCACATTTGGTCCTTAAACATAAACTACAAGTATTATATAATAAAAATTTGCCTTTTGTGATTGAAAATTGGTACATTAAAAATTAACAATGTGTTTAAAAAAGAGTGTCATACACATATATAGTGTACCTCTATGCATGCCTATTAGATAGCTAGCTAGCATTATTTACCTTCAGCTGTTGATTGTCTCAGTAATTAGAATGGGTTTCGTCCTTAGTGATGATGAACGCATTGGATCAAAATCAGCTCACCGTTACAGGACGTGGCGTAAACACGGACTTCCTCCCGTGTCTCCTCATGAGTGCATCAAAGATGCCGTGGCTGCAGAAGTGTTCGATCACATGTGGACAAACGTGGTAGAAATATTGGAGAAGCTGATTAGAAAAAACTGGGAAACTGCATTCACAGGTACTTATTGCAGTAGTGCTTGGCCTAATGAAAAGAAAAAAAGACCCGTTTCTCAGCATTGTGCCCCACCCCCAGCCTGGCCTTACCTAGGCCGTGATCCAGGTGGGAGGAAAGTGGGTGTTCTTGCCTTCATTCACAAGTGACTTTCAATCGCTTCAAAAAGGACATTACCTTTTTTGAGCTGTAAAAATAATCTGTATGTACTCTAGAAAAGAACCCCACAGAAATACACAAAAAAGAGGCTAGAGGTCACATTTTTAAAAATGTATGATGGTAAAAACCAACCAACCAACAAACAAAAACACACCTAACTAATCTCTAATAATGGGATATTGGTTTTTAATTGTTTTTGACATTATTTGTAAAGTAATATGTAAACATGGATAATTTAATAATCATTTCATTTAACCTTATGAAATGTTTTCTAAACTACTTAAAATTGAGCAAAAGCAAATCATAGAAATGTTAGTGGTGGACTGGTATTATGTAATCACTTCGTGCAATAGAGTACATAATCATGCTAATTTAAATATTATTCTTTTTTCCTGCCAGAGGGATTAATCAGGATTTCATAAAATATCAAGAATCCTTCTTCCTTCAGCATATAATCTCTAGTTTTCTGCCTCATACTGAAGTGATAGGCATTTCATTATGTGTGGGTGGAAAAGTGTCATATCAGCCGATTGCTTCATGGCAACTCTGCCTTCCACAGGGAGGTTCTGTGGCCACAGCTGACTCATGGTGACTCAGAAACAAATATTTTCTTTGAACTGTGAATCTGAAGTATGTAGATTAGATAACATGTTTCTTAATACCATTGTATTTTCTGTTGACACAGGAAGAAAAAAACAGAAAGAAAACTTGAGAGGAGCTGAGACTAAATCTCCACAGGTACTCGTTTCCCGCCTTACCACCACCATGTCGAGTGTTCCTCCATCCAGAAGTTCAGAAACTCGAAGCCTCTCCCTGCCTTCTCATCTTAATCCGCCTCAGGTGAACACTTTTCTGCTCGTCTCTCTCGTTCCTTCAGCTGTTACATCTTTGGCTTCAGTTGTCAAGACTGCTCTTTTCTTGAATTTTATTATCAAGATATTCGAGTCTGTCATTAAGACTCACATTTAAAAATAACTGCTTCATGCAGTTTAATAGAACCACCATATTATTTAACAGAGTGGGGGAAGACAGATTTGAAACTTTTGATCAGGTTTGAGCTGACAGATTTTTGAAGAGAAAAAATGTGCCCCTCGCTATTTTTGGGTTACAGATGTTCTCTTCTCCTCCCACCAAAGTGACGAAAGAATCAGTGACCATATGTTGGGTTCATTCAACATTTATTGAATTTGTAGTAAGTGGACTGTAGTCGGTGCTTTGAAGAGATTTGTAGATAAAGAAATCATAGACCCTGGCCTAGTAAAACCAAAAGTATAAAAGAAGTCAGATTCAGTCCATTCATTCTGTGAGTGATGCGTGAAAAAGTGTTCTTGGAGAATAAAGGAGTAAGAAGTCTGCCTGGGTCATTTCAGGCAAAGGCATGAAGAAATGAAAGACAGGGTGTATTTAGAGAACAGTGATTAGACTTCGGGTTGCAAGGCCCAAGATGCTATGAATGCAGCCCAACACAAACTCATAAATTTACTTGAAGCCTTTTTTTGCTCATCAGTTTTCATTAGTGTTTGTGTATTTAACGTGTGGCCTAAGACAACCCTTCATCCAGTGTGGCCCAGAGACGCCAGATGGTTGGACACCTCTGGTCAGAGGATGGGGATACTGGGACCAGCAGGGACATTGTGGCAAGACCAGAGCTTTCGGGTGTGTTGTTTAACTTTTGTAAACTTTAGTTTCCTTATCTATAGAATGAGGATAATAATATATTGTCTAAGAGATTGTGCTGAGGATGACTCATGTAAATATGTGAGAGCTACTTACACAGAACCTGGCAACTAACCAGCTCAGTAAATTTTTCTTGAATTGTGCTCTTACTCAAAGACCCAGTGGAAAGTGAAACCCATTCCTGGGAGACCTTCAGTTGTGCTAAGAATTTGGGACTTTATGTTTCCTCAGCCCAGTGTGTGTAGGGGAGCAGAGAAAAGGGGTGAGAGAACATTCCTGGTCTCAAGGTACACCTAATTTAGTTGGAGAGATCCAGCCATGCCAAACAATTCTACACACACATGCACACACACAAGACGAGGCAATCTACTGGACAGTAGAGTGAATGAAAGTTTGAGCTTTGGGTGTAGACTACACGTTTGGAGGCTGACATTACAATTTATTAACTTTGTGATCTTGAATAAGTCCCTTTCTCTCAAAACCTCAGTTTCATTATCTATGGGACGTCTGAGGTAGGAAGCTGTAAGAATTAAAGGAGGCAAAACATTGTGTGGCACAGAGTAGGCACTCAGTTAGTGTTAGTTTTAGTATTATAGTTAGATACTAATTATGTATTATATTATATAATATATCATATTATTATATCACATTATATTATTATCCCTAGATGTCCCTGAGCTCATAAATGATGTAGAGTTCAAAGGAAAAACAGCATACCCTTCACAAGGTAGACTAAGACTTAACCAAACCCTAAACAACAGGCAAGCTTTGGTAAGCTGAAAAGAAAAGGGAGGATGGTCAAGGCAGAAGCAGAAATAATGCCCCTGGCCCAGGAGCAAATCCACAGAATGTCTTTGTAAGACTGAAAGGACGTGGGCCCTAACAGGGTGTATGCAGCAGTTCAGCGAGCAGTGGTTTGAACCAGGAACATCTGATCAGATTGCTTTATTCTCCAGTGTAAAGGCTTTACAATAAGTTTTCTTTGCTTTTGCTGTTCAAAAGAAACTTTTGGAATTGTTACCTACTTGTGATTTTTGGTCTCTTAAAACTGCTCTGACAGTTTAATAGTATTTCCCACTTTGCATAATAAAATATGCAGTATGAAGTTCATAGACATGAGCAGTCGATAACAACATAGGAAAGAACCTTCAAATATCAGGCAAAATAAATTCAAGAAACAGGGACATTTTTAAATTAAAGCAGCTTTTCACAGAGACTTTGTGGTTTTTATAGCTGTGTATGGTTTTAAAATATCTTTTCTTTGCCTATTTTTGAGGTTTTCTTTCGGATGATTGCCGAAAGAAAATGAATGGACAACAGTTAAAAGTATAGATAAATACTCATACAACTTATTTTGAAATAGCCAAAGCATTCTAGTAGTAATTACAGTAGGTCTTTATTCCTCTCACATTCTTTTTTATATACATTCAACATGAGGAAAATGTGATTGTGGTTGCTATGTCTGTTCTTGAACTACATTATAATTCTAGCTTCAGGTTTCCTGTTTGTCTAGATCTAATTACTTTGAATCCTAGTTGGACATGTTAGTGGGTGGAATCAAGAACCGACGATTGAGTCCTTGCTCTGTGGTCTCACCTATGTTATCCAATTTAATTCCTGTACTCATTCTATGAAGCAAGTGTCCTTGTTCCCAAAATAATAAAGATAAGGCAGTTAAAATTCCAAAGTAATCTCCCCAAAATCACCAACCAGGAAGAGGGCGGCACTGGGGCTCCAGTTCAGGCCCCTGGGACCCGGGGCTATCATGCCGGTCCCGGTCAGCTCAAGGGGAAAGCTGTGAAGGACAGGCCAGGAGAAGAGTTCCAAAGCAGGCTGGCAGTGAGGGGCGGGGACACCTTTGCTCTGCTCCTCCAGCTCTGCTCTGCCCCTTCTCACCCCGGTGTGCCTGGGAGGCAGCGTGAGCTGGCTCGCTGGCCCAGCAGCTGTTGGGAGCTGAAAGATGAGACAAGAATGAAGCCTGGCTTTGCTCTTCTCCTGGCTGCCAGACCGCAGTGTGTTGGTGACATTTCTTCAGCAGCCAACTTTGTGGCTCCAGGTTCAGGTGTAGGCATGTGTCCCACTGTTATAAATCTTGGGACATTAAGCTATCCCTTGTTAATTTGACTCCCCACGTCTTTATAAAATCTAGTCTCTTTATTAAATTTTCCTCAAATTAGCTACTTTGCATGTGGATTCCTGACGGTCATTTGTGATTGCCATGCCACTGGGTGCTTTTTCATTTTTATTGGTTTTTCTTTTCTCAGAGTCATCGCTTCTCCAACAATTTTTATAATGATCTGAACGGTGTGATGACAATTCAAGCAAAACCGCTTCAGCAGAGACCTACCCATTTGGCTGATAGGACACAGTATGTATAAGAAACAGCCTGCCAGCCACCTCCCTGTGTGGGGCACCCATGAGCACCGAGACTAGAGGCATGAGCAACTCACTCAGGGCAGGACCCAACCACTGTGAGGGAGTAAAAACACGCTCTTCTAATATCGACCGCAGAAGGATTACTAGTAGTTTGGGGCAGAAAAGAGAAAGAGAATGTGGCTGTGAATTCTGAATCTTATGGGTGATACTGTTTGGCCATAAACAATAAGAAGCTTAGATCTTTTTTCCCTGTTGATGATTCTTCATTGAAATTGGAAACGAATTGGAAATGATATTCTGTTTATTTTCAAGAGATGGTTAGGAGCATCTTCTATGAGCCAGGCACGGTTCTAGACCGAGCGAACGTCCCCTGTTCTTGCAGAGCTGACATGTGGGTCACTGACTTGATCTCTCTCCCCCAGGAATGACCAAGAAGACAAACCCGTGGGTGTAGGCACCAGTGCGCTTTCCTCGGCACGCCGTCGTATGGGACGGATCTCAGACACTCGGGAGCTACAGACTCCTTCCAAGAAAACACCGGCCCACAGGAGGCTGCCTTCACTGGCCTCAGGCTCACAGAAGATGAAAACCCCCATTGTGGATGGCGATGAGCTGCTTAAGGGAACAAAACTGTAAGTCTCTCGTGGGAAATCAAAGGTCACAGAGGACAGAGACCCTTGTCACTTAGAGCTCATGGATTACTCTGGACAAAGCGCCCTTTATCAAATTTATGTGGACACTTTCTTAAGCAGTTCATATGTTTGAATATTTATAGGAATTGAATATTGAATATTTGAATGTACGAGTATAACGTGAACTTTCTTTCAGCCGTACACTTAGCTGTGCCTGTAACTTACCGGCACCCCCACTGTGTCATCTCGCTTTGGAGACACTGCCTGGGCCATCTGCCACAGGCTTTCTGCAGCAAGAGAGGGAGTTATTAAAGGTCCCCCCCAGGAGCGGGAGGTGCACGCAACTGCCAACCCCTAACCAGCAACTGGACTCTTTCAAGATGTGTTACTTTTTGGTGGGTCAGTGTTTGTTTCATAGTCCGGACCTGAACTTTCCAGCTTTCTGGGGGCTGCTCCTCTCACTTCTTTGAAGATCCTGCTCCCTCCTGCCTTGTCACCCTGGCTGCCTGGGACCCGTTTGTGGCCCATGCCCGTGTCAGTAGCTCTTTCCTGGTCCTCGCCTCTTCCCCCTGGCCACCTGGGCTCCCCCATCAAATCCGTTCCTACTTCCTGTGCAGGTGAACTCGGACACCCCTGACTGTGCATCCGCCTTTGCTGCTCTCCGCTCCCTTTCTGGAGACACATATTTTCCAACGTATTTCTTGTTATTGCCATTCTCAGGGGTTCTGTTACACTCCCTTTCCGAACTCCTCCCTGGTGTGTGGAATATAATATTCCACAAATATACCCCACAGTTTAGGTACATTTTTATATCTGTGATTTATGCATGAAAAGAGTAAATTGTTTTGTTTTTTTTTTGTCCCTCCAAGAGCCAGTGTTTGTCCTTTGGGGACAGTAGCACAGTCTTTGGTCATGCGTACCTACTTCCCATTACCTCTCATCCCCGGCTTGGCTCCGGTCAACCCCTTCTTCTCTCAGACCCACAGACCCCCCGGTCCTGCACATTCTGACTCCCATGATTTAGGCCACATTCTGTCTTTCACTTTTATTGAAATAACATGCTCTTCCTAATTATCAAAGTATTATGAGTTCACTGTGGAATATTAGGACACTGCCAAAAATATAAGTAGAAATCAAAGATCAACACATACAAATATAAAAATGACAACTGTTGGGCAATTTACTACAATTTTTTTCTATAACTATATTTCTTCCTTCTTTTCTTCCCATTCTTTTTTTCCTAATACTAACATTATCTTATTATTACAGAGTGTAACACTTTTTCCTATACTTTTTTCTTAACATTCTTAATATTTTCCATATTATTAGATACTTTCGAAAGCATGATTTTAATGACTAAAATATAATCATGTGGGTGTATGATAATTTATTTATTATTGAGACTTTTATTCTATATTTTCTTTATTATAATATGCAGTAAGTATAATTTTATATAAGTCTCAATAAGGATGTCTTTAAATTGCTTCCTGGTGATACAGTCCGAGAACTAAAGCTACCTGATCAAAGGTTATGAATACTTTTAAGGCTCTTGAACATTTTTTCAAAGTTCTTCCCAGACTGGTTCTACCAACTTACAGTCCCACTGACAATACAAAAGACTATCATTTTTCTTTCAGCTGCAAAACTTTGAGTAGTATGTATATTTTAAAACTTGATAGGTCAAAAAATGGTTCTATTTTAATTTTCACAACCTTTTTATTAATAAATAAATAAATTAGAATCTATTTTCAGAATATCCATCTGTAGTCTTGTGTTTGAACCAAACAATTTAATTTTTCCATGTTAACTTCTGGTAGAGAAAGTCTCCTGTCATCATCATTATTTTTTTAATTAAAATTTACTTGGCCACCTTGACAAGTAAACTATACAATCTGGTTGTCAAATTTTTTAAGAAAGTGTCACATTGGACTTCATAGCATTACATTTATCGAAAGTGTAGGAAATAAGTCACATTTTCACAATATTTGGTTTCCCATTAAAAAACATAATGTTGCCTCTCTCTTTTATGACCATATATAAAGTTTTGTGGTTTTTCCAGATCGAGGCCCTGTCCATTTATAATTAATTTTTTCTTTCATAGATTGCTCTAGTCCCTAAATCACTACAATGCTGATATTCAAAGCCATATGCCATAGCACGTCATTATATAAACTGCATTGCATTGTACTCTGATTACTTTACGTGTTTTCAATAACTTGTGAACTCCGTAAGGGTTGGAACTAGCTCTCTGTTCTGCACAGTGGCTAGCGTAGCTGGGCACTCAGTAAATGCAGGTTAACAGTCATTGCTGAGCAAGGAGAAAGGTGACTGGAGTTGGTGGTCAGTCCCCTCCCCACATATAAATTCCTGACACGCTGCTCATTTCTTTTGGAGGAAGACTTCAGAGATAAAGAGCTCAGATTAGGAGCTTGTGGCAAGGTCTGTCCTCTGTCTTGGCACGTGGGTACTCAGTTACATGTTGTGTTTACAGGCAAACGGGCATAGACCACATGTCCTCCTCACCAATCCCACCCTCGCGGAGCAGGTTACCCCCCATAGGCGCTGAGGCAGCCGAGCAGAACGTGGCACTCCCCGGACCTCGCCCTGCCTCTGTAAGACTGATTTCATTATATTTAAGTGCATCATTTAGATAGTCTGTGGGAAAACAAATAAACAAACAAAATATAATCTTGGCACTTTGAAGCAAACTCTTTAACCAAAAATGTCTCCAAAATGGCAGATTATAGAGATATTTAATGATTTGTGAGGACTTACAGGGGACAGAAGGGTTAATTCACTGTTTTGCGAAATAAATGCGTGGCTTGAACTAAATCAGAAGGTCTGGGTGTGATGGTCAGGGTGGTGCCGTGAGGAAGACGGTGTGACCGGCGGTCAAGAGACGGACAGGCCTGTGTCTGCATCCTGCCGCACGAACGCTGTGTAATTTGGTGCAAATGAATCTCCTTGAGCCTCAAATTTTGTCATCTATAAAAGGGCAATACTGATTTCTACCTCAAAGATTTATTATAAGGGTTAAATGAGTGTATTGATGTTGAATAATGACTGGCATAAATTAGGAGCTCAGTCCAATGCCTCTGCCATTTTTATCAGCGGTCATTTTTACAGCTAACTTGACCATGTTCATTGCAATGTAGAGTCAGTATCTTCTTCACCCAAGCTCAACTCAGCTGTGCAATCACAAAAGATCTGGGAAGCCATGCTGCTGGAGATACGCATACCAGACTTTATAGTGACCACACACTTTGCTATGGTAGCTTGTGTCTACTTTATAAAACACTGAAGGACCCGCCTGTGGAAACATAAAGGCTTGGAGATAGAACAAACAACCATGGTGATGTTTTCTCTTGTGTTCCCTGCGTCTCCTGGAGCCCAGCATTGGTACCGTTCCCAGGAGGCCAGAGTGGCAGAGCATACATGTTCCATCGTTGAATACTGAAGCTTAGAGTGAAGCCATACAACAAGACAAATATCACCTTTAAAAAAAGCCTGATGCTTCACAAATGCAGAATTACATTTTTATTGTAGTTTAATTTTAAGAATTTGATGTGGTTAAGGTTTTTAATCCATATTCACGTACTAGGACATTTGTATTTTTTATCAGTCTAAAAATACAATTACATAATTAAAATATATTTTGGTATCTATGCTTAGTAGACCTTATACTTAGCAATATATAAACAAGTTTTCAAATGAATGAGTGAATGAAGCATATATAGATTTTCTTTTGTTTTTGAGGGTTTGCATTTCTTTCAAACAAGAACATATTATCTTTCATGTAGTACAGAGGAAGGCATGCACAATGTGTGTTAAGTGCAATACCTGATAACATGGCACGGTCACCTCGTCAGGAAAGATCGCTGGTCACCGAACAGTTTTCAAGGCCCAGCACAACCCATACGTTTCGGGTAGGTTCTCTGTTCACCATACTTTGGTGTTTTAAAACTGTCCAACCCAAGTGCCTATCAGTAGATGAGTGGACAAAGAAGCTGTGGTATATGAGTACAATGCAATGTTACTCAGTCATAAAAAAGAAGGAAATTTTACCATTTGCAATGGCATAGATAGACCTAGAGGGTACTATACTAAATGAAATAAGTCAGTCAGAGAAAAACAAATACCATATAATTTTGCTTATATGTGGAATCTAAAGGACAAAAGAAACAAAATAGAAACAGACTCATAGACACAGGTTGCCACAGAGGAGAGGGGCTGGGAGGCGAGGTGAACAAGGTGAAGGGATTGAGAAGCACTGATGGGTAGTTACAGAATAGTCATGGGGATGTAAAGTACCGGATCAGGAATGCAGTCAATAATATTATGATATTGTATCTGTGTATGGTGCCAGGCAGGTACTGGAAATATTAGGGCAATGTTTTGTAAAGCATGTGATTGTATGACCACTATGTTGAATGCCTGAAACTAATACAAAATAATATTGAATGTAAAAAAAAATACTTTTGAATAAATGGCATACAAGGAAAAAAATATCTGAAACAATAAAAACTCATCCCTTATTTTATTTTTCTTCTAACAGTCAGACATGCCTCAAAAAGGTTCATTGACACTGGTGGAATTTGCTGGTCACACCTGGGCAGGTCAAGGTTTCCTTACAGGTCAGTGTTCTTGATTTATAAATAAAATGATGTAATTTGTGAGGTTTCAGGTTTTGGAAAAGGCACTAGAAGGTTGCCTACTTTGATAAGACTGTTTTTGACCATGTCAAAAAAAATACTAAAGGTTTGTGGTCTATGGCCAGACCTCAGCAATCTTTATAAAGAGAAAAAGATTTGCAGATAGAAACTGCAAAGAAAAGCTGTTGCTGGTTGTAAAGGGGAAAATGCCTAAATGCCCTTGGTTAACTTAGGGCTTCACCCTCATAAAAAAGGAAAATTCTGCCTTTTGAGTTTTATGGGAAATTAGTATCTCTTTCAGCTGTAGAGTTTCATGCTTTTCTTCTAAACGAAACCCAAATCTTTGATTCTCTAAAGATCTAATTATAAAAATGCTTAATAAAATTCATACATACGTTCTATTTTAAATGTAGAGTTTTGCAGATAAGTGTGCTCTTTGAAGACTAAAGTACATAGTCTGAATGCAAGCCGATGATGTCTTCATTTTCAAACTGTGATAGACATTTTTGTCCCCGGAGGCAACATGGCATTGTTGTGAGGGGAGCCACTCTGGAACTGATGCTCGGGTGCCTGGCTCTCCCTCCTACTAGCTGAGCAGTCTCTGGGGTCCTGCAACCTCTCTGGGCCTCAGTTTCTTCTTTTATAATCACTGGAAAAATGTATGGAGAGGATCTGGTTAGAAGCCAGACAGACATTGTTTGCTCAAAAATTCTGAGCGTTTGTGTTATAGGTAACCTGAAATGTAAAGAATAATTTACTGTTTCTGGGACATACTTCATATATTATAATTTTACAATAAATTTAGCAAAATGTAAGCATTGGGACAATGCAGGTTTGTCACTGTTTACAAAAGCCCATCTATAGTTCTATAGCAGAGTGTTGTCAAAGATTCTTTAGCCCTTTGAGATTTTTCTCCAATGCTTCATAGCTCTAGGCTGCTCTATATTTTTGTTGGATTTTTTCTTACACATTCCCTAGTAATGTTAGCTGGCATGGTCAGCAACAACAGTTCTTCCTCTAAAAGGCAGGCACTACCAGGTGTTGCTCTTAACCTAGTTGTCGATGGTCCAGGGGAAAGTAGACTTCCAAGTTTGTTATTAATAAATTACAATGTGCTGACTGCTCACACTGGGCTAGATTCTGGGCTAAAGGCAGAGATTCCAACACCACTGATGTTCTGGGCTGTGCCTGAAGGAACGAACATTCAGTCTAGGGGGGAGACGGAGAAGGGTTATGGCAGTGGTGAGCAAGGCCACCTACCTGGATGTGCAGGTGGGCAAAGGGGCAGAGAGCCTTCTTGGAGAGGCAGGGACCACCAAATCAAAGGGAACATCCTGTGGGATGTGAGGGAGAAAGGAGTGAAGGCAGATCAGTGTGATTCTGTGGGAGGGACTGAAAGAGGAGCTTTGATTAATTTCTTATCAGAGACATTGACTGCAACAGGCTGAGTGGAGGTGTCGGCTATTTCATTGGGTGCACGGGAGTGGAGGGTAGGAGATTGAATTGGGCTCTGAATTGGTTTGAACTCCGCACTCTTAATTTTTCACTCAGTACTAAGTCAGTGTAGTCTCTTCTCTAACACTTGTGACAACTATTATTACTCATGGTTGAAGCCTTTTTTATTTCTATAGAAGTGAGTGAGGGTACATTAAGAGAGATGTTCCTTTGTTTCTAGGAATTATTTTCTTTTTTTCTGACAAGCAAGTGTGTGGTTTCTTTCCTACCTTTGCTTCCAAGTCGAAAAGCATCTGAAGCTATAAACTTGTCAACATACTGTTTTTGTGGCTGAAAAAAAAGACAGAGAAGGAGCTGATGGGGTATCCCTAACAGCGAGAAGGCAGCTGACTTTGCTTCCGCCCTGTGAAGCAGTGGGGCTGCCAGAGCCCCCTCCTCAATGGCCTAGAGCTCGGGGGTCCGCCTCCGGGGAGGAGCTTCCCACAAACCCACCGGCTCTGGGAGGACACGTGGTTTGGTGGAGGAAGAGCACCTTTCTTTTTTCTTGGGACTCCAAATCCCAAGCAGTTTTATGTAAATGATTGTTTTCTGGTTTCTATAAAAGTGATGTTAAAATACTTTTTTTCTTTTCAAAAATATCATCTGCGTGGGATATACAAAACAATCCTTTGGTGAGCTGGAATTTTTAACATTTGAGTGAGAATTACTTTTTTGGTTGGTGTTTCAGGGTCACAGTATCCACCCAAATCTTTTCAGAGGACAACTTGGACTTTCAGAAAGAGATTCCAGCTGGCATCTTGATGTTACTTTACCAGAACTACAGCACTTTGTTGGAGCATTCAGAGCCATAGCGTACCATTTACCACTTGAAAAATGGAAGAACAAATATTGTATTGTGTACCTGTTGGTCTGATGGCCTGAGATATTAAACTCTCTGAAAGAAATTCAGACAAACAGCTTAATTTTGAACACTTTGCATGATAAACAGAATGCAGGTCAATCTCACGAATCTTCTTTATTGGCAGCATTCCAATATGGCTTCTTTAGGCTTTGTCCTGAAGAATCCAATATATGTTAATAATTCATCCTTTTATCAATTATACAAAGACATACACATAATTAATGTACATATTCACACACTGCTTAATATATGAGAGTATATTTTCTGGTAATATGCCATTTTAGAACTTTGTGTCTTGACATATTTTTTGTGTTTCATTCCATCAAAACCCTAGTCACTAACAAACATTCCCTTCTTTAGAAAATAGCAAAATCACCTTCAGTATAGTTGCCAGTTTGACTAAGATTCAGGTTGCTCTCGTCATTGTCTGTAGTTTAGTCATAGACCTCTTTGAGGCATGGTAGTGGCTGAGTCTCGCAAGCTAATTTTGTTTAACTAGTTTTCCTGTTCAAATTCAGGCGCTCTGTTTCGATTTATTCCCAGTTTATTGGTTTTTACAACCAATCGATGGATTTTGATTATGAATATAAACATAATTAACGTAGATTGCATATGGTTTCATCTTTATTGTTTACGATGGAAGTGTTCATCCATTGGAGAGAAGGCTTCACAGCCGCAGCTGCCTCATTTCATCACAACCTGATCCTTCTCCAGATGTCCCCTGTGGACATAAAACCTTCCTGATCCCTCTGTCTAAGGCGAAGCTCCTTCCTCCCTGTGTCCTCTTGCCCTGCTCTGTTTTTCTTCAGAGCACGTATCCCTAGCCGACATTAACACCCCACGTGGAACAGAGAACGCGAAGAAGAGATGATCCATTGGAGGCACAGCTCTCGGGTCACTTCTCTCCTCCTCTCCCCCGTTGTTTTTCTTTATAGTAATTTAAGCCTTCTAAGGCTCATTTTGATCTTTTCAGATCTCAACTTGCCCTAATGTCTTCTTTTCTATCAGAGAATTGTATTTTATCAATTTAATTCTTATTAATCCAAAATGAAACTTTATATATATTGACATATATATTTCTATGTATAATAAATTATTTTCAGATGTATTTCTTGTCGTAAGAAGAGAGGACCATTGCCCACCTATCGATGTCTGGAAATGAAGAAGTGCGTTGGGGCTGGAATTAGTGTTCTCCTTTATCACAGAGTGATAAAACAAAAATCACCTTAGAGGCTTGCCTATGATCGCTACCTTTCCCTTTACATTCTCTAGTTGAATTTCTATAGTAATGGAAAATGTTAGGAAGTAGACAATGTTGGAGAATAATCACTGTATCTGTAGCTTTTTTGGATGGCCACGGCTCTGTAACTCTAGGTAACATCCCTAATGCTTACTAACATGCACAAAGAGCTTTCTAACTGCCACCAAATATTAGCTGGAAAGACATTCAAGAGGAAATATCAGCCTTAATTTTTCAGTTGTCAAATGTGAGGAATTTCTAGACATGTAAGTGGTCCGGACTCCCCATTTCTAAAGGCCTCTAGTTAGGGGCCCTCTGGTCCGAAGAACTGCTAAATGTGCCCTTTCTATTGACCTGGCTCTTTCCAAACCATTCAGGCTACTTTATATCAATTTCTAAGGACCATCCCAGTCCTCTTCTAATCAGCCCAGACTTCTTAGAAGAGAAAAGGATTGATGTGCATCCTCTACGAACATTAGAGTATCAAAAATGAATTATTTTTTTCATATAGAGAACCACTGAATAGATTTTGTGGTAGCTTTATTTTATTTGGCTTTGGAGTTTTGCAACAATAACAGAAAGAACTGTTATTTACATATACTGACAAAAATACTTCTAAAAATAGAAGCAAGAACAGTGACCCTGATTCATATCTTCTATTTTCAATTGGAAGAGAAAGTACCATTTTAGACATAACAAAAAGACAAGAGTTCTGCCACTGACTAAAAAGACCTGCACATAGCACAAATGTTGTAATAAAGACAACATTATATTTATAGGTTAATTAAATTTAGAAGTTAGTAAAATAACCCTTATATCAAGGATGGCATTTTTTGAACTGATTAGGTAAAAAATTAGGCCAGTGTTTTCATAATAATCATTGATAAATTAGTCATCTTAAAATTTCTCTGTGAAAAAGGCAAACTAAATTACTCCTGAGACCAATTTTTAAATGAAGGTTAGTGACTGCATTAATAAAATGTCTGTTAATTCATCCAAAAACAAAGAAGAAATGAAGGGATTTACAAGTAATATAAAGACATGTAAAATACCATAAAACTGCTAGATTTTATAAATTTAACAGAAGAAGTATCCATATTGACGTTATCCTGAACTAGAATGTAACTAACATATCAATTAAGAGGTACATTTTGTAATATGAATCATTTGTGTTTATATTTTTATTGTTTTCTTATGACTACAGATCATTGTTCAGGATTTTTAATTCTTTAATTTTTAATAAAGTGTTGGACGAGTTTTTAAAAAATTATTACATTTATAAAAGCTTGTTCAGATTCCCAATTTTTATATAATCAGTGTAAATAATCTTTCTACTGTGCAGTTTTTAATACTCAGGTTATTTACTCATTTATTTCTGACCATAGAGCAAATTTTCCCCCATGAATTCAAAATATATATCCATCTATGTTTGTGAGAGTTTTAACTCTTTTATGAGTCCTCCAATTTACTCTTTGTTTTGGAAGATTACACTCCTGTGTGGTGATCATCGTGGGTTTATTATTTCATTGAATATTCATCAAGCACTTTCTTTGTGTTAAGATTCTATTCTAAGTATTGGACTGAACAAGGCAAGATCTTCACCCTGACAGAAGTTAGATTCTAGTGGAAGAGACGATCCATTTTTTAATGTCATAAACCATTTGGGTACTATATTTTTATTGTCATTGTTTTCAATAAACAGATCTATGAAAACGTGACATTAGGTCAGATAGCAACAAATGCTGTAAAGAAACCTAAAACAGAGCTGCAACTTCAGAGAGAATAGTCAGAGAAGGCTTTCTTGTCAAGGTTCTATTGGAACAAAGATGCAAAGAAGATATGTTGATTTAAAAAACAGAATTCTGGACACAGGAAAAAAACACACAGACTTAAAACTGGAGCCTACCTGGAGATTTGAAGAACAGCAAAGAGGCCATTAGGACATAGAATGGAATTGGCAGGGGTGGGGGGGATAACAGGAGATGCTCAGTGAAACCATAGGAGCTGAGTTATTAGGATCCTTGTTGGCCTCGGAGACTGAAAGTTCCCTGAACTAGGAAACAACTGAGAAGTTCTGAGGACGGAGTGATGCAATCTGTCACGAGATGTTTCAATTACATGACGGTGCTGTTGCTGCTGAGACATCATGGGACTTTGGATTATGTTTTGAAAGTTGAGCCAGCAGGATTTGTCTTGGGATTAGAAGTGTAACTAAAGAATCAATATTGACTCCAAGGTTGTGGCTCAATACTTGGAGAGGTGGTGTGGTCTTTCATGGAAACGGGAGAAAATTCGAGAGGAGTGCATTTAGAACCATGCTGGGACATGTTAGGTTTGTGATGCCTAAGTGGAGGTGTGCAGGGATTTGGGAATCTGCACCTAGAATGTAGAGAAGAGGTATAGACTGGAAGTATACATTTTCCTACATATAGAGGAATTTACTGAAATGGATCAGAGAACCAAGACAGCGAGTATAAAGAAGCAGGGAGAAAAAGAGTTCTGGGCCCTGGGCCTTTTAATATCTAGAGGTATGGGCTATGACCACAAGGCAGCAAAACAGACTGAGAAGAATGGTGGGGGAGAATGGAAATAAGTGAATGTGGAATCCTTGAAGTCAGATGAGGGGGGAAGTTTTTCAAGGAATGAAAATGGACATATCACTGCTGATCTTTCAGATATTCAAATTTCAGTATACTATTACTGATTCGATATAATTTAGAGGAAAACATTTAAATTTGAAAAATACTACTTATTACCAAAGAAGAAATAGAAAATCTGGAAAGGTTTATATCTATTATAGACTTAAATCTATTATTAAGGTCTTTGTCTCAAAGAGAACTCCAAGTCCTAATGACTTCTATGGTTAATTCTTCCAAATATTTGAGGGGGGAAAATGGCATCAATAACACCAATATAAATTTTTTTTTGTAAGATAATAGGAAGTCATTTTGAAAGACGAGAGTAACTATGATACAAAACCTGATGAGGGTGTTGCAAAAAAGGGAAAATTATAGGCCAACCTCATGTCTGAACACTAAGCAAGATAGTGGCAAATCACATGCGTCGGGTATGAAGTGGGCACTATACACCATCCTGATTAGATCTATGTCAGGAATGCAAGTTTGGTCTACCATGTGCAAAATAACCAGTTAATGAACAAATGATGTCAAAGAAAACAACCCTGTGATTTTCCCGACAGACAAAGGTCTTTGAAAAAATTCATTCATAATAAAATTTTCTAGGAGGAAAAGGGAACAAGTTTCACTTGATTATGGGTAGAGAAAAAAAATTCTACAGCAAACTTCACAACTAAAGGTAAAATGTTAACTATAACCACTGAGATCAGAAGCAATGCAAAAAGTTTCTGCTAGCCACCAAAGTTATTCATCATTCTATAGGACATCCTGGCCAGCCCAATTAGGCAAGGTTTAAGTACAGAGTGTCTTAAAAATTGGGAAGAAAGAAAAAAATTTGTTCTTCAAAAACCAACATCATTGTGTACATAGAAAATCCAAAATAATCTATAGGTATACTTAAAAATCAGTATGTGATTTTAGCAAGCTCATTGAATAAAAAGTCAACATAAAAATTCACTTGCACTTCTACATACTAACAACAATTAGACAATATAAAAATTAGAAATATAAAAATATGATTTGTAATAGCCTCAAAAACATCAAACAATAAGAACTGACTTAATAAAATGGTCATATTAGCCAGGATTCTCCAGAGAACAGAATTAATAGGAAATATGTGTATATACATGAAATGAAATACATATGAGTATGAGACACCTGAAACAACCATTGGTCATAAAATAATAAGCTGTGGTACAAGCAACAGAATAAAACACAGCTATGAAAAGTAAGGGAAAACACTACACATAGCAATACAGAGTCATCTCATGGGAATAATGTTGAGTTTAAGACGACAGATGCAAGAGTACGTACACAATGAGTCTGTGTCCCATTGTATGACCGGGGGCAGTTACACAGAAGGACCATAAAACTGTACTTTTAAGTAATGTGCACTTAATCTGATCTTGGCCATTCAACAATTCATGACAGAGTTTTCCATTATCCTGATAATTTGCTATGTATAAGTATGTAAATAATAGAGTTGGATATTCAGCCAGAATTTATTTTTGTAATCTAAATTAAATATCTTTTTCATATTAGGAGTCGTTCCAAGTGACAGAAAATTTAAGGAAATCGAAGTGTTAACATTTACAAAGCTCTTCTGTGGTTTATACCATATTCTGTCCATGACTTTAACTTTCAAAAGCAGGTATTCCAAGAAAGGGAAACAAAGATCTTCCAAGTGGGAAGGGATGTGCCCTTGGACATAGCAGGAATCTTCAAGAGGGAAGGTTTCGAGACAACTTCCTACTCAGCTGGCTTAGCTCCATGAAGCGGTCACAAACGTAGGGAGACCGTCTATGCCACCTTCCCTGCACAAAGCACCCTTATGTCTCGGGGCGGGCATTCTAAGGTGCAGCACTGTGAACGGTGCTGCCAGTGTGAGGAGCGTCCCACCTGATAACAAACAGGGTGGGAAAGACGACTCAGGGAACATAGGGACCAGGCTTTTGTTCTCTCCTCCCTTTTCAAAAGATCCTCCGCAATCGCTTCCTCACCCACAAATTGCCTTGACGAAGCATGAGGAAATAATGACGTCATCCCTAAACCTGGTAGTCAGGTTCTACTTCAGCGGGCTGCGTACGATGGGGACCACACCACACTCCACGAAGGAGCCCCTTGCACAGCTTCTTGCACCCATTGCACCCTTTCCTGCTCTGGAACACTTCTTGCTCTTGTTTGCTGTCGCCAGAAGCACCGCCCCACCCCGTCTCAGCCCTTGGGGGCGTAGTGGTCTATCCCTCCTTCCATACACACAGATCAGCAGAGGGTCAGACAGAGACAAATCCCCCCGCGTCTTGGCTGAAATAGACTTTTGGAGAGAAGGAAACTCAAACCCATGAGATATACTTAAAAATATTAAATGCATTATGTATATTAAACTTATTGAATAATACCAAGGTCAAGTATAATAGAGTGTAAGTTCTTCTGACGGCCGCTCCGTAAAGTTGCTCAGTGTTTTTCGTCCCCGACGGTAGTCTGGCTGTAGAGAAAGAAACTCCCCCCCAAAGATGGCGTCGCATTATATACTCTGTTCTGCAACTTTTTACATTTTTTTTTTCCTATTTCATGAACTGATTTTCATCTCAGTGCCTGTAGATGGCTTAAAAAAAAAAACAACCCAAAAAACAATTGGAGGCGAGCTCGGGCAGGTTTCCCTGCGGCGCAGAGGTCCGGGAGGAGCGCAGACCAAGCCGGGCAACAGCTGCCAGGTAACACTGCTCCGACAGAGCAAAGAGGGGGCCCCCAGGGCGTTCCTCCGCTGTCCTCCTTGGCATTTGTTCTGTAAGTTAGGGACCTGCTCCCTGCAGCGGGACACGCCGAGCCCCGCCCCTTTGTAAGAAGAGTCGCGCGCAGACTCAGGACTGGGGTCTCTCGGCCTGGAAAGAGAAAATGGTAGTCAGGGAGCACAGCCCTCGGGCAGAGTTGCGGCACCCTTCCGCCGGTCCTGCCCTGCTCCTTCCGCAGGCTCGGCGGACTGTCACCCTTGTCTTTTGAGCGCCCTCCGGCATGAGGGTCTCTGCACCCAACCCCCCTCTCCCGGCGTCTCTGAGCTCCACCGCTTCCGGGGACTTGGACACCCATTCTCTCCCTACCCCCCGTCCCCACCCCGTGGTGTTCTCTGACGCGCTGGCTTTTTTGGGTCCCAAGGATATTTTGGAAAATATTTGGATCCCAACAGCATTACTCAGCTCTCTCGTGACCGGATAGCAAACTTGAACGAGTACTCCTGCGGTTAGTGTCCCGAAAGCTACTCTGGATCAAAGGAGGAAGCTGCCCCGAGCGGCCCCGGGGCGAAGCCAGGGTGCAGCCCACCTCCCGCGGACAGCCCGTCCCAGCCCGCTCCGCGGAAAACGCCGCCGGTTGCACGAGGAAACAGACCGGGGAGGTTAGGTACCCAACCGCGGGGAAGCAACAAAGCAAACCTCGAAAGGCCGAACTTCAATCCCGAAGTCTCTCTACTTGGATTTTAAAACATAACTGTTCGCTCTCGCTGGAATGCTCTCGGGTTCAGCAGAGGGGTCCTGTAACCGAAAAGCCCACCCCTGCCCCAGCGCGCTTCTCCATCACAAAGTTGCCTTGCGCGACTCCTCCCTCCTCCTCCCCTCTCCCCCGCAGAGGCTTTATTGACCTTCGGGACATTCTGTCTTCAGAAAGGGTCTTTCGGGCTTTTGTTTTCTGCTTGAGCCAAACACTGAGGCCCGTGCGTCTTACGTAAGCTTTTGCCCTTCACGATTATAACTCTCCCGAGACGCTTTCCTGGGGAGACTGGGAGGCTCTGCCCTAGTCCCGAGAGGCAGGGCAGCCCCCGCAGCGGAAACTCCCCGCTTCTGGGCGTCGGGGCTGGTGCCTACCCGCTGTCGCAGGGGTAAGGCCTCGTCGGACCTGGAGCCACCCCTTCGCGCTCCAGAAAGAGCCCGCATCCCGTCTGCCAGGCGCGCCCGCCTTCTGCGGTTTCGGAACTCCTCCCAGGAGCGGCAGGGTCTGGGTCACGCCCAGGCCCCGACGTCCTCTGTCTCAGTCCCCGCGCGAAGCCGACAGGTGGCACGATGGTGGCGATGTGGCTGGTGCACATCGGCCAGAAGCTGCTGCTCTGGGGCGCCTTGAGCGCCTTATCCCTGGCAGGCGTCACCGTCGTCCTGAGCCTCCTGCAGATATTGGCGAGCTCCGGAAGGAAATGGCTGCACATGAGGTCGATCCCGACCATTGAGGACAAGGCCTACCCCTTGGTGGGGCACTCGCTGATTCTGAAGCCAGACGGGGCAGGTAGGAGACCGCGCGCCCAGGCCGGCAGCATCCCCACCCGAGGGCCGGTGGGCTCGCTGCCCGCGAGCCGCCTAGCAGGGAGACCGGGGCGCTGCAGCACCTCCCGGAGCTGGAACTGCCCGTCGCAGCCTCGCTCATCAGCCTGCAGCACCACGGCTCAGGACGGAAGGGGGGCAGCTGGATGAGGGGCGACTCTGTCACCCCCTGGATAATATAATGTGTTCTGGCCAAGTCTGTCCAGTTTTTCCTATGATCCCCGGATCAATTGCTGGTGCCCTCTGTTCCATACGAAGTTTTTCTTTGTGTGTAACATCTGGCATAGAATGCAGTGTTTCTATACCCCGGGCCTTCTGCTTTTTCTCTTCTCCTTTTCCCAACTCCTGGCTGCTGTTGTCTCAAAAAACTGCCTGCCCTTTCTTCTTCTGTCTTTACTCTTAAAGCTCTGAAGACAGAACCCCCTTAAAACTTTCTCTCTCTCTCTCTCTCTCTTTCTCTCTCTCTCTCTCTCTCCCCCCCCTTCTCTCTCTCTGTCTCTCTGAAAATAAGGAACTAGAGATTCATTTCAGATCATGCTTCCCTCCAGAAGTCCCAAGACTTGACCACAACCTCTATTCCTTCTTGAACTCCGTACTTTAGCTCTTCTAAGAAATTATGTAATAATAAATTCTGATGGTGGGGCTTTCCCAAGAACTCATGCAGCAAGTTTTGAAAGCCTTGTTTACTACAGAGTGAATTTTTTTAATTGAAATCATCTTTTGAATAGAGGAATTTATATTATATTTTGCTGACGGGGGGGGGGAATCACTTTGAGTTAGAAAGCTCTTTAAAAAAGCACCTGCTATTTGCAATCCCCCATAAGGGAGGGTGCATTAGATCTGAGCTCTTTTGTCTTCATGATTGTGTAAGTTGAAATAACCAGAACTGAAAAGATTTGCCCAAAATGACATAGTTTAAAATGAGCCCAGGACCAGACCCAAATCTCCCCTCAGACTAATTGTTACAGATGTTTTACAGGCTGAACATTAACTCCAAAACTTAAAGGATGATTTCTTTTCCACTTTTCTTTCTCCAAATGAAAATAATGCTGTCATTTCAGCTTCTCAAGAATATGATGAGGCCTCATGGGAGAGTGTTACCAAAATATTGAAAATGTTTCTGGCAGAAGATATCCAAGTACACTTTTCACCCACCAGATATCAATGTGACTAATGTTACAAGTGTTGCAACAAATTTAGATACATGAAAACAACATTGTAAAATCATTATGGCTAATGCTAAAAGTTAATCTCCCTTTCTACCCTAAGGCTTTATAGTGTTAAAAAAAATAATTGTGTAGAAATATAGGCACCTCTCCACAACAAGACACAATATAATATACTTAAGAAATTGCATCATATTTTGAGGGGGGAGGATTTTTTTATGAATTAGAATCTCTAGTGCGTAAGATCCATTCAAAACAGTGATTTGATGGATTATTTAAAGTAGTTCTTTTTACAGTTACTTCCTGAGTGAAGAGAATGACAATACATTGTCTTTTACAAGGGGACTTTTTAATCCATCAGCAACTCTTAGATTTTGGCAACATTTGCACAGTTTCCAGCTGTGCAAAGCAAGTCATTTGACAAGTTGTTTAAAACTCTCCAAGTTACCGTGTGTTACCTCTGGATTACATTTAATGGATGCGTCATTTTCTAGATCGCTGCCTAGAACTTGGCCAAATTCTTTAATTGTCAATCGTCCATTTATTTGAGGCCTCCCTTTGTGCCCAGTATTGGGCTCAGCAAAATTGGGAATATCAGAACATTTTAAGATATATTCCTTGTTCTCAATCACCTTGTCTCTTATACAAGAGGCTGTGCCTTTGGTGTTACGTCTACTATCCAAATTCTGACCTCAGTAATCCCACCACCAGTTTTGCAATTGACTTCTAACGAGGCTCTTGAGCTCTCATTTCTATCTGTCCAGTTGTTTTAATATTTCCCCCTGACACCTGTCTTCCCCAGCTGCTCCCTGCTGTTGGAGTGACCTACCACTTTCATACCACAGATTTTGATTTCCCAGCCCCCTCTGTCAGGCCAGATCAAGACGGTCAGCTTATTGACATCCTACGTAGGTGTTGACACTGTCGATCTGATCTAGCTCTTTTCACAACTATTGAGCCAACTGTTTTGTCTGGAAGAAATTTTGGAGCAGTGTGGTGTAACGGTTAACATGGCCCTTTCTAGGTCTGGATGACTCTAGTGTGAAGCCAGCTTCCAACATCTACTAGCACTGTGATATTGTGCAAGTTAAACTCTGCACATATTCTTCAATTGTCCAATGGCTTTCATCATAGTGTTTTCCCATTTGACTGTGCTGAGGTGTAAAAGACCTAGGGCATCTAAAACCCTTAGCCCCTGTCCGATGTATGATTACCTGCCGCAGCAGATATATGTGATGTAATGAATGTTAGCCACTTTAGGATAATCATTATTAGGTTTTGATGTGCCAAAATGTGCAAATGCTTTGACAGATTATTACCGGCTCTTCACTGTCGTGTGCAGTGGACACCCCCAAGCCTCGGCCTCCTTCCCGCTGCTCTGAAGCCCTGGGATGGATAAGGAGCAGGGTTGAGCTGAGTATGTGAACATTTATTGAAAAACAGCTGAAGAGTTTGTTTGTTCATAATTTTTTTCCAGGCCATGCCAACCTCTCATGGTGCCCAAATTCCCATGTTCAAACAGCCCTGTCAAAATTTCAAGGGTCATAATAATGGCTTCACAGTGCGGTCGGCGTTGGTCCTGTTGCTGGCAATCGGGCGTTCAGTTTGCCTGGGAGAAGCCGGGGGTACCCATATGTCTCCCAGCTGGCCCGCCCTCCTCACCCTTCCCTACCTAGATTTTGCTAGTCGTCTGACAAGACGTCTGCCTCATTTCCTAACCGGTAGTCGACTCCCCTCCTAGAACTCCTGTGCTCTCTTGACCTCATGTTGTTTGACTTGGGCTCCCCCTATCTGTTGCGACGTCTATACTCGGAGATTTGGACTGTGGACACGGATCCTTGTCACTGTTTCTCCCCAGGTGGCCGTCATCAAAATGGCATTCCCTGAGAGTTTTGTCACTGTTTGACCTCTCTGAGTGTGGGGCTGCCTTCCCCAGACTGGGGCCTCAAGAATTTCAACACAGAAGGTGTTGGCTCCCAACTTTTTCCTCACGGCTTTAGTGTTGTTGGGATTAATGGTCACCATTTCCTCACTCCCAGCACAAGACCATAACGCAGGACCAGGGCCTCTAGCTCTGACTGCATTGAATCCCAGTCTTTTTTCTACCTCTCCCCAAAAAGCTTCCTGTGGTCCCAGGACATACAAGTTATTCATGGAGCTCACACAGCTCAGTCTCATTGTCCTAAAATACAACTCCAGTCATGCTAATTCTCATCAGAAACTTTCTGTTCCTGCCGAGAGCGTGTAAAAGAAAATCAAACTTCTGCCCTGGCTGGTGTGGCTCAGCGGGCTGAGTGCTGGCCTCCAAACCAAAGTGTCGCTCGTTCAATTCCCGGTTGGGGCACATGCCTGAGTTGTGGGCCAGGTACCCAGTTAGGGGTGTGCAAGAGGCAACCACACATTGATTTTTCTCTCACTCTCCCTCCCTTCCCCTCTCTCTAAAAATTAGTCAATAAAATCTTAAAAAAAAAAAAAGAAAAGAAAATCAGACTTCCATCGCCTTCCAACAGTGCAACCTCATCTACCGAAGTGATCATCCCTATCCTCTGCTTTGGCTGACCCTGCAGGGAAGTTTCAGACTTCCATGCCTCTGCTCTGCTGTTTCTGCTGCTTGATTTACATTCTCGTCCCTCACCCCAGCTTCCCCTTTTCTGACTATAGAAAGCCCAACTCATTCTTTTATGCTCACATGCCATCTCTTCCATGGAATTTCTCAGGTCCTCTCCAAGAAAATCACTAACTGGTCACACTTAAACTTCTGTGTTAACACCCACTTCATTTTATCTGATATTATGATTGGTTATAGATGTGACCATCTATGTTTATCAATTCCTTGCGAGTAGGGACCTGGTCCTTCGGAGGCACTCACTCCTTGCCTGCGGAATGCATCCTCATTTCTGGATGTGTCATATGATTGACTGTCAAATTCCCCTAGCTAATTCCTCCATTTTCCTCACTGCTGCTCAGAAATTTTTTTTAGCTTAATGATTCTTTATTAAGTTCACTATGACATTTCTTCCACATTTTGGTTATATTTTCAAACCAAATTCTAGCACTTGGATTCTTAAGTTACAAGTTTTATTGCCATATCAAAGGAAATACAGCCCTAGCTGGTGTGGCACAGTGGATTGAGCACAAGCCTGCGAACCAAAAAGTAGCTGGTTCGATTCCCAGCGTAGGGCACATGCCTGAGTTGCAGGCCAGGTCACCAGCAGGGGGTGTGTGAAATGCAACCAACCAGTAATGTTTCTCTCCCTCTCTTTCTCCTTCTCTTTCTCTCTCTTAAAATAAATAAATAAAATTTTTTAATCTTCTTTTTTAAAAAAAGAGAAAATATAGACAGAGGCAATTATTTATATATTTGTGTCTATATGTTCCTCTTCTACTAAAAAATATTTTTTAATCTTCCTCCAGCTTACTTTTTGTTCTCCAGCTTCAGAAATACAAAACTGCTTATTCTTTATAAAATTTTGTTTATTTAAATAATATTAGAACTACAGAAAAGTTGTAAAAATAGTACAGAGTTCACATAGGCCATCTGCCCAGCCCCCTCTAAAAGTGATATTTTACACAATTAATTTAATTATCAAAATTAGAAAATTAATATTTATACAATGTTGTTAATAAAACTATAGCCCTTATATGAATTTTACATTTCCTAGTAATGTCCTTTTTCTGTTTCAAGACTCAATCCAAAATCTCCCCTGGCATTTACTAGTTGTGTTTTCTTGTTCTTCAATACTAGCCTTTTGTAATCTGTGATCTTTCATCAGTCTTTCCATATAGGCCAAGTCTTTGACACTTTTGCTGAATCACGTATTTTGTAGAATAACTCTCAGTTTGGGCTTCTCTGTTGTTTTTTCATAGTTACATTGAGGTTATGCATTTTTGGCAAGAATACCATAAACGTGATGTTGAAAGCTTTTCCTCCAACATCAGAAAGACAAGGATGCCCACTCTCACATCTTTTATTCAACATAGTATGAGAAGCCCTAGCCAGAGCATTTAGCCAAGAAAAAGAACTAAGTCACCCAAATCAGAAAGGCGGAAATAAAACTGTCATCATTTGCAGATGACATGATTGTTTATGTAGAAAACCCAAACACCCAAACACTCCATGCGCGCACACACACACACACACACACACACACACACACCCCTGACTAGACAAGGCAATCTTGAGAAAGAAGAACAAAGTTGGAGGCATTACAATTCCTAATTTTAAATTATACTACAAAGTTATAGTAATGAAAACAGTATGGAATTGGCGTAAAAATATACACATTGATCAATGGAACAGAATTGAGAGCCCAGACATAAACCCATGCAAATATGGTCAATTAACTTTTGGCAAAGGAAACAAGAATGTACAATGAAAAATGGACAAACTATTAAACAAATGCCATCGGGCCTTGGCCAGGTATCTCAGTTGGCTTGAGCATCATCCTGATATGCCAAGGTTGTGGATTTGCTCTTTAGTCAGGGGAGCATACAAGAAGCAACCAATGATTGCATAAATAAGTGTGACAACAGATCTCTCTCTCTCTCTCTCAATTCAATCAATAAAAAAATACTCTTAGAAAACATGGGTCACTATCTTAAATTATTTTATTTATAAAATAAATAGGCCCTGCAGATGGAATACACAGTATGGTGACCATAATTAATAATACTGTACCTCATATTTGCAAATTGCTAAGAGAGTAGATCTTAAAGTTTCTCATCACATGAAAAAAAGTTGTAAGCATGTAAGGTGACAGATGTTACCTAGACTTAATGTAGTGATCATTTCATAATATATACAATATAAAGTCATTGTGTCTGTTGTATACCTGCATAATATATTATATGTCAATTACAACTCAGTTAGAAAAAGAATGTTGTAGAAGTGATGTTGTGTCCTTTATAGCACATCATATCACTGGGTATAGGAGACAATATGCTATTATTGAGCTTTGACTGATTGTTTAAAAGTGTATTTGCCAGGTTACTTCACTTTAAAGTTACTATTTTTCCCTTTGTAATTTATAAACATTATAGATAAAGATTAAAACTATAAATATTTAGATATACTTTGAGACTATGCAAATAGCTTGTTTCCCTCAAACCTTTAGCACCCCCTGGTTTTTACATCTCGGTAGACCTTGCCTGCAACAATATTACTGTGATGTTTGCCTAATGGTAGTTGTCTTTCCTTCATTTCTTCTAAATTCATTACTTAGAATTCTTCTGTAAGAAGAGTTATCCCTTAGCACTATGTATGTATGTATGTATGTATCCATTTATGTATGTATATCAGTATCAACTGCAGTGGCTTTATGCAATTTGATACTATCCCTATTTATTCTGTTGCTGAGATAGTTTCAGTGTTGGGAATTAGGAGCTCTTTCAGGTTGGCTCCTCAACATTTCAACAAGACCCCATCAGTTTTTGAGCAGTTCCTTATTTTCTGGCATTGCAATATATTCCACTCTTCTTGCATTTTCTCTGCCTTAACTCTGAAATCAATCACTTCCCCAAGAACAATTGGTTTATTTTATTGTAGAACAGTATTTAGAAATACTGAGATCTGGGTGCCCAAACAAGGACCAGGAGCCAACCTGGGAAGTTCTATTATCAGGTTTACTTTGCAAGAAAATCACATTTAAGATGCCATTTGAAGAATAAGTAGGCATTATTAGACAAAAAGCAGTAGGAATAAACATTTCCCACGAAAAGGTTCTGTGAAGTCTTGGAGACATGGGAGAAGTTGAAGGATTAGTAAAGCATGAGAGTTTTTTAAAATTATTTTTTATGGAGGTCATGCTGGTTAATAACATCATATAAATTTCAGGTGTACAATAGTATAATTTGTTATACTCTGTTGCATGCTCACAATCAAAAGTCTAGTTTCCATCTATTACCATTTGTTTGACCCCTATACCCATGATACCCATTTCTCCCCCTTCCCACTCCTCCCCACTGTCTTCTTCACCCTCCTTCCCCTTCCCAAAGTAACCCCCGCTTTGTTGTCTGTATCTCTGAGTTTGTTTTAGCTTTGTTGTGTTTATTCATTTGTTCCTTTTTTGTTTTATATGCCACATATGAGTGAATTAGACTGTTTTTGTCCCTTTCTGTCTTATTTCACTTAGCACAATACCCTTAAGGTCCATCCATGTTGTCACAAATGACAACATTTTATTCCTTCTTTATGGCTGAGTAGGATTCCATTGTGTGGAATCTTACTTACCCGCTCATCTTCTTCATCCATTCACCCGTTGGCGGACACCTAAGGGTGCTTCCATAGCCTGGCTGTTGTGAATAATGCTGCAGTGCACATGGGGGGACATATTTCTTTTTGAGTTAGTGTTTTCCTGGTCCCCAGAGGCATACCCAGAAGAAGAATTGCTGGATGGTATGATAGCTCTATTCTCAATTTTTTGAGGAGCTTCAGTACTGTCTCAGAGAGAGTGGAAGGGGGACTGGAAGCAGGGCCAGGAGACGTGTAACAGCCTCAGTGTGCCTGGGAAGGGCGCACGATATGGCTCCTCACAAGCATCCCAGGGTCTGGCGTCCACAGTTAGCCAGATTGTTGCATAGATGTTATTGCTTTTATAATTAAATTAAATTACCCTCGTATTTCATTCATTAAATCATTTTGTGGGGACTGTGTGGTTTACCTTTAAGATGAGAAAGACCTGGGAGATATTCAGTGAGTTGCCCAAAAGAAAAAAGTAAGAAAATCCTAGAAGACACAGTACGGGGGCTTCTTTAAAATTAACTATTTTCTCCTAGGTTTCTTTCAGCAGCTAATTGAGTACACTGAACGATACCGACATCTGCCACTGTTCACACTCTGGCTTGGCCCCATCCCACTGCTGCCCATGTATAACACAGAAGTTGCAGAGGTGAGCCTTGATGAATGCGATCACGCCTGCTTTCAGACTACGGCAACTTGAACGCCTCCAAGTCAACATACCCGACAATGAGCTTGTGATTTCCATCCCCTAGATGTGGGGCATCCTTAGATTCACCTGCCTCCTCTTCCTCACTCTCCACCCTCAGTCAGTGACTGTACTTGGTTCCTCGTTCATGGCAGGAACCAGGGAATCACAGGCATTTTCCCTTCTGTCACCTCCATTAGTCTCCAAGCCTGAGTGACCATTATTTGTTCAAAAGTCTAACTGGATTTGTTTGAGTCACGTGAATAAAAATGAATCACAGGAAAATAATAGTTATGAAACGTTGCTTTGAAAAGTAGTTGTATTCTACCCAGGTATTCTCATAATTGCGATTGTGTTGCCATCTGGATCTCTCAATTATTGTTTTTTCTCTTTCTAAGGCAATTTTATCTAATTCAAGGCAAATTGACAAATCCTATCTGTACAAGTTTCTAGAACCATGGCTTGGACTAGGACTCCTGACAAGGTATGTCAGTGCAAATTTGTAAAATTGTCTCCTGTGTAACTTAGGTCAGGCATTGAGACAAGGGGGTTTTCCCAGAGTAAGAACATGCTGTCCCACATTAGGGAGAAGCTGGAAGAAAAGGCTGGGCAAAAATGGGCCTTTGACAGACAGGACTCTGGGGTGTGTAGGAAACTCCACCATAGTTAATAGTGCTGATCACCAGGGTTCCAAGAAGAATGAGAAAGTCCTGATGTATCAATGGAGTGGAGGAAGCACAGGGTGTTTTGAGCAGGGAAATCTTGAAACTTCCATGAAAAGGCAGTCATCCTCGGAGAAGTATGGGGGGCCCAGTGTCCTCAGTCTCTGAGCTGACATCCAGAAACGGGACCCGGCTGACTGAAAGAGAGAAAGCAGGGCTTTGGTGGGGACATTGGAGGATCTGAAGGTGAGGGACATCAAAGCTGACTCATGGGGCTCATGGATCTTTGGAGGATCAAGTTTTGATAGAAGAGGACAAATCTAATTTTTTGAAACTCAGAACTTCGAAATTTAGAAAAGCCTTAAATTTTTCAAGTTTTAGGAATGCTCTTGTAAATATTAGTGATATAGAGGGATATCTAAATTATGTCCATTCTGTAACTGTATATATATGAATATTTCCTTGTCATTCTGACCAAAGCATTTGAGAATCTATAGATTAAGCTGTTTCAGAAGTTTGTTGTCTTTACTATATTTCATTTGTTTTGGATGTTGCTTTTATGTGTAACCATGCATTGTATTTCTAGTACTGGAAGCAAATGGCGCTCTAGGAGAAAAATGTTAACACCTACTTTCCATTTTACAATTCTGGAAGATTTCTTGGATATCATGAATGAACAAGCAAATATACTGATTAATAAGTTTGAAAAACACGTTAACGGAGAAGCCTTTAACTGCTTTGTTTACATCGCTCTTTGTGCCTTAGATATAATCTGTGGTAAGTCTCCTTGATTTGTTCCTAGATCTATGATGTAAAGATAAAATGGCCCAAAGAGAAAAGGACATTCCACCGGGAAAGCAAATGAAGGAACTGGAATGGCTCTTGGCTTCTCAAGGGTGGTCCCACGGCTCAGTCAGCGCCCTGAAGAGGCAGCAGCCACTGCCAGGGCCTCAAGCAAAGCTGTCACGGAGCCAACGGGCCAGGAAGACCAAAGGGGAGAAAGAGCAGGACCAGGGAGTGGGAGAAACAAAGGGTACCAGAGTGTAAAGCGGGGCAGGAACAGTTCTAAAATATTTAAGAATGTATGTCTTTTTTTCAAGTGTTGCTCCTGAAAAATAAATGCAAGGTATGTGCACGAATTGAATGGTTGCTTCTCACCCATATTTTACAGAAACAGCTATGGGCAAGAATATTGGTGCCCAGACAAATGATGATTCTGAATATGTTCGTGCAGTTTATAGGTAAATAGAGTCCTGATTCTTTTTAATGTTGTTATTGATTAGGGCTTTTAAAAATTATTGCTAATGATTTTGATCAATCTAACCATTTAAGCATGTTTTTAACAGTAGAGGAATGGTTACATAAATTACAGCACACCCAGATTATATAGTAATTTTAAATGATTATTTTATAATATATTGAGAGATTACATTAGGATATTTAGTGACAAAAGAAAAACAGTTTAAGCATGATGACCACTAGGTATAAAAAATTATTCGTTGAAAAAAATACTTTAAGATATATACCAGAATGCCAGCTGTGATTATTGTTTTGCATTATGTGCTTCTCTTTCTTACTATTTTTTTTTTGTGTTATTCATTCGCCTTTCCCATATTTTCTGCGCTGAGTGGGTATTACTTTTGAATTGAAATGTAATCCTTTTTACTTTAAAAAAAAATTGCCTGAGATCACTCAGCTATTAAAAGACAGGGCCAGGGTTTGATTTGATGTGTTCTATCTTTAAGTGCACTGCTTATTTCACTTCATTTTAACAAATATTCACCTAGCATATATAATCTGTCGTTCATTGCACAAGGTGCTGACTGGGTTTACAGTGGCCCCCAAAACAGAATCACAGAGGAGACAAGCGCTGAAACAAAGCCACAAAAACTTATAAATTATAATAATTGCTTAGAAAGAAAAAAACTAAAGTTGATATTTGAGGAGAAAACAGAGATACGTCCCGCAGACTGAATGACCAGAAAAGGCCTGTCTGCAGCCTTGATCTTTAAGCCATTCTCAGAGGAGGGGACCCAGTCTAGGTCTCCTCCTGGGAAGGCGGAGGGAGGAGCTCGGGGCAGGCGTGTGATAGGTGGGTATTGAGTGAGCACTTCTCTGTAGGCAAGGACAACCAGTTGTTTTCTGTCACCCCAGAGAAGTGGTCGAGCGAAGGAGTGGACAGTAAGCAGGCGGATTTCATGCCACCCTGTGCCGCCAGGGCCACGGGCAGGCCGGGGCGGCCCAGAGCTCCCCCTGGGGGGACAGAAGCAGAGGTCAGGTGGGCCGTCCAGTAAGGATGTGTTGCGATGCCTTCTTCATTCCTCGAAAAAACCCGTTTGGTTTTTAAGCTTCATCGGGTGTGTGATAGCCCATGCTTTCGTTGCGGAGCGTAATAAAGAATGCCTCTAAGCCATTGTCACTGCCAGACATCACCCTCATTAAGGCCAGTTGCCAAATCAGGGCCTGAGCAATACACATTTCGGATGCAATCAGCTGATGTGTTTGTATCCTATTTATAGGATGAGTGATATAATACATCGGAGAATGAAGACACCCTGGCTCTGGCTTGATTATTTGTTCCTTATGTTTAAAGAAGGACGGGAACACAAAAGGACCCTACAGATCGTACATACTTTCACCAACAATGTAAGTCTCCTCAACTGTTTTTATTGTCATAAAACATACATAACAAAATTTACTATTATAGCCATTTTAAATGTACCATCCAATGTCATGAGGAGAATTAACAAGGTTGTGACACCATAGCACTATCACTTTCTAGAACTTTTCTAAGTCTGTGATTTCTGTGTTTTGTTAACATGCCCAGGGTGGGACCATGGGGCCTGTGTGTCATAAAACAGAAGTTGAATAATAATGGGAGAAAGAAGGTAGATGGCATACCTTTAAACTAGGTATTCACCAAATATTAATTAAGCACTTGCTAAGTGTCAAACACTGTACCAAGGTTTAGAAATATAGTAAATAATGTTCCCTACTAGGGGAAGTTAGTCTACTGGTGGAGATTATCTATAAATACGTAATTATGAAATGTGGTATGCACTATGACTGTTTATTGACAAACAGGGTGCTATGTTAAAAGAATAAAGACAAAGTTGCAAGGGTCTGTGTTAGAGGAGCTTTCTGGAAAGTGTTTGCATTAGGTGGCAGTGATTTCTCAAAGGCTAAGGGCACTTATAGCAGTGTCTTAATTTGGAAAAGATAAAAATAACTATATGTTACTATTATCTCCCTGTCCTTGAAAATCAGTGATTTTTAAGGAGATAATAATGTTTTGGAAACGAGATGTCTGTCTTTGTAAAAAATTTGTTTAGGAAATGGCAAATTTTAATTGAAAACATACATCAAATCATAGTTTAAATGTACTGATAAAAATGCCTAAGTAAGTGTCTTTGCCCTTTGTTGTAAATTTTGGTTTAAAATACGTTGGCATTGCTTCCTCAGGGTGAGGCACTGCCTCCTACCAACAGAGTAAGTGGTGGCCAAGCCACTGGCAGTTAGAGGCATGAGATGTCAGAGGGCGCTGTTCGCAGCGAGCATGGTGCAATCACCTGGCAATAGGCGAACACTGAACAGTTTGTGTTTGATGGTAGAATTATACTTTTCTTCAAATATTATGCATTAATGTCAGTATCGACACTGAATGCATTCCAATTTGGATGAATAATATTATTCATTTAATACTGTTGAAAGTTGCGTACTGAGCGCTAGGCCCTAGGGGTTGCACTGAGAATTAAAGAAGGCATGGTGCTGGCACCTAGAGAACTGGGGATCTGTTCATTCACACTGCACAGTAGCAGGTTTGGACAACTGCCTAAAAGGGGAAGCGAGTTGAAATACATAACCAACTTAAGTGTATGGGGTTTGATTCTCTTATTTACTCAATAAATATCTAAGGACCATTCTTCAAATGCCAAACCGCTTTCTAAAGTTTGGAGACACATCAATGAATAAAGACAACTGTGCTGCTCCACTGATGTCAGAAGAGGGAGACACTACCTAGCACATACGATGTTCAGTTCAGTGCAACGGAAAAAAAGAATAAAGTAGGCTTAGGAGGACAGTAAGTGCTAGGGACTGGGGTCACAGTGATCAGGTGACATCTTTCCCATGATGTGACAATGAGCAGCAGAGACTTGAAAGGAGGGAGGAGCCAGCCATGCCGGCCTCTGAGGCAAGAGCATTGATTCTGGGCAGAAGGAACAGCGAACACACAGAGTGATTCTTGCCTCCAGGACAACGTGTAATTAGAGTGCGATCTATAATTAGTCTATCAGATATATAACCATTGTGTTCTCTCCGCCACTCAGGCTCTTTCTCATTAGCTCATTCAACTCCCAAGGACCCAAATTAGCAGACTGCTTCTCTACTGTAGTGTTGGAAAGGCTGGAAAAACAGCTCTTGGAAATGATGTATTTGTCTGATATTACATTTGTTTTGAAAAGTCTCATCAAATAATGCCCTACAAATAGTCACAGAAAGCTTCACTATATTTTCACTAAATCTTGTGTTATTGCTGAGTTAGAAGAGGAAAGGTTTAGGGAAAAGAATCAGATAAAGAAGCTAGTGTGTTTTTTAGGGAAACTGTATGGTTAGGCCCCATCACATTCCAAACAAAAGCGTGTGGTTATTTAAATCATACAGGTCATCAATGAGCGGGCCAAAGAACTAGAGAGAGCTAAAGAACACAGAAGAGATGATGGGGAGACTACCACCTCCCGAAAGAAACGCAGGGCTTTTCTCGACTTGCTTTTAAATGTGGCTGATGACGAAGGGAGAAAGCTAAGCCATGATGACATTCGTGAAGAAGTGGACACGTTCATGTTCGAGGTATTTTGCGTTGCCCTATGAGTGTCAGGTATCATGAGACAAACTGCCGTTCCTGTTGCATAACAGAAACTGGGGCTGTTTGTGGCTTTTTTACATTGTGGGAGTGTAAAATGCTAAGGGAGACAGTGAGTGCCAGGGACTAGGGTCCCAGGGATGAGGGGACATCTTTCCCATGATGTGACAGTGAGCAGCAGAGCCTGAAAGGAGGGAGGAGCCAGTCACATTGGCGTCTGAGGCAAGAGCAGTGATTCTGGGCAGAAGGAAGAGCAAACACACAGGGTGACCTTTCCTCCAGGACCGTGTGTAATTAGAGTGCGACTAGACACTGATGCTTGGGCATGTTTACATATTTAACAGGAAAATTGGAAATCACATGCACTAGCAAGACTTCATTGTAGCAGCTTTTTAAAATATGGTGGGATTATTGGTACAAGAGACTCTCTTTTCTCAGTTTTTTTTTTTTTAATTAAAGAAGAACAACTTACAGGAATGCTTTAAAAAGTGCATTGTATTTTCTAAACGTCAATCACATTTTAAAGTAGTTTACTACCACTGAGGAAGAGCCATTGTATTATAATGCGAAATTACAAAATGTAAGGCCCTGATGAAGTACCAGATCGACTTTCTCCCTCAGAAAAAGCTTTCGACTCACGGTGGGCACAGTGGCGGATGCCCATTCGCCTCCAGGAAACCTAAGGCTCGCCACCCTTTTCCAAGCAGAAGGGCAGCCAGAAATTGCTCTCCGTTCTCTCTGTCCCTTCCGGCTTCCTTTCAATCTCCAAACACCACAAATCTGTTTCTTCGCTCCCTCTATGCCTTTAAATTTTTCAGTTACACTTTACATTCCATGTATTCGGTATTAGTTTCAGATGTACAGCATAATGACTGGAAAGCCGTATACTTTACAGAGCGGTTCCCTCCCCCGCCCCCATATTTCCAGCACCCATGCGACACCATACGTACCTATCACAATTTTATGGGTTGCATCCCCCGCTGTAACGCCCCTGTGACTATTTTGTTACTGCTGATCTGTACTCTTCAATCCCTTCACTTTTTTCTCCAGCCCTCCAACCCCCTCCCCGCTGGCAACTACCAGTCTGTTCTCTGTATCTATGGGTCCGTTTCTATCTCATTCGCTCACTTATCTTGTTCTTTAAATTCCACCTGTCATCATACGGCATTCGTCTTTCTCTGTCTGACTTATTTCACTTCGCACAATACCCCCTAGGTTCGTCCCTGCTGTTGCAAAAGGTAAGATTTTTTTTAAGGCCAGTCACTCCCGCCGTTTTGAACTTCTGGACAGGAGCCCTTAGCTCCCGCTAGGAGCGACCTAACGGGAGGTAGCAGGAGCCTGCCAGCAGAGAAGCTAACCAGTTTGTGGTTCTGAAGGGATTTCTGGTCTTTACAGTAAAAATAACTACATTTTTGCAAAGATAATTCTAACTATAGGAAATATAAAGAGTAAATCTCCCAACCTGCGGATTTCCAAATACAGATGGAGACATGGTTTCAGAAAGCACCACAGGGAATGTGCTGGCAGTGAAGGGAGGGAGAGGCACCCGAGGGGGAGGGCGGCCTGCGGGCTCGGGCTGCCCGGGGCAAGGCCGGGCCGGTGCTGACCCCTCCCGGCTCTCTCTCGGCCGCCGGGCCACAGGAGGCCGGGCCGGTCCTTGCAGATCCCCTACCACAGGCTCCCTGTGTGTAAAATGGAGAAATGAACTCTGTCGGTGGTTTTGAACTTCCTTTACAAGCAGAGCGCTTTATTGAGAAGAGACACTACGCAGAAAACGGGCATCCCCTTAGCTAAAAAGTGGAGCGGTGTTAAGCACGAGGGCTCCGGAGGCCCATCCCAGCTCTAGCCTGCCGGAGAGGGGTGACCTCGGGCTCCCCCCAGCAACCCCCTCTGGGCTTGGGGCGCCCGCTGCTGCCGAGGGGCCTCGCAGAGCGGTTACCAGCCGACCGATTCCCGACGCGCGCCAAGAACCGCGCCGGGCACGAGGCTGTGCAGCCGCTGTCGCCTAGCGCCTGCCGCTGGGGCGGACCCTGCACCCACACGTGCACCGACACACGCACACATGCGCCGGCGGGCACTCGCACACTCAAACGCGCGTGTGATCGTGTGCGCGCACATCCACCTCCCAGCAGTAACCTCTCACTTCCGCAAAAACAGCCGGGCTGGCGGTGTCTTCCGTCCTGCTCAACATCCTTTGACCTTCTATTTTTGCTCTTCCTCACGTGAAACAGAAGGCAAAACGCGCAGGACCGTAACGTGGTGTCCTCCCCGGTAAGGCGGGCGCGCGGGGTGGGGGGGGCTGCTGCCGCTCTGCTCGCGCTTCAGCGGGGCCGGTGGATACGCGGGTCCCCGCTGCGCGCGGCTCCACCGAAGCGCTCCGTCCGCTCGGTGCTCTGCCTTTTGCTCTGTTTGGGGAGCAGACAAAACGGAACACGAAGATCAGCAGCACCTCTCACGCCGTGGGGGAGGCGTCCACGCAGATTCAAGGAAAGCTGTTATGCATTTATTAGCAAGGGCGCTTTCTGCTGTAACTTGGGTAAACAGCCGAGCGAAACGGGCCAGATTTTTGTCGCGAGTTCAGAGTCATTTCTGTAAGAAACCACGAGTGTGAGAAAGTGCAGTGACACCAATACCAGAGACTTGTGAACTATGCATTTTTTAAAAATTGCAGAATGACCTCAACAACTCAACTTAGAACTCTTGCAACGGCTTTGGAGATTCCTGCCCAGAGGATGAGCTATAACTATGGTCACCTGTGCCTCACAGGGTCTATCCAAGAGTAACGTCTTCCGGAGAGGACATCAACTGTTTCCTCTCTCTTCCTGCCCCCCCAAAAGTCTTAGTCATAGCGCTATAATACTCTTTTTCTGTGTGCTTATCGGAACTAATTTATTTAAATGAACTATCTTTAAGGAAAAAAGCAAAATCAGTTTTATAAGCAAAATAAAACAATTAATTTTTTGGTGGGGAGAGGGAGAAAAATAAATTTAGGTTCAGGAAAAGTTTTGATTTCAGCACTTAAATTTTCTTCTTTTTTTAAATGAATTAAAAATTTTTTTCCAAATACATTTGTCTCTGCCTTCCCCCCACCACGTTCCCTTGCCCGCTCCCCCCCTCCCTCCCTCAGCTCTTCCCCTTTGGTTTTGCCCATGAGTCCTTGCTATATGTTCCTTGACTTTCCCCTTCCCTTCCTTTTCCCCTGCCCACCCCTCCCTCCTTCCCTCTTGTCTCTATAATATTCTTTTTTATTTTCCAAATACACTTTTTTCCTGAAGCACTCACCATTTTTGCAGCTGGAGTGTTCTGGTGGGACGAGGCTAGGAAATAGGGGACGATTCCTAAAACGATGCCTGGGCAGGGGAGAGAGTCGCCCAGGGTGCTTCCCGCGGACCCAGCTGGAGTTTCCTGGACGCGGATCTCCGCCCTGCCCCGCCCAGCCCCAAGCCTGCGGGCTCTGCCTCGCCATCAGAGGCTCCAAGGGTCCTGTTCTTGCCTCCTCCTCCCATGAAGCTGTGTGACCGTGGGAAAGTCATTTCGTTTTTTTTTTTTTTGGGGGGGGGTGTCTCTGTGCCATCTGTAAAATGTGCATAGGAGTATCAAGTACTCCACAGAGTTTTAGTGAAGAATAATTGAATTAAGTTCCTACAAAGTGTACATGGGTATTTTGCCTAAAACTCAGCAAGATTTCAATGAGGCTATTTGTCAACTTCTTAATGTGGATACTATAACTCAGAACCACCCATATTCCCCCCCATTGTCCCCGCCCCCCACCCCCCAGCCCCGGGTCTGGCAACTACTGACAAAGCCTATCTCACAAATTAGGGAAAGGAGGGAAGTACAGGTCTGGCTCAGCAAAGGCAGACTTTCGCTGTCTTAACAGCCTAGTGCATGTTGTTCCCTTGGAAGGTCTCCTATTAGCCCAGCCCCATCACTTCCCACCAAGTCTGTGAAACTGTAATGCCGAAATATGTTCCTCTAAGTGGAGGCATCGGCTTTGAAGGGAGTGCCTCATTTATTTGTTTCTCACCAAAGTAAAATACTGCCTAATATTTTGTTAGGTTCTGGGGTCACATTATAGCTGTCAAATCCAGACACAATCCAAAAGGGTGAGCGTTCCTCGTCTTCTCAGTAGAAGCCTCCTCTTTAAACTATTTTTTCCTTAACATTTGTAGGGCCATGACACAACCTCATCTGCCATGAACTGGTCCCTGTATCTGCTGGGTTGCTATCCAGAAGTCCAGAAAAAATTGGACAATGAACTGGATGAAGTGTTTGGTATGTCTGGCTCTTGCACTAGGTCCCAAGTGACTGAAGCAAATGTCATTCTTTCTCATTAAAAATGCGCAATAAGACCTGTTCTCAAGATGTTGTAACAAGCAGGAAGGCTGCCATCCTGGATCCCTTCCAGGATCAATTTTTTTTTTTTTTTTTTTTTTTTTGCTGGAGCTCATCCATTCATTGGCGGGCATCTGCTAATTGCTGGGCATGTGATGGCATCGGGCTAGATGTGGGGGCTGCACTGGCAGATGTTACCGTCCTCAAGGAGCTTGCCGCTTTACAGATGAAGCAGACATCGTGTATAGACCATCCAGTCACGGTTGTGTGCTCAAGTGATAGGAAGAAGGTGCTGTCCGAGAGCAGAGAGCAGCAGGGGAAGCTAGTTGGAGGGGTCAGGGAAAGCTGTTTTAAGTAGGATTGCTTTGGACCACCAATGAGGGAAAATGTGGGTTAAGTTGATAGGACATAAATTTCTTTTGTACAACCAGCAATCTGTAAGTAAAGAGCCCTTATTTACAATAATGATGCCACCAGAGTCCGGGGCTTGCTCTTTTTTCTGTTGTTTCCACCATCATGGGTTTCGTTTTCTTGATCGCTGTTCTGGGTCTCATGTTTATCTTTAAGCAAGAAGAAAGGGGAGGACGAGAGGAAGGGTATATTAGTCTCCTTTGGCTGCTGTAACAAATTCTGCAAACTGGGTGGCTTCAAAGAATAGAAATGTATTCTTTTATAGTTCTGGACACCAGAAGTCCCAAACCAGTATCTCTGAGCTAAATCAATGTATGGCAAGGCTACACTCCTTCTGGGAGCCTCGGGGGAGAATCCATTCCTCCTGGTCGTGGCCAGCATTCCTTGGCTTATGGTTGCATCACTCAAATCTCTGTCTCCATCTTCACATTCTTTCCTCTTCTGTGCGTATGTGTCACATTTCCCTCTGTTCTCTCTTACAATGACATTCAGGATGGCATTTAGGGCCTACCTGGATAATCCACGATCACTTCTCCTTTTTAAGATGCTTAATAAAATCTTCAAAAGTACCTTTTCCCAAATAAGGTAACATTTGCAGGCTCCCTGGATTAGGACCTACTGCAAAGAGACCATGCATTGTGGCATCAGCTTTCTCTTTTGTTTAATCACATGGCACATGGTCTCCCATACCTGGAAGGAGAAAGGTAAAAGTTAAGTTGGCCAACCAACAGAGTTTTATCTGATGTATTTTCTCACAGAAAAGAAGTGGAGAGGGAAAAGTAAAGCGTAAAAGGAAGAGATGGAGGCATTCTAGAAAGAGGGGAACCAGACAAACAATAGCAGAGTGGAAAATTTTGAAGATAACAGTAAATAGTAAAGGACACATAGAATTCAGAACATTCATTCGAATATATCAAGAGATGAAGTTGGAAAGGTAATTTCATGTTCAGATTGTATGAGAACTGGACTGTCCTATCAAGAGAGGAGACTTTATTTTGCAAAACGGAGACAACCCAAAGTTCTTGCCTCTGTTTCTGTCATCATTTTATATTTTCCGTATCAATGTGAATTCCTCTCAGATTTCCTCTGGTGGGTATATCTGGGATTCTAAAAACTCATAAGTTCTTTTGGGATACATTCACATGTTTGTGTTCTCTATAATTTTTAGCTCATTGCAGGTCTCACAAATGCTTCTTGATCTCACATAATTAGTCACACTATTTTTACTGGGATTTTTATTCTGCTGCTTCTCTCTCTCTCTTTTTGCTAATTGTGGCTCAGTCTTTCTTCTACCCCCAGTATTAGGTCTAAAATTTTTGAGCAACTGATCTTTGGTATTGAGATGTAAATATTAATTCCTCTTTTTTTTTAATTGGGGTATATTTCACATTTAGTTTTGTTGTAACAAAGCAACTGGTACACTTTTAATGTTTAAAACTGAGCATTATCTTTTCTTTCCAGTGAAACAAAAAGGAAAATTAAAATAAACAGGAACAAAATTACAATAGAGAATGTCAATTCCAAATCAGATGCTACAGTTTCACTCAAGTCATCATTAGAAGAGAATTTTATTTTAAAAGTGTCATTTTAAACTGCAAGGAAGTCCATTAAACATCACAATTAAACATGCCAAAGGAAAAGCCATGTTGTCAAAATGCTCACTTTACCCATTGAAACATCTCAAACCCACTTTTTGCTGACCTACTATAAACAAATTTTTTTAAAAAATTTTAAGAAAGCATTTTATACAAGAGAAAGTAGATAGAGACATGTGGGTAAATGCTAACTACACATATTCACAGAGACACAGAGTGATCTGTGAGCTCAGCAGACAGAGGAAGGAGGGAAAAAGCTAGAATTCGATGCCCTGCCACATGGGCTAGCCTGCAGCCTGCAGCAGAGGTACGGGAACGGAAAGTTTCTCTTCCCACAGAGCATGGTGTTGGCTCTATGCAGTGTTTGTTGAGTCAGGAAGGGGTAAAGGATGAATTTGGAACAGCCAGCATCAGAGATTCTTTCCCCACTGTATCCTGCATGAGGTGATTTCCCCAAGATAAGTGCAGACTACAATGTTAAGGAGAGAAAAGACACCAAGGAGCGACTGAGCATAAGAGGAAGAAATAAAAAAAATAAATGGGAACAGACTTACAGTAGAGAATGCCTTGCTCCCGGAGATCGGAGAACATTTTTTAAAAGAAGGTTGGAATCCATGAGTGTTCATTAGTCATCTTCGCTTTCATCCTCGTCAACTTCTTCATTAGTATCTTTCAAGCCTCCTCTCTTTCTTTTCCTTCATCATTGTCTTCTTCTCTTTCTTCTCCTTCTGCTTCTTCATCAGCCATGGGAGGAACCAAGTAGTAATGAATCAGATTTTGCCAAATATCACCTTCGATGATGTCTCCCAGCTTAGCAACCCCTGAATCAGAATGGGCACGCACCAGGGAGGGTAGACCTTTTGTTTCTTATGCTGCCTCTCCCTGCTCGTTTGTTTCTGCACTGGACTTGAACATTTCATCAGATCATGTCCAGATATTTCAGTGGATTTTGAAAATGCTTTGCTGCTCTCCTGCAGATGAAACTCTTTGGAGAGAACTTTCTTATTTTCAAAGGAAGGGTTTTCATCAAAATGAAAATCTGTTCTGGGACCCGGTTTAATATCTTCCAGTGCTGTCGCTTCAACTCTGGTCAAATTACATGGTGCCTTTTTATCTACCTCCCTGAGCAGGGCAGGCTTAGAGATGCTTGGCAAATTTGGGATTTTGGCAATGGATTCCGACCTCTTCTGAAAAGAAGAATGGTTGACAGAGTGAGTGTGTTATAGGTTGACCTTCAGAATCTTCTCACGGGCTTAGTCACTAAGTCGGTCTATTTCATTGGTGACTTTCTGTTCCCTTGCCCCCCCGCTGTGCTTTTTGTCTCACGACCAAGTTCGGAGAGGTGTCTCCTCAGGCCTGTAGGCAGCAGCCAGTTTCGGTTTCTTTGCTGTGAGGATGGAAGGTGTTTGGGAACCGTGCTATGGGGAAGGTCCGAGAGTGTGACCCAAGAGAAGATGCACTTCTGAAAGAAGCTCTGAGAACTCAGAAGGAACCATTTTAAAGTATCCAGTTTAATGCATTTGCAGTGTTGTACCACTGTTTCCTCTAATTCCAAAACATTTCAGCGCCCCAAAAGGAAACCCTGGATCATTCATCGGCCACTCCCCACTTTCTCTTCCTCTAGCCCCTGGCAACATCTAATTTACTTTCTGTCTCTGTGGATTGAACTCTGAGTGCTGCTTAGAAATTGAACTATGCACTATGTGAAATTGTGTGTTTGGTTCCTTTTACTTAGCATTATTGTCTCATTTTATTTTGATTACCCTTAATATGAGATATTCTATGTTACCTGTTGGTATTTAACATTCAGTGCATTGATTAATGTGTTCTTTTTTGACGTCGTATCCTCCAAGCCCAAATAGTTCTTTATTTTATTTGTTTCATGTCTACTTATTTTAATCAGGGAAGTCTGACCGCCCTTGCACCTTAGAAGACCTGAAGAAACTGAAATATCTGGAGTGTGTTATTAAGGAGACCCTTCGTCTTTTCCCTCCGGTTCCTTTTTTTGCCCGTCATATTAATGAAGATTGTAACATTGGTAAGAATTCTATAGTCAAAGTAGTAGGGAGAGTGGGTTTCGAAACGTCTGTCTTGCTCTGTTCTCATGGCACATTGACCCCTTCTGACAGTGGGATACAACATCGCCAAAGGCTCTCAAGCCCTCATCATTCCCTACTCCCTGCACAGAGACCCAAGACATTTCCCAGATCCTGAGGAATTCAGGCCAGAGCGTTTCTTTCCCGAGAATTCTATGGGACGCCATGCGTACGCATATTTACCCTTCTCTGCTGGACCCAGAAACTGTATAGGTATGTACCCGTCAGAATTGGTTTGACCCTTCAGGCCCACGTGGTAGTAGGTTTCTCACAATAATTTATTGGAGATGCCATGTTCCATATACAAGTCTTTTAAAAAACTTGCTGTTTTATTTTTTCTCCACTTTACTGTACCTTATTGACTTAAAATATGACTGTCATAAAGTTTACCAGTTTTCTAGTGCTGCCATAACAACATACCACAGCCCTCGTGGCTTAAACAACAGAAAGTTATTTTCTTACAATTCTGGAGGCCAGGAATCCAAGATGAAGGTGTCTACTGGGCTGGTTTCTTCTGAGGTGCCTTTCCTTGTAGATGGATGTCTTCTCCCTCTGTCTCCACAGAGTTTTTCCTCTGTGTGTATCTATCTTTGTCTTGATCTCTTCTTTTTATGAAGAGTGAATTAGGGCCCACTCATATGACCTCGTTTTAATTTAATCACCTCTTTAAAGGCTCTGCCTTCAAATGCTGTCCCATGCTGAGGTACTGTGGGTTAAGAATTCAGCATATGAATTTGGGGAGAATGCAGTTCATCCCGTAACATAAAGCATGATTGTATTCATGATAGAGTTTTAAAATGTTATAGCTTTTGGATTACAGTAGAATATACTTTATTTGGTAGAAAGCTTATTTATAACAATCAGTTATAGTTAACTTAATTTCTTTGTTTATTGCTTTTAAGAATTGCTTTTTGTCAAAATCAAAAGCAAAACAAAGAACGCTTACCGTCAGGTGAGCTGAAGTACTTAGGCAAAACAAACGCCCATCAATCACCATGCATTATAAACACTTTTGACCTTAGTATCTCTGGCATTTTATTAAGTATGTGAATGCAGGCATTGACAAAATGAGGTCTCGTAACTACAGTAAATGATGTCAAAGACCCTGTAAGAAAGCATTCTGGTTCTCATGCCCCAGAGAGGCCAGGATTCGTTGGAGTGCTGCAGAAAAACAGACTTCTCGCCCACTCAGTTCCTGGGGTGCCCTGAGCGGGAGCTGGGATGGGCACTCAGGAATCTTCAATTTTAGGGAGCGACCTGAGAGATTCTGATGCCCTCCGGGCCTACCGCAAAAATCCAACATTGCTTGCTTCCTCTAGTAGAACCTCTTCTTTCTCACGTTTGAGATATATCTGTGATTAAAATGCTGTCACTTACGTTAATTTGAAGGTCAAAAGTTTGCCATCATGGAAGAAAAGGCTGTTCTTTCCTGCATCCTGAGGCACTTTTGGGTAGAATGCAACCAGAAAAGAGAAGAACTTGGTCTGGTGGGAGAGCTGATTCTGCGTCCAAGCAACGGCATCTGGATCAAGCTGAAGAGGAGAAATGCTAATGAGCCCTAACTCTGTTGTAGGGCTGTGCCTGCTTCAGGAATAAGATCTGTCTTTCAGGAAAGCTTTGCATTTACAGTTTATAGATCATCAGTTCAATGCCTTTAATCCTTCGACCTAAATTTTTCTCATCACCACTTACCTTGGGGTTAGGACTATCAGAGAGTTTTTATGTGTTTCAAATGACCATAGTTCTCACCCCTGGTCTTGATCCCAAAAGGAGAGTTAACTGATGTCTGTACCCAAATAAACATAAATGTTTCTCACTAGAGGGATCCATAGGCCGCTTCAGTTTCCATTGACAGACTGAAAGGCTGTAATACCACTGAAGTTCCAGAACTTTTTAAGGTCTTCTCGTTGACTCAGAACACAAATGTGAAGACATACATATACATTTAATTTGAAAAGAGTGATTAATTAAGTACTTAGACTTAAGGAGCATAAATTTTAAAAATTATATCAGTGGCATTGGTTATGAGGATGATGAATATTGTGATACTTTTAGATTTTAGATACTTTTAAGATTTTATCAAAGAGGGTAACTCACTTGTAAGTTGACTTACAGGTTCTGTTTTTATCTCACTTTTAACTGTGTACGTATAGCCCTCATTTCATTCTACATGATGTCACAGTTACCTTTATCTCTCATTTATAAGGAGAGATTCCTCTTCATAGCCTCTAATCCCTCCCTGTACCTCGTAATGCTGATCGATGACTTTTGGAGCTAGAAGCACCTTAGATCTTATTTAACTCCTAGTTATATTCCTTTTCATCAGAAGTAAGGGAAAAAGATCAATGAGAGGGAAGTTTCTGTCCAAAATCATGCCATGAGCGGGTGGCAGTGCTAGAAATAGAAAGAGGTCTATGTTCTCAATCTCTCCACTCCCAGAATGATACGCTTGTACTACAATATGCCATTGCTTTGTGAAGCTCAGGTCTGTAACTGGGTGTGTCAATAAAACATAGATCTTCTAGAAGCCTTCCATCATTAAGGAAGAGAGAAACCACACATGTATATTTAGCAACCTGGTATTGTCTCAATTTAGGGTTAACCTTCAAGGAAACGCAATCCTCCGGAACATCCTATGATGCAGATAGCTGATGCATGTTCCCTGAATCTTGACCAAATCTCTACACCCTCCCTCAGTGACTTGAAAAAACTTCTTTTAATAAGGGTTTTTCTTTAGTTTTCTCAAAACAATAGCAGGTAGAAACAACAAATTAAGAGAATGGAATATATATTCTTCAGTGGATATCAAAGGAAGAGGTTACCAAACCAAAACCATCCGGCAAACATTACAGGCTGGGGCATTGCGGGTTGGATCAACCACTGTACTCGCTTTACTGTCCCAAAGAGCCTCAGTGCAGACAAGTCAGTCCCCAAGAGGCTGAGAAAAAGTCAAGGAAGTATATGACACCGTTGAAGACAATTCCCATGCTGTGGTAAACTTGGTTATCTAGAAAGTGGGTCTATGTAGAAAATCTGTTCCCAGAGGATTTGGGATAATTAAAATTTTATTCCTAGAAACAAGTATTATTCCTCAATGTTATGCACTTAACATTTAACCATTACCTTTTAAAAAGCTTTTCAGTGACCCTACACTAGACATGAAATTAAATTCAAAGCAAAACATTGCTTCATGTTACTTTTTGGCCTAACATCTTCATTTGGCCGCAGAATAATGTGTTATTCATCTTTTAATTGGAAATTTCCTTAAACTCTCAGAGTTGGAATGGAGAAAGTATGTCATGGTCTGTAGTATCAAAATGAAGATGCTGACTTTTTGTGAATAAAAGAATGATCAAGTATCTGTATCCCTATTACCTGTCATGCTCCTGCTTGAAAGTAGTATCTTAAGAAAAATAAATCACATTTCAAACATGGGTGCTACATTTTATTCTAAGAATTGGTGTCAGTTTGAAATATAGATAACTTTAAAAGGTAAATTCATGGGTGACTGATTCATAAATAAAAGGAATAATGCTTTTGAGTTAATGTCATCCTTATGAAGTTACCATAGATGATTTTGAGTTTCCCAGACTGTGAAAAATAAACTAGAGGAGAAGCAGAAACACCAGAACATTTTGCTCAGGTGATAGAAGAAGGGGAAATCTCTTAGGACTACCTGGGAGGCTGCAAAACCCACAGGCATGTCCCGGGTACCCAGGGATTCATTGTCTAGAAACCTCTCCATCCAGGTGATACATAGTTGAACTGATGTTCTGTTCATTGTCACAGACAACTGCAGAGTGTCAGTTTCTGGACCAACTACTCACCTGTCTCACAAATAAAAGAGATTCTAGTCTCAAAAAGATCAGCTTTTTCTACGGACTGCATCTAGAAGGTCAAGATGTATTTATTTCTGACACCTAAATAGTATGCTGGGGGCAGGGTGTGTGTGTGTGTGTGTGTGTGTGTGTGTGTGTGTGATGAGCCATTAGTCTGCTCCTACTCCTGGCAACCCTATGAATGAGTAACGTTCACAGTATCACGTTCTCCATGGCCCTGCTCAGCTCCTGTAGACTCTTGCCTGCAGCTTCTCTGATGGAATCACTCCATCTCATAGTTGGTCCTCCTCTTTCCCTGCTGCCTGCTAGTTTTCTCAACGTTATTGTCTCTTCCAAAGAACTCTGTCTTCTTATGATGTGCCTGAAGTAAGGCAGTTCCAGTTTTGTCTTTCTTATTCCTTTTTTTTTTTTTTTTTTTTTTTTTACCTCCAGGGGTGTTTCAGGCTTAATTTGCTCTAGGACCCACTTGCTCATCTTCCTGGTAGTCCAGGGTATTTGTAGACTCCTTCCCCAACACCATATTTCAAGTAAGACAGTCATGCTTCAATACGATGACAATTCTTCTTTTGAAGAAAAGATTAGCATATAGGAATATGATTTTTAATCCAGGCTTTATTCTGATGAATAACTTTCCTAGTTGACTAACACTAGGAAAGATAGGAATCAGTAAATGTAAACCGCAATGAAAAGAAATGGCGAGTGTGTCGATTAACACACGGAATCTAAAAAGCATCAGAGCTGGCTCATTTCAAATATGCTCCTTCATTACAGCCAGAAATTATTTTATTGGCGATGTTCTCCTACATTTTTAATAAACACAGTTCTGCATTGCAGCAATATGCATTAAATATTTACCTAAGCATCAGCTCCCAGGAAACCTAATTTTCTAACCCAAATGATGTAATGCAATTTTGAAACATAGTTAGAAAACAAAGATTTACTGGGCAAGTGCTTATGGTCTTTAAATATTCTTAAAAGCACAAAAAGGAGAATACATTTTTCTTATCTGGGTCTAGTAGGTTAATCTAGGACCGAAGGATAGAAGTTGCAAGGAGATGTATTTCAGTGTATAGGGAGACTTTTTCTTACAAATTAAAATGAAACTCCCTGAGCAGAAACAGGCTCCTGGTAAAACCAGTATGCCTCTTTGCAGTCAAGGTACTCGGGCAGAGGAGCCTAAACCCTACGCCAGAGCACTAGCCTGGGTTTTCAATCTACTTTATATCCAAAAAGGGCCAGATAGCAAATCTACTCAGCTTTATGGGCCATGGTGTCTCTGTCACTATTATGTAACTGTAGTTGGAGGGTGGAAGCCAGCACACACAGTAATATTTGGGCACTGCTGTGTTGTCATAAGACTGTAATTGCAAAGACAAGTGCTGGCCCAGATTTGGTCCGTGGATTGTAGCTTGTCAACCCTGTTACATTGTCTTCTCTGAATGAGGGGAGAGCAGGATCTACAGGTCAACCAACTCCCTTCCTTACTTAAATTTCAATGGTACTGTGTTAGATTCTTTGCCCATGATCTAGGGAGGCACCATGTGCTATGAGATCCTTCCAGGATCAGCTCTCTATGCCCACCCTTTATTCAGTTGTGCATCTTGGCATTAATAATAGAAGAAGTCCAGTTAGATGAGACTTGAGCTCCATGACCTGCAATAACGAGGAATGTTATGAACATTTTTAAAACGGGAAACCTGAGGACAAATTGTCAGGCCCAACGTGAAATAGTTAATATATTGAAGTGGCACACAAGAATGGCACATTCACAGAATATGTTGACAGGACAAAAAGTTGGAACTGTGGGCAGGAAGCCAAAGTCAATATCCAAGCCAAGCAAACACTGCCTGCAGTGCCGTGTTGGGGACGCTTGAAGACTGTCCTGTACGTGGCGGGAGACCCTCAGCCCAGGTTCACAGACACAACTGTGCTTGCAGGTAGAGAATTTCTATTATTCCGATTGTTTCCAAATAAAGTGGGATTTAAAAAAAAACTAAGCATGGTTTCTGCGTTATGAAGAAGCTACTGGTTTGTTTTAATTTCCTGTATACTTAGAGAGTACCCAAGGAAGCGGTGTTCTTTTACATGGAAATATTTAAATGTAAGATATTTTAAAATCAAAAGAGTATTAACTGATTTAAAAATTTAAAAATGGGCTTGACTATTGTAGGAGCTTTACTTAGGGAATCTGGAATGATATTGTTGCCATTATTTACAATAATTTTCTTTCTGCTCAAGTCGAGAGAATTCACAACTGTTTAATTCCCCTCTACCAATTCCCTTTCCATAGTTACCAGCAACATGGGTGGCAAATGAGCAATATACACAATTATTAGCCAAGAGGTCTCAATTTGTGCCAAGTGCCGAGTCCCTGAGCACAAAATGTACAGAAAACCATTGTTCTCTTAACTGTGGGCTTAGATTCACAATCCAGAGATTTAAAAGAAAACTTATGTCCCCTTAAATTAAGGTTCATGTTAAATACATCTACAAACAGTGGAGTCATGCATGTGTTACTTTCTCTTTTAGGATGATTTCATTCAGGCAAGCAGCTTATTTCGTTTCCTTGTTTGCTTCAGTTTCCAGTGGTGAGTGGATTTATCTGCAAAACCTGAAGTTAAGGGTGTGTGAAAGAGCTAAGAAAAACATGGCACCCCTGGGGAAAGCTCTTGCACATGAAGTTTTGGGGAAGGAACCAGGCCCTAATAAATCAGGATATACCCTTTTAAGGCTCACCTTTGCCCTAGACCCATCAGGGGGAGGAGCCCAGGAGTGAGCATGTCTTCAGGTATGTGTTAACAGAAACTTCTCTTTGGTAAGGACTCTCTACAAAACAGATCTTAAAACAAACAATCAGCTCTCCTCTATCAACATTAAAAAAAAAATCAACTCCATGGAATATTCAAGAGTGCTAGCCATTTTAAAGTGCGTAGGTCCAACCCAACTTGTCATAATAAGCACACAGTACATACTTAGGCTCTGTTAGGCAACCAGGGAACCATTTCAAAAGGGAAAGTACCTGGCTTCAGTGTAATAGAGTAAACCATCCATTTGTCTAGTTCTAATTTCAACACCATTGTTTTTGATCTTATTTCTCTCTCTATCCAGTCCATTAAATTTTCAGAGAACTAGGATGACTCGGGACACTGTTTTGCATGGGTCAGGGCAGGGTGGCACTTTGTGCTGCCATCAGGGGTGGGTTTGGAGTCTATGTTGGCTTGAGATGACCACATCACAGTGGTCTTTACTTACCTCTCAGATGTATGGCTAAGATGAACGCCTCTTGGGTAAGGGTTAAGTTTATAAAGACACACGATTTCTTCCTGAAGAAACTTTTATTTTCTAAATACAACCTTCTCCCATCTATCCCCTAACTCTTCATTGCTTTTCTGAGCCATAATCATTACTCCATACAAATCCAGTGAATGTGGAGGATTAGAAGCCAGAGGTGAGGTGGACCATGGCCACATCAATTATATCTTTTTTTGCAAAAAATTGTACATATATATGTAAGATCAGGCCAGGAAAATTGAGGTGCCAGGAAGCAGAAAAATGAGAAACGATATATTGTGTATAGTCCCGTAATTCAGCAATGGCCATTTTTAAAGCCTTTTGTTTAATCTTTCAGATATTTTTCTATATGCACCAACTTACACATTTAGCAAAGATGTTATTAATTATATATACTTTTTTATTACTTACCAAGTGAATAAATATATGTCATATTATTTGAAACTTAGTATCCTTCCTTAGTCATAGTAGTTTTGTGTGCAGATTTTCACACACATATTCAATTATTTCAGTAAAATAAATTTGGGAATGAAAATATCAGGTACTAGTATTTTTCTGCGGATATCTTCGAAGGTTTTATAATATACATTATGAAACTATCTTCCAAAAAGGTTATTCCTAAGTTGACCCTTTTTCCCACCAGCAAATGCGAGTGATCATTTTTCCCACTTAGGGACTTGAACAGCCACCAAGTGTCTGTGTCCTGACCCATCTCTGCCTTTCTGGAAGCACTATCCTCATTTATTTCTAGGAACTGCTGCCTCTTAGCAGTTTGGGTCTATGTGGTTATGGTTGCGACGCCCCCAGGCTTGAAGCCGTAAGTGCACACAGCCCGGTGACCAGACTATTGATTACACTTCAGAAATGATACTCTGATATGTATGTATTTTCAAACTGGACTCGAACTGTGGGATCATGCAGAGGTCTGAGCTTCTGGCACCCATCGTGGCCCACTGTGGGGCAAAGGCAGCCCCTGAAACAGAGAAAATGTGTGGAGACAAGTCATGTCTGAATGGGTCCGCTGAGCGCCACGTCCAGGGCTTCCTGACGCCCGATTCAGAGTGGACTCTTTTGTGTCTGGGCCAATCCATTTCATTTGTACTTCAGTCACTTCGAACTATGTTTTCTTTCTATCATTTGCAGCCAAAATCAGTTCCTCAATATGGATAATTTAAAATTTTTTTCTACTCTGGTGAGTAGAATGGCATCCAGTTGTTTTAACTGGCCTGTATTTTTGATTCTTACAACTTTTCATATACTTACCAGTCGCTTGTTTTTCTTTTGCAGATTATCTTTTCATATCCTTCACTCAATTTTAAAAATTAGAGTTCTTTTCATCTCCTTATTGATGTAACTTTTTTTAACAAGACCAAATAACCGGCCTGAAGTCTATGGACACGGGGCTGGTGTGATGTAACATAATATTTTATGTTATGAGACAACTTTTGGAACAACGTTTTACATACGCTCTGACATACAATACGAATAAGCCTCCTGTCATTGCATCATCATCATCATCACCACCATCATCATCGTCGTCGTCATCATCATTGGTCCCAACTTACGACAATAAACAAGGACACTTGTTGGACCTTTATTTTGGTCCTCCAGTTGTCCCCTTTCACCGGCGGAGTCACAGGAAAGCTGACAAAGGCTGGGGCGCAGAATGGGGACTCCCAGGCTAGCCCCAGCCATTGCCAGTGCCCTTCCAGTGCATTGGGATGGGGAAGAGGGTGGCTTAATAATTACAAGGCAGCCGAAAACACCAGCTGTCTCAAAAAAACCAGGCCACTTGGCAGCCAGCGTTCTCACTCAGCGCTTTGTGAGAACAGGGGATCTAGTCCTGGACAATTGGCACCTTGTATTCCCAGCAGCTTCCACCTAAAGGGATCTCTGCTCTTTCTAAATATAAACCTTCCCCAAGGGCAAGTCGTCTCAGCCACGCCTCTGAGAGGAAGAGAAGCCACTTTGCTGGGTTGCGTTGGGTTTTCATATCAAGGCTCCAGGCCAGATCCCCAGAGTGGCTGGATAACACAGACGAAATTTTAAACATCACTGTTTATCAACATGTGTGCCTAAGCTGTCTACTCCCTGAAAGACAATGCAAAAATAAATGTGAGTAGGTTCAAGTGTGGCTGCGGCCCTAGACAATGGACAAGGTAGTCTTGGGATGTCCTGCAGTTCACGGGCAGTTGACCAACTAGGGGAAATGTGCTACCTGATTTAGAAAAGCCTATTAAGCAGACTTTGAAGGGGATCTTTCAAGGAACCCCAGATCCATCTATGAAAGGTACCACTGTAATACAAGAGAGCGTAGAATTGTAGCGGTAACAGCACTCTTAGTGCACAGGGTGCAGGGTCATTTAGAGCCGGGAACAATTCCAAACAGCAAATAGCTCAAAATGTATTTTCAACTTGGCATATGCATGCTTTTGCTTGAACCACCTCAGAAATGAGCTGGTAGAAACTGAGAAAAGTGTTGCCTTTCCTGCACTCATTCCTAAAGTAATCAGTAACTCTTACCCAATCAATACCCAATAACTCTTCATTGGCTCAAATTAAACTGAGACGAGGAACATTTAACACTGGACAATAAAAGGGAACAAGATGGAAAGGCAGAAGAGCTGGGTGTATGTCCCACGGCATTCATTAGATCCGTGGATCTCAGATAAATCTGTACCTCCTTGAAACTCGGTTACTTACCTGCTTTCTTAAACAAACAAATAAACAAAAACAAACGAAAACAAGTCAGGTGCTCTTCATAAAACCTGTCTCTAGCTTTCCCTACAGAGCAATTGTGAGGGCCTAGGGAGAATGTTTGCTTTGAAAGTGTTTTGAAAAAGAGACCATACATCGTTATTTTTAAGGCATAAGACCTTCATAGCACGCCAGGGGACAGGGAGAAGCCAAGCTAGGCTTGAGTGTTCTCGGGGACAATTTATGTGCAAATTATTGTATGATTTAATAAGAATCGACCAAGTGTTTTTATACACAAGTACTCACAAAATGACTTCAACATCCTACATTGTTTAAATATGTTATATCCTGCCTCTGCAATTAAAGTCATGTAGCAAAGGTCTTTAGGCGTTCCATCGAGGAAGTAGGAAGGATCAGAACACAAATACATTTCTATCAGTATTATTTGTATTCATTCCAAATTAATGATTTTTCAATGATTATACCACAGGATGCCTCAGTCAGCTCTATAAGAACATCTTCTTCAAAGGTGGGGACGTCACCACCCTGTTCAGCCCGAACGCCCAGCACTGCCGGGCCATGTGCACATTTCACCCGCGGTGCTTGCTCTTCAGTTTTCTTCCAGGAAGTTCAACCAATGACACCAGGAAAAGGTAAAAGGTGGTATTTCGTTATCGGGACAGCCAGTCACTTTTCAAAATGGAATCAGCTGTGTACAAAACGGTCTAGCATATCACAGGGTTTTGGTTCTCAAATAGGGTTCAAGCGATCACCTAGCATGGTTCTTACGTAAGCAGCAGCGTCTTACGCGGAAGCCCGGACCTGCTGACCCAAAGTCTCTTGGACCTGGAAATCTGCATTTTAAATAATTGCTGCATTCACTCAAAGTAATAGAAGCTGGTCATTTTCTATCAAAGGCTTACAAGGAAAATGCTTGTGAATCATTGGGTTAAGCAACTGTTTCAAGAAAGGATTTAAGAACAGGGGAATATTTCACCTGTGCAAGGACTCAGGATCACATTTGTAGATAGCACAGTCCTAAGAAAACGGACTAGAAAGCAAGTATTTTGTTGCAAATATAATTGAATAAGAGCCAGAGCTTGTGACCTTTGGAGAGGGCAGGTCTGAATGGTGCTTGTAGTGAATGAGCTTGGTCACCTAAGGGTGTATATGCCGTGGCAGAGCAGGGGGCAAACCTATATTATTATTAACTGGTAATTTGGAAAAGTAAGAGCACTGGGAAAATAGTTCGTAGTTTAAAATGTTACTGTTTCATGAAGTTGCCTAAATACAGCTGTAGTTTCATTATAATTTTCTTTAATTTTGATCAGTATCCGGAATGAATGTTTCTGCATCATTCCCATTTCCACATTTATCATTCTTTTTTGAAATCTTCACTTATTTGCATTTAAACACTAGGGATTAGACAATCATCCCTTGCTTCTACATGCTAAATTTGTACAGAAAACCCAGATTGTATGTGATAGGTATTAACATTTTAAATAAGAAGTTGAATTAGGTTCTAGAACCCTTCCGAATAATGAAATTGCCATCAAGGTTGACACTAAAGACAGAGAAAGTCTTCCATTAGGTGTGGACAGAAGGAGGTACTAAGCAAGAGGAACACAGATCCGCCTTCCATGACTGATTTAATTTCTTAAGTAAATGAAATTATGTACAAAACTAATCACCAAGTAGGAACATAATTCCCCAAAAAGTTTAGGAACACAAGGAGAATCATTAACTCTTTAATATGATTGACTTCCTGTATTTAAAAATGTGAATTTAAAGGAAAACAGTGCTGAAGTTAGGTATTTCAAAGGCCGTTAGATATTATGGAATTGCCTCTAAGGATGTTCTTTCCAGCAAGTGTTGGGGAAGCTCTCCTATCTTCCTTACTCCGTGTTATATTTAAGAGTGTATACAAATGCTAGACATTTGCTTAATGTGCTTAAATTATTCTACTTTCTAAGTGGAGCTACTTTTAAAAACAGGTTTGGCTGCTTCTTGAAAGACAGTGTCACAGGAACCCTACCAAGAATGTTACAGACAGGGGCAGTTTCTGGACATTCCTTAAAGCAATGTGGCCATCAAATAAGTGGTAAGGTGTGGATTTCTCAGCTCAGTTTGAATGAAAAATGAGTCTACCTTAGAATAGCTTCTGCTCAAACTCTGTATTTCGACAGACTTTGGAAGGGAGCTCTCTGAGGTATGATGGGGGAGGGGGCAGTACTTTGGACATATCCTCTCTTCTTGATCAGTCCACACATGCTTCATGATCCTCTGTTGTTTACGAGGTTAGCATTTCCGGGATAGGAGGTGCAGAGAGAGAGAGAACAGACATCCCAATAGTCACCTTCTCTTGATCCCAGATAAAAATCTGAAAGAGAATTGCAGTGGGAGTCTCTCCCTAGTTCACTCCAGTTGTTGCTTCTGGTTCTCAACCAGGGCTGATTTTATCCTTTCTTCAGGGGACATTTGACAATGTTGGGGGACATTTTCTGTTGTTACAGGTACTGGAGATGCTGCTACTGGTGCCCAGTGAGTAGAGACTAGAGATGCAGCTAAGCATTCCGCAGGCATGGGAAGGCCCCACAGCAAAGATTCTCCATCCACAAATGTCTGTAGTGCCGAGACTAAAGAGCCCCGTTAAACCCCCGCACTGAAGGACTAGGTTCCATAAATATCGCTAAGAACAACACTGCTTAGAAGGCATCTGAGGACTAGGAGCCCAGGAAACTTTACTTCTTAGGTTTATTGCTACTAAAGTCTTGGGAAACAGTTCCCAACCCTGTCCTAATAAACTGAAGACAAATGAACTAGAGCTCTACTATGACTGATCTGAAAACAGAAAAGTACTGAAAAGATTCTCTTAACTGATAGGTTGACAGAACCTTAAAATAATCACGTTGTGACTCTACACCATTGCTACTTTAGGTTTCCTATCTACAGTTAACCTTGGAGGTTCAAATTTCAGTTGTTTACACATTTTCCCTTCTTCCCTCCCCCCGCTAACACTGCCCTGTCCACACCACACACCTCTGGGCCCTCAGTTTGTAAAGTAGGCAGTCCTTAGTTCTTATAAACACGGTGGCCTCACTTAGCCAAGATGTAGTTTACTTGAGGTAGAGTACATTTCTTATTTTATAAGATCAAATTTATATCTTAATATTAGTATCAATTATGTAAACAAGCATTATGTTCAATTATGGTATCATAGTGCAATTTAAAGAAAAATCATAATTGTGCCTTTTCAATTCTCCGTTGTTTTTCCCCCAAAATAAGCCTGCTCACAGAACTTGGTTTAATGTTCCCTTCTAACGCTCCGCAAACAACTTGAAGGGAATTAAAGGGAAAAATTATCCCAGGCAAATCATATTTCTAGACTCAGGACCAATTTTAGTTTAAAACATTTAGAGGTGGGTTTATAGCTTTCAACTAACCATAAAAAAAAAAGTTTTGGCTTGTAAGTATCTCATCCCACCTCTTCCTCTTAGCCTGTTTCTTTTCTCATGTGCCGCAGAATTGGAAAGAGATTTCATTTTTGTAGTCCTCAAATGAATACCATGAATAAGCCACTCCCCTGCCCACCTCAAATATTGTTTTTTTTAATACTTTGTGTATTTCCTGTCATCCCCACCATTAAATCTCATTTTATGACTTCTTCAACCATACCTCTAAGGAGTAGAAAATTACATACAATAGATTGTGGTTTATACTCCTGTTTTCCCTAACCAAGACTCTCACTAACAAATTTGAATTTTTTTTTTTTTTAGAGAGCCTAATTCATAAATTTGGTTCACTGTCTGTAAAACGAATCATCTATCCTTTTTTATATGAGATAAATTTGAATTGGAAGGGCAGAGTGGAATTTAAGAAAACTTTAAAGCAAGAACGGAAGTGGTTTCATCATGTGTATACAAGAACTCTCCACATTCTGCGATAACGGTGTGGCACACAGATGTCAATGACAGGGCTTACAGGTGCAATTTGCTGTCAGGCAGGAGTAGCTGGCCACCGAGAGACAGGCAAAGAGTTAGGCGGCCCCTTCGCTCAACGCAAGGTGTCGAAGGCTTTCGGTTGATTTACTAAGGCAAACCCCTAGCACATGGCAGTAGGGCCCTTGTCTACCTCCACTGCTCATTGATAATTTCAGCATAAAGTGTTACACGTATAGCTACAACACACCTTGCAGCTTTAGAAGCCAAGTTGCCCTTTCCCCGTGCCAGTACTCCAGAACATCGGAATGTGCTGATTTCAAGCAGACTTTGATGGTCGAGTGATGTAATAAAAAATTCTCAATCCCCTAATTAAGAGAGCAGTTTGCCAAAAACAGGATAGCGCCCTTCAAAACTACACTGCCCATACTGATCATCTGTTTCTAGAAGGGAAACTGAATTTGCTCTATGCATTTTATTTGTACAGCTTGCCACAGAGACATTTATGAAGGCATTGATATGAGAGGGGACAATTTTAATGGATCCAAGGTTGAAAGTGTTGAAGAATGCCAAAAAAGGTGCACCAATAATATTCATTGTAAATTCTTCACCTACGCCACGCAAGCATTTGACAATGCAGAGTACCGGTGAGTAAAATTCACAGTGTTTGTTCTTCACCTTGGCAATTTTATAATTTAATTGCATTCTTCTTAACCTTTTTTAATTTTCCAATTGAAAACTAAACAGGGCTTTGAGGCCTAAGCACTCTCCTTATTTATTTAATTTTGGTGCCACTTTCCCTGAAGGGAGTGCTTTCCTTTGGGTTCCCAGAGAGCTGTGCTTTGTGGAATGAGGATTTAGTAGAATCAGGTCTCCCACCCCATTCTTACCTTTAACCTTCCTCTGCAGAAGAGGAGGATGTCCATTCCATTAAAAATGCAAACCCCTAGCCCACTCATTATCAAAGTCATTGTTCAGATTGCTTTGTTTATTTTTCACGGCCCACAAAATGGACAGCAGCATGCACTTTGCATTTTAGGAAGCAAAGTAACCTCCTTTCTTAACCTTCAGGAACACGTGCCTGTTGAAGCACAGTTCGACAGGAACTCCAGCCAGTATAAGCACGCTGACAAACGTGGTGTCTGGATTCTCCCTGAAGCCCTGTGCGCTCTCAGAAATCGGTAATCTCATGGCTACCGTTTTACTACGTAATTGTAGTGGCCAGAATAAGAGCTCCCCAAATGCGTTCACATCCTAATCCCTGGAACCTATGATTATGTCACCTGATATGGCAAAAGAGGTTTTGTAGATGTGACTAAGTTAAGAACTTTGACAAGGGAGATACTCTGGATTATGCATATGGGCCCAATGAAGTGACAAGCGTTCTTATAAGAGAGAGAGGGAGGCAGAAGGATCAGTCAGAGAGAGAGATTTGAAGCTGTGGTACTTCTGGCTTGGATGTGGAGGAAGGGTCCATGGGCCAGAGAATGCAGGTGACCTCCAGAAGGAAGAGGCAAGGAAGTGGGTCCTCCTGTGGAGCTTCCCAAAGGAACAAAGCCCTGGCAGCATCCTGATGTTAGCTCAGTAAGACCCCTTCAGACGTCTCATCTCCAGAGCTTGTGGGATAGACTCGTGTTGTCCTCAGCCACTGAGCTGATGGTCGTTTGTTACCGCAGCACTGGGGAACTTGCGCAGGGATACTGTGGAGAAAACTACATGGTCATTTCTTGGTGGTGTCCGTTAGCTAGTCAAATGATTCGAGCATAATGAATCAATGAAACCCATTTCCGACATAGACGCAATTTCTGTTGAATTATCCAAACAATTGCTATGACACTCTATTTAGCATAGCAGGCGTATTATTCTTGAAGCCCGATCACTGATAGCCAAGTCTACAAAGCATCAAGTGCCAGCTTCGTGCCAAGCCCTGTAGTGGGTGCTGGGCTAGGACCCCTCCGTGGAAGACTGGGAAACGAGCAACAATGTATCTCTTTTCTTATTTGCTTCTTCTCTTCCCCAGCATACCCTGTCCCTGATGTGTACCAGATTTATTGGTCCAAATGGTACTGATTATTTATTTTTTAATATTCATATCTTTTCTGTTTCTTTTTTTTAGTGTTGTGTATTTTCTTTTGAAAAAAAGATTTTATTTATTTATTTTTAGAGAGGGGAAGAGAGGGAGAAAGAACAAGAGAGAAACATCAATGTGTGGTTGCATTTCATGCTGGGGACCTGGCCTGCAACTCAGGCATATGCCTTACACTGGGAATTGAGCCAGTGACCCTTTGGTTCACAGGTCAGCGCTCAATCCCCTGAGCCACACCAGCTAGGGTTTATTCTGTTTCTTCAAGTGTGATATTTTAATATACATTTTTCATAGTTTTTAGAATTTGTCATATACTTTACATAACAGGAAGTTAACCCCTTTAAGATACACAATTCAGTGGTTTTCAGCGCATTCACAAAATTGCATGAGGGTGGCCACTGTGCAGCTGCAGAACGCTGCCCTCATCCCAAAGGAAGCACCGTATCCAGCAGCCGTCACTCCCCATGTGGAGCGCGACTCGACAGTTGCATTCATTTCTGTGACCCACACTTTGCATGGAGCCCTTCAAAGGAAGGCCGCCCAGGATGGTAAGGTATCTAGAAGTAAAGAAAAATAAAAAATGGTTAAATGAGGAAGCTAAAGATATTTAACCTGAACAAGAGTCAGGATGACTTTCTTAATTTTTTGTTTGTTGAAGACCTGCCATTGGGAAAGGGATTGGACAAATCTTTGTGGGTCCGTGAGGCAGATCTAGGCAGAGACTACCATGAAAAAAATAAAAAAAGTTTCTGACACCAAGAGTGGTCCAGAAAGAAATGGGCCTTGTCATTAGGTAGTGAGCTCCTTATCAGTGTGAATGTCTAAGCAAGACTTGAACAAATTGTCAGGAGCATCCTTGAGAGGATATAGTTAGAGGTTGGCATAGGTGACCCGTAATATGTTTTTATTTTTTAAAAAAGGTTTAAATAATTGAGCTCTAATTTCCCAGTCTGCACCTATGCAGATATTCTGTTATGGTTGGGGGCTCTCTCCTCACCTAACTATGCTCATTTAAATTAAGTTCTTTGTGTCTTCCCCATAATTGCTCTCATTATTATGCTTCTATAATTTTAATAGAACTTATGTGTTATCAAATTAAGCAAACTGAGTATGATAATATATACACAAAAATATAATTAAAATAAGATTAAATAAGAATAATGAAAGTGGATTTTCTGCTGTCCTAATTTCAATGGGCACATGGCATTTTTGTTAGCTACCTAATATTTTTCTTAATCTCTTTTTATTAAAATCTTTTTCGTAACATTCAGGAAAATATACCACAAAATCTCACTTTCCTAAGCCTGGGAATTCAGGGTCAAGGTAACACAAAGAAAATCTGAACCCATGCTGAGTAACCTAAGTATTTTGTACTGATTAGGTTGGAGCTAGGAGCAGAGGCTGAGTTATTTCACTTCTTTGGCCTAGGAATCTGTCTTTTATGAGAGACGAGTTTTTCCTTCTTCTACCTGGCAAACAAGGCTGGGGCGATATTGGTGTTTTTTCACTGAGGATGTATAGTGCTATGACAAAATTACGACAAAGGACATGTACATTCAGCAATGTGTCCTTTACTGACTAACAACTTCCCTCTGTGAGTTCACAGGTTGCCACATGAACATGTTCCAACATCTCGCATTTTCGGATGTGGACGTGGCCCGAGCGATCACTCCAGATGCTCTTGTGTGTCGAACCGTCTGCACCTATCACCCCGGCTGCCTCTTCTTTACATTCTATACAAACAGCTGGCCTGTGGAATCACAAAGGTGAGTTGTAATGTGCAGCAGCATTTGCTGCTGTCCTATCATCACTTTAATTTTATAGTTTGAGGGTTTTTTTAAGTTTTGTTCATTTCCCTCAAAATGCTTGATACTCACCGTTTAAGTAGGCACCACACTTTTCTGCCAGATGCAGCTTAGTTAAGAGATTAACATATTTCTCTTCCTACCGTCTTTTACTTAAACACACCATTGGATAGTGCAAACAACAGCCATGGAAATAGAAGGATCAGATTCCTTTTTGCTGATCTTAATGCATTGTATCAGCTTGAAGTAAAAACCAGCAGCTTATCATTTAAGCTCATTCATTGTAACCCCTCTGTTTCAGAAACCAGAGCCCTGTTTATTCTGGTAAGGGTTCTGGTTTGATCTGCTTACCCTCAGATAACTCACCTTTTATTTATATTTAAACACACACACACACACACACACACACACTCACACACATACACACACAACACGGAGCTAAGAGAAGGTTATCTAGTTACATAATATTGTTTACAGCCTAAATCCCCAGAATTCCTTCTTTTTCTCTCTCTCTTTTTACCAATCAGAATGTGGAACCTTCCCATTCTCCTCTTTTGTATTACCTGTGCCTATCAGTTTTCTTAGAGGTAGATGTGGCTTGACTGACATTTAATTGCTGTAATTTATTAGAGTCCTACAGTCTGCCTTGCTTTGGAGAGAATTTCTCAGAAGAATAAAATTTATAGGAGTGCTTTTGTTTTATTATTTTTTGACATTAAGTGCTTTTTATCCGCTTTTAATGCAGTTCTCTTTCTCTTGCTTTTTTTAAAAATAGAAATGTTTGTTTACTTAAGACTTCCAAAAGCGGGACACCAAGCCCCCCCACTCCTCAGGAACACACCATATCTGGATATAGCCTTTTAACCTGCAAACGAACTTTGCCTGGTAATGTGATTCAATCATAATACATAAAATGTGGCCAGTTGTGTGATCTTCTAACAAATGGTGATGACACAATCCTCAATGTACCAGAAACTTGTGTCGATGTGGTTGATTTCTGTTTTCATTTTATATCTTCTTATGCTTATAATTGCTGCAGAACCCTGCCATTCAAGAACTTACGCAGCTGATTTTAGGGGGGAAGAACTGAACGTGGCCTTCGTTAAAGGAGCAAGTGGTTGCCAAGAGACTTGCACGAAGATGGTCCGCTGTCAGTTTTTCACGTATTCTTCTCTCCCGGGAGACTGTAGAGGGGACAAGTTAGTGAAAATTTTGATTTCAAAGGCGGTCGGCAAGCCTATTTCATGAAAGCTGCCCGTCTGGGAAGGTTTAACCTTTGCCCCGATCATTTTATCCAGGTGTAGGTGCTCCTTACGATTATCTGCGGATGGCTCGCCTACTCAAATTACATACGGGACACAAGCAAGATCTGGCTATTCTTTGAGATTGTGTAGAAGGGAAAATGACGCCAGTGAGTCAACCTCGCTTTGCACAGAATTGTAAAGGGACGTTTGCGTTCTTTTCATAGCTCACCTTGTCTTATGTGGTGGAATTATGGGTCTTGTCTTTTGGCTGCTTTGCCTCTAATTCCAGCCCTTACCTTCAACACTCTCCTTTTAGGCTGCACAACAAAAACAACCACACGCATCGTTGGAGGAACAAATTCTTCTTGGGGAGAGTGGCCCTGGCAGGTCAGCCTCCAAGTGAAGTTGACAGCCCAGAAGCATGTGTGTGGAGGGTCCATTATTGGGGACCGGTGGGTCCTCACTGCTGCCCATTGCTTCAATGGGTAAGTTTTGGCTGCATTTTATCCAAGGTCCTATCTTGCTTTTCGTTTTGAAGAATCTGTACCGAGTTTTTAATCATCTTGTGAGCTTCTTAATGGAAGTTTATTCTTATTTAATAAAAAGTGTTTTAAAGCAGAGATAGTGTTCAAAATGCTGAGCACCCACCTAGGTGACCCATCAGACTGACGTGGGGTGTGTTTGCAAAAGTGTGCTTTACAGAAAAACTAAAAAAAAAAAATCCCAACTGCTTCTTCAAAGCCTGAGTTTTCAGGCCCAGAGATTCACAAATATACTAATATTAACAGTAAATAAGACAAAAATGCAATAGTTTATTACCTTCTATATTTCAGGGAATGTGATCTAATATAATGTTTCTACTTTACCAGGCAAATAGTTTACATGACAGGATTTTACAGTTTTAAAACCTTAGACTTTATAGTTAGATAAGGCTTGGGTCATGGCTCTGTCACATGGCAGAGGCATGGCTGGCCTTGAGCAATCCGCAACTCTCTCTTGTTTTTATTTTTTGTCTGTAAAATATGAAGGGTAACAATATCTAATTCCTAAGGTTACTGGAGGATTAAGTGCCACACTTTAACTGCTTAGCACTCTTCCTGGGACATCCAGTTACTCAAAAAAATAGAAGCTGTGATTAAACAAATGGACAAAGCATATGAATGAGCTAAAGAGATACTAATAGCAAAATAAAAGGCACTTGGTCTCTTTCAAAAAGTATTTTCATTTCCAAGGAATTCCTCCTCTTTCCTCGTCTAAAAGGTACTGCGAACAGTGCAGGCCCAGCTGCTGAGGGCCAGGTGGAGCAGGGCAGGTCTCCTCCCTGGCTGCCCACAGCCGAGTGAGTCTCAGGGAGGCTCCGCGCCCCTGGCGCTGCTGCGGGGACGGCTGGCTGGCCTGGACGGAAGACCCTGTGAAGGGAAATAGTTGCTCCCCTTTGCACTAAATAAACCCCAATTTGGGATTAAGAATTTTCATTCTTTCCTCCCATTTTTATTGAGCTACAACTCATATACAGCATTGTGTAAATTTAAGGGGTACAGTATAGTGATGTGAACTATGTATGTATTGGAAAATGATGACCATAATGAGGTTAGTTAATACATCCATCATCTCACATAGTTACAATGTGTGTGTGTGTGATGAGAACTTGTAAGATTTACTCTCTCAGCAACTTGCAAGTAAACAATACAGTATTAGTAACCAACACAGTATAGTCACCATGCTGTGCACCCCCTCCCCAGAATTTATTCATCCTATAACTGAAAGATTTTTAACCTTTGACCTACCCCACCCCACCCCACCCCCTTTCCCCTGAGGCACCCGCCGATCTGCTCTCTGTTTCTCTGAGTTCAGGGGTTTTTAGATGCCACATGTAAGTGAGATCTTACAGAAGTTTTCTCTATCTGATTTATTTCACTTAGGAGGATGCCCTCAAGTTTCGTTCTTGTTGTCGCCAATGGCAGGATCTCCTTTTTATGGCTGGATAACATTTTGTTGTATATTCCACATTTTCTATATCCATGCATTTGTTGACAGGCACTTAGGTTTTTCCATGTCTTGGCTATTGTGAATGATGCTGCAATGAATAAGGGCATATAGATATTTCTTTGAGAGAGTGATTTTGTTTCCTTCGGATGTATACTCAGAAGAGGAATTGCTGGAACATATGGTTCTATTTTTAATTTTTTGAGGACTCTCCATACTGTTTTGCATAGTGGTTATACCTATTAACATTAATGTTTAGTCTTGAAGGCTCCGAGTTGTGCTTATAACAGCTAGAGTTTGTACATGTCTTGCACCACTCACTTGATAATAAAAATTTTCCGTATCTTTACACAAGACTGCTTTAAATAATAATTTCAGATTTACTTTGGATCTTAGAATATTTAAAGAGCTCATTTAAATGTTCACACTTCCCAAAACATAGATAAACCTTAAATGGCGCTGAGGTCCCTCCACTTGCCCTGTCGGGGGCGGGGGGGCTTGTGTAAAATCTGCCAGACTTCCTGACTTTTCTGAATTTTGTGAGCAGTTGCTTTCAGGGCATGTGAACTGTGAATGGTTTTCCTTTGATAAACTGCTTGAATCTCTCCAGACCGGTTTCCCCCAGAATGAGACAGCAACATTTTTATATTTTTATTTACAGCAAGTACGAAATCATGTATAAATATGTATTTTCAGAGATTCAAGACTGCTGTTGTGGGTGGTGATAAATTGCCAGGAGAAAAGATTAAGTCAGGAAAACTACGTCATAGTGTGTTCTCTTCCCAAGTGTTTGTTTATTTGTTGTTAAAGGTAAAGTGAAAGGGCAAAAGACCAACCTTTCTGGTTTCAAATAGATATTTATTTTTCTTTCCTAGGCTCTCCTATTCGGATATTTGGCGCATTTATGGTGGCATTTTAAATTTGTCAGAGATAACAAATGAAACATCTTTCTCACAAATAAAAGAGATTATTATTCACCAAAATTATAGTATCTCAGAAAATACTCATGATATTGCCTTAATAAAGCTTGAGGCTCCTTTGAATTATACCGGTACGTAGCACAGCTAAGGAGAAGCTGTACAGCTGAAGCATTGGTTTAAGTTTTCACATCAACGTGAATGAGAGGGCGGAATCGGCAGGGATTGTCTTTATTTTCCGGTTGGTAGAGTTGGGAGAAAGGTGAGGACTGCCAGGGAAGATAAGACTTCTGACTTGACATAAAAATCTCCTCCAGTAGGGGCAAGAAATATTCATTAGTTCTTTCAGGTAGGAATTCAACTGCTTATAAATTATTGAACTGATAGACATAGAGGTGTCTTTGGCATCCGGGAAGCATGGCTTCCTTTGACAAGTGGAGCAGAATTACCTGTGCTTTGGGCTTAGGCTTATCGAGGCTATATGAGGGCAAGCAGGACCAGACGTTAATTTCCAGGCGGAGTGTAAGCAGAGGGGAGACAGCTGCAGACGGCAGCTCTGGGAAGACAGGCCCGTGGCCGTGGAGGTGCTGCCTCGCAGGTGCAACGCCCTACAGCTGCAGACCGCCCTCTGTTCCGTTAACCATCCTGTGACCTTGGGCACGTTGCTTCTATTTCTTAGCACCGCAAATTTCCTCATCTGTAAAACGCGTATCCCTGTGGGTTGTTATAATAATTAACTCAGTTAATAAGTTAAAGCACTTAAAATGGGGCCTGAAACAGTGTTAGACACTTGATTGCCATTAAAAGTATCATACACAGTGTGATACAGAACCTCTAAACGATTTTGACTATAAATTTGGGTTCTGAGTTTTTAAATTCAATCCAGAAAATTTAACACCAAAAATGTCATATGGAAATGACTCTATGGGGGAAATTTCCTTAAATCCCTGACCTTAGAGATTGAGCAGGAAGCAAAAGGGTTGTTCTTCTTGGTGCTACTCCAGAGTAAGAGAAAACGGGAAAAGAGGAGTGTGTATTTTTAAAATCCGGATCTGTGACTTTAACCAAACTCTAATTTAAAAATTACCTTTCAGAATTCCAAAAACCAATATGCCTCCCTTCCAAAGAGGATACAAATATGATCTATACTAACTGCTGGGTTACTGGCTGGGGCTTCACAAAGGAGAAAGGTACAGTAAGGCAGTTGAAACACTGTTCTTAAGGCAAGTCTTATGTGTACATGGTGTGGGTCAGTTTCAGTTGGCACTGTCTAAAATTATATCCAAATTCATGATCTTTCCAATCTATTGATTCTCAAATATTCATTCAGTGGCTCTTGAAAAGCTGTATTTTTGCATAGGCCTGGAAGAATAAATAAGGTAAACTATTGAGCATCTTACTCTACAATAAAGATCATTTGTTTGACTTCACATAAAGGATTGGTCCCATAGAGGGCTAACTAGCCCACTCCAGCCCACCCTGTTCTTAGTGTTAATAATGTTCTCAGTTCCCAATGATACAATTTTCCCTTAATATTAATGGCCAGGAATATAAGCAGGTACACCATCTCTCTAAATGGTAGGCTTTTAGTTTTTTTTAATGCATCTTTCCTGCAATCTGATAAAGTCTATGAATTACTTCTTGAATGATGGTTTTAAATGTTTAAATAAAAGTACACAGGGCTACAAAAGCAACCCATGAAACTGCAGGATAGTTATCAAAAAATACTTTTTAAAAGATACGAAATAGTAATACATGTGCTTCTTCATTAATATATTTAATAGCATGTCGATCTAATAACTACCATAACTTCAAAATTGTGATGAGCACAAATGACAATTTCAGTTATCTGCCACAACTGTAATGTGATAGGAATACACTTGTGATTTATGTTGATGGGGAAGTCATAGGTATGGCTAATGTTCCTGAGACTGTTGCCTACACTCATAACTGAAGAGAATATTAGACTTCAGCTGGACATTGGTGGAACTAAGGATGTGTTTTTTCCTACCCAAGTTTGTAGACAGTATGAATTGTTTCTATGGATCCTAAGTTAAGAACCCCTACTTATGGATACTTGGGGCATTTCAATTGCCCTGAAATTTTCAGTACTTCCTTCCCAAAATTATGTTCCTGATATAATGTTTGCATCATTTTTTACAAAAAGAGCTTGCTAAGGTTTTCATTTTTTCTGATTCAGTCCTTTATTCAACTAATTTATATTTTTCCTAGTTTTTGACTAGTTGGAACAAGAAGATTCAAAAGTAACTTTAACTGGACACTGGTAGAATTTATTTGTAAATAAACTGTCCTTCCTGGAAAATGCTCATTTGCATCTACTTGAAGAATAAAATTCTGTTGCTAGAGACTTTGTTGACTTTTTCAAAAAATCAAATGTTTCAAAATTATCATTTTTAATATATAAAACAAAAACTATAAGGTAAAACCTTCCAGTATTTTAGATTTTAGGCAGCAAGAAGGAATTTCCAAGAAACCCATATTGAAATGACAGAATAGCAGAGAACACAGAACAAGTCCCTGGTCAGACGAGGGCTCTGGGTTGTCCTAAGAAAGCATCAGAGGCCGATACAGAGCCCCTTCTCTTTTTAACTCCCCCTACTCATCTTTACTATTTCTATCCAAAGGGATGGTCTTAATGCAAAGTTCATCTTTCTGATTTGCTTTAAGACTTCAGTCTTATTTTCATATTGATTGTATCTCTTCCTTCTGAAGTTATATATTGGTTACTTCATAGGTGAAATCCAAAATATTCTACAAAAGGTAAAAATTCCTTTGATAACAAATGAAGAGTGCCAGAAAAGATATAGAGATTATGAAATAACCAAACAGATGATCTGTGCTGGCTACAAAGAAGGAGGAAAAGATGCTTGTAAGGTAATATATTCAGTTCTATAAAAAGAATGCAATAGGTTACTTGAGAAAACTCATTTCACAATATATTTTCCAATAGCATATTCCATTATAGCTGTTTTTAAAATCTAAGCCAAATGATCTGTTACATATGTTAATTTCATATGTAACCTCTAAAAAATTGAATATGTATACATATAAAACATATAACATTTGTCACAATTTATGTAGAAGCATGCTATATTTAAGGGAGGGCAATTGTACATATATTAATTGTGCTAAAATATAAGAATATTAAACTTATGTGACAGTGAAATGATGATGTCCAAATTTCTTTGTTGGACAATACATTACTGAATTAAGTAATTTTCACCACATTTAACAGCTAATGAGGCATAAGAGATACCTTGATGTCTACAAGAAATTGGACGTGTGTGGTGTGACTACAGAATTTTAAAGGCTTGCCTGTCATAACCTTCTATCATTTTATTCTTCTCCCCACTGTGACACAGGGAGATTCAGGTGGTCCCTTAGTTTGTCAACACAATGAAATATGGCATTTGGTGGGCATCGCCAGTTGGGGTGAAGGCTGTGCCCGCAAAGAACAACCAGGTGTCTACGTCAAAGTTGCTGAATACATGGACTGGATTTTAGAAAAAACACAGGACAGTGAAGGACAGTCTTTAACGAAGTCGCCAGTGTGAGGAAGCTTCATAGAGGTGCACGAGAGCCCACAGTTCAAATACGAAGCCTTGGAGTGCTTACCTGCAGACATAAGCAGAGCGCCATTAATCTTGTGTACTTTCAGGCACATAAGAAGAGACAATGCGTACACAGTTGCTCGGGACGATGTCTTACAGAGGCATGCTCTTAGCCTGTTGCCACAGCAGTAACAACAGGAGGTGTTCGCTAAACATCATGATTGCTTTTTGTGAAATAAAGTTGCAAAAGAATGGAATTAAAGAGTGATTATTTTCTTTTGATTGTGAAACAGAGCTGAAGAAAAGTAACTCTAGATTCTAGCATAGTGTCTGAGACCAATCTAACCTTACTGCTTTCTCTGGAACTCAGAATAGATCAGAGACAACAATTTCTTCTCTGTGCTTGACCCATATGGCCATTAAACCTACCACCGCCCACCTTACTGAGGTGAAGAGCCAGTTAGCTTGATTTGTTTGTTTTGTTGCCAGGTGGAGGAGGATAAACCTGTGCAACTTTCATTTCCCTAAAAAGAGATTAATTTACCTGAGCTTTTGAAAATAGTGGTGCAACTCTTCTTCTTTTTCTCCTACTTTGGTTACCCTGGCATTGCTACAGGGCTCCAGGCTGGCTGAGCAAGGAAAAGCCGTGGGACTGCAGCTGCCTCGGTGTAGCTCCTGCCGTAGGCTCACTGCACAGCCTTCGTCGGGGGCAAGGAATCTGCTTTGCTGCAGGTTCCATGGATATTGGTATCCATGATAGCAATTCAAGAAGCACATTCAGTATAGAAATTCTCATGAAGTTCAGTCTTGTAAATTCATGGTAGTAGCAAGTAGCCCTGGAATGAATGATGTCAATCTTCACGTAACACAAATGCCAAGCTTGCCAGTGCTAAATGCACTGATACCAGGTAGTTGGACTCGGTTTAGTACAGATAACAACATTTAAGCAGACTTGTCCACCTGTTGAATGTTGTGTAAATTAAGTAGAAAAATAGAAAAGTTTCTAAAAGAGACTGAGTTTTTCCTTCCATACTTAGAGACGCCCTCAGTGGTGGGAAAGGCTACAGATGGAGGGGGTGGGAGAAAGAGACTTATGAAGTCTGGGCCCTTCACATACCATACAATAAGCAACTGAAGAATTACACTTTCTCCACAAGGAATAGCTGCAGATTTTATCACATCTGGCTGGATTCCATGAAAGGATTAAAAATAACCACATCCTCATTTTTTACTTTGTCATGGATGTTGTTTTATATTTAAACAGGAAAAAAATGGTTTTCAATAAAAAATTTTTTACCTGTGGCTTTCCGTGTTGATGATTCTACAGGGTGTTCAAACAGTGCTTGCAGAGTAACCTTTGGGTTTTTGTTGGTCAAGACAGGACCTTGTTTGGGGCAGAACTGAGAGGAGAGTTTTGAAATGTGGACCTTCTCGGGTATGAATAATCATTTTAAAGACGGAAGGAGGGAGGGGTGTGCGGGGCAAAAGGAAGGGAAGGAGCAAGTCAAGAAACATATAGCATGGACTCATGAACAAAGCCAAAGTGGGGAAGGATTGAGGGAGGGAGAGGAGAGAGGGGAGCAGGGGAAAGTGGTGGGGGGAAGGCAGAGACAAATGTATTTGAAAAAATTAATTAATTAAAATATATATATATATATATATATATATAAAGGACAGATCAACACTCCAGAAAAAGAGTAAAATGAAATGGAGATAAGCAATCTATTAGATGCAGAGTTCAAAACACTGTTTATAAGGCCCTGGCTGATGTGGCTCAGTGGATTGAGTGCTGGCCTGTGAACCAAAGGGTCACTGGTTTGATTCCCAGTCAGAGCACGTGCCTGGGTTACGGGCCAGGTCCTCAGGAGAGGGTGCTCAAGAGACAACCACACATTGATGTTTCTCTTCAGCTCTTTCTTCCTCCCTTCCCCTCTTCCTAAAATAAATAAATTTCTTTAAAAAATCACACTGTTCATAAGGACACTAAAGGAACTTAGTGAGGACCTCAGTAGCATAAAAAAGACCCAGTCAGAAATGAAGGATACATTTTTGAAGTAAAGGACAATTTACAGGGAAACAACAATAGAATGGATAAAGCTGAGAATCAAATCAATGATTTGGAACATAAGGAACTAAAAAACAACCACACAAAACAAGAAGAAAAAAGAATCCAAAAGAAGAATGAAGATAGTATAAACAACCTCTGGGACAACTTCAAGAGGTCCAACATTGGTATTATAGGGGTGCTAGAAGGACAAGAGAAAGAGCAAGAAATGGAAATCTATCTGAAAAAATAGTGAAAGAAAATGTCCCTAATTTGGCAAAGGAAATAGACATGCAAGTCCAGGAAGCTCAGAGAGTCCCAATTATGACGGATGCAAAGAGGCCCATGCCAAGACACATCATTATTAGAAGACCAAAGTTTAAGATAAAGAGAGACTCTTAAAAGCAAGAGAAAAGAAGTTAGTTACTAAAAGGTTGCCAGATGGGAAGGAGAGGAGGAGAATGGGTGAAGAGAGGAGATTAAGAAATACAAATAGGTAGTTACAGAATAGCATTGCAGATGTAAATTACAATGTAGGAAATGCAATAGCCAAAGAACTTATACGCGTAACCCATGGACATGCACAAAGGTGGGGGCATTGCCTCAGGGAGTGGAGGGTGCTCAATGGAGGGGGCAAAGGGAGAAAAGCAGGACAACTATAATAGTATAATCAATAAAATATTAAAAAAAGTGAAATGTGGACCTTCTCAGGTATGAATAATCATTTTAAAGCTGCCAGTCGAAGTCAGTGGCACTGAACTGGTCTCTTTATTTCTCACGAAGTCTTCATGTATGGGGTGAATAGGGGAGCCCTGCATACAATAAGAGCCTTTGGGATGGAGAAGTGGGTAAGAGGTTAAGAAAGTGAGGGGCTGACCTGGATTCACTCTCATGAGGAAGAGGGATAAGAAAGCAGGACATCGGGCAGAGCCATCTGCTCTTGGCCTCTGCCAACAGCAAGTGGACCTGTGTGACAGACATCACCCTGTCACATCTGATACAAGGTTAGCCAAAGGCTCCCACTTCTGTCTCTTTTCTCACCCAGGTGTGGGAAACCTCTCATTTGAATTGAATGCTCTTATTTTAATTATTGTTTATCTGCTCACCAAACTGTGAACAACTCTGAAGGAGTCCCTCTTTCATATGGCATATCAGTGGGCATTGAGTAAATATCTAATGAATGAACATATCTTTATTTTAAAGACGAGACAATGGAGGCATGCAAGAGATCAAAAGATTAGCTCAAGGTCTGGCAAGTACAGCACCAAGGACAAAGGGTGGCATTCTTATCCCAAATACCAACCCCTAGCAAGTTGCCTCACGTGATAAGAAGGAGAAAAATGGCAGGGGCTTTTCTAACCATCATTTGTTATTTTCCTTATTGTCAAAGACAATCAGGGACAGTTTTGCCCTCCCAACCCCACCCAGGGGACATTGGGAAATGTCTAGAGCCATTTTTGGTTGGCATACCTGGGCAAGTAGGTGCTACCAGCACTGTTGAGTAAAGGCCAGGGTTGTTGCTTAAACACTACTATGTGCTTAAATGGTGCCACATAACAAAACATCATTTGGCCCAAATTTCAGTCATGCCATGGTTGATTAACTCTGATCTAAGGTCAAGAGCAAAACCTTATCATAAAAAAGAGATATTTCAGGAACAGCAAGAAAGGGCTGTAGCACATGGGAGGCTGTGTGCTTTTTCAAAGCAGGTCTTTATGGGAGAGAGGTGCCCGAGAGCAAGCTGACTCTGCCCGGACCGAGGAAAGGCCTCTACCAGCCATGTGCCCATATGGTACCCTGTCCCACACAGAGGGCTTGAGGCCACCAACAACCCTGGCTTCTGACTTGCACTTTGGTCCCTGTGGACTATATTCTAGATTCTTCCTCAGATTGCGTCTAGTAATTCCCCATTTTCATTAGGCTTCCACAGCATTTTATTTCACTGCAGGGTTGGGGGGTTGGGGGATTAGAAGGCTGGGAAACCTTTACCTTTAGATAAAAGTAGTCAACATCAGAATTCCCACCTGCAATGGCATTAGTTGAAAAAATCTGTTTGAGTTTGAAAGGAATCTCGAAGAATTTCTAGGCATTAAGACTCTCATTTCACTTTTATTTGAATAGAGAAAAAATATTTTTGGAATCCTTATATTATTTAAAAGGGTTTAGAGATTTAACTAACTCTCTAAACCACATTTAGGAGAATATTATTTGGTTCCCTGGTGAAGTATTTCTCTCATTCGAGTCTGTTTATCTCACGGTGTTGGACAGTTACCATTATAGTCTTTTCATTGGGCTTTTAAGATAGATATGGAATTTCATATATGGAGGAAGGCCTTGACAAATGAGTTGTTCTCACGCTTGGGTCTGGCAATATGAAGGGGAACAAGGACACATGTTCAACCTGGCATGACCACCAAGCTGGCATGCAGAATGTCTTGGAGGCACACCACCAAGAATTGAACTATCTTGCTTGTTCCTTGGAGTTCGCTAGAGGCATGGAACAGCCTTGGTTATAGAAACACTTGAGCCTTAAATAGCTGGAAGTGTATGTGACTGGTAATATTTGTTTTTTTGCTTTGAATGCGTTACTATCCACCCTCATTCTTTTCCTGTTTAATAAATATGATGAGAAAACCCTGCTCACGGCTCTTCAGCCTTGTGCTGCTGAGTCCTCTGCTCCTCATCTTATCGTCCAAATCAGCGACTGGTCCTTGTTCGTCTCCGTTCGCACTACAACATTCATGGGTAAACAATGCAGGGATATAAAGACCTTATGTAATTTCACATATCAGTTTTCCATGAAAACTTATCTTGGCATTAATTTGTCATTCCATGTTGTGAAAAGCAGATCATCTTAAATAGGTGCTTTTTGTGTAGCTGGAATGTACTTAATTTTAAATTGGAAACTCAAGAGAGCAACTAAGGACTCTTCACACCCAGCTCGGTCATAAAACCTTGGCAACAGATCAAATAAAAATATTTGAATAGCTGTCTTCCAGATAGAATGCCACAATACGTACCTTGGTACTTCCATAAAGATCTCTTCTAAGCTCAAATCCCTCTTAAGTTTCTGCCCTATGGAAGAAAATGCTGGCTTTTCTCTTCTCAAAAAGACTGAAATGAGTTTATAGGGGGCTAAGCTTCAAATTTACCTTTACTAATTGTTCTCTCACTGTCTCCTTCAGTATGTTTTCTTCTCCAGCCCCCATATTTCTCTTTACATAAGAGTTTTGAAAATGGTTCTAATCTTGGGCTATCTTTTCTATGTAGGCTTTTGGCCACAAATGACTGGGTATTGCACACCTTCAGACCTCACTTAAATAAAGACATTATTACATTGGAGATAAAATGCGATTGTGTCTCTCTGTTTCCAAATATTGAAATGCTCAAAGTAAACTGGTGATGTTTCCAGATGGCCACACTCATATTAGCACATTGTGCCTGAACAAAGTACACCATTTCTTCTGGTATTTCTAACTTCTGTAAGATCTCAAACAGGGACAAACTTGTAACTTTGTTTCTCCCCTCATCTTTAGAATATTTTTTAAAACTCATGACTCCATTTATAAACACCTCAGAGCTTAGTTTGTTTTTCTGCAGAAAATTAGAAATCTTCTCTGGACCATAAAAATTTCTTTCCCTAAAATGTATGTAAATCAAACATTTCATTTTTTTTTCAATTTTATTTCTTTTAGGTTGCCAGGGACCACATGCAAAGTTTTAGGGCTAGTTAATATCTAATGTTATAAATGAGGAAACTGGGGCCCAGAGAGATAAAGCAACTTGGCCACGGACTCCCATACTCACAGTGATAGAGCTGCGGCCCAACTGCCAAGACCGGTAAACTAATCCATAGATCTGGTGACGGAGAATATTCCTCAGCAGGCCATTGAGAGAGAGTTGAGCCCTTCCTCAAAGTCAACAGGAAGGCTATTAACAGAAATGCAATTAATAGATGAAACCCAGGAAAACATTTCTCAAGCTTCTCTCTCTATGACCTGCCACAAGTCCAACACAAGGAAGCGCCCTCAAGGACCAAAGGAACTGACCTGTTATTTTTTTGGTTGCTTGTCCCACAACAGCGAGACCTGCCATTCCCAACATCTCCATTTGTGTTTCAGTGCACTGGGGTCTAAAGAAAGCTATCGAAGTCCCGTGTGTGAGAGTGCGAGCGTGCGCGCATTTTAATTTAATTTATATGTTTAGTGTTTGCAAGTGGGATAAAAAGAGCTGGCCCCTCAGAGCTAACCATGTCCACATAGGCCTCTGAGGAGGTAACGTTACACGCAGGGACACGGAATGCAGAGCAGTGGTGCACCCCCCCTCAACCCCCGGCAGCTGAAGCTTCATCCAAGAGCTTCCCTTGTTTTCTTTTCAGACGGGGAGACTCCAGTCAGCCTTGAATTAATAATGATTAACAATGGATATTTGAAAGTGTGGGCAAATGCAGGCATGCCCACTGTAAACCTGCCCAACTTCGGAGGCCCGCAGGCCCGCTCGAGTCCCCCAGCTGCCTCTGTGTGCCATTTGTTTGAAATTACAGTAAAATAAGAGAAAAGAATGAACGTGTTGAAAAAGAAAGCAACTTTACCAAGGTAAATTTGGGATACGCATAGATTTTAATGGCTTTCCCAGACATGCTGTACAAAGAGACAATATTACATAACACTGGGAACCGGTGAAAGTAAATATTAAAGTTAAGTGAACATTCCCCGTGCACACACATTCAGAGGACGATGAAGACCATTTTGGAGGAAGAAAAGCACTTTTATTAAGAATTTCATCAAACAAGGGTTTTTCAGGTATGGTTTCAAAAATTATTATTTATGATGTCTATCAAGCAATTATTCCTTGAAGTGCCTTTTCCTACCAAAGGAAGTTTTAAAAATTTGCAACAGGAAATGATTGATTTTTTAAAATTTGTCTGGTTTAACATTTTAGATGTTTTTAGTTAATATCAGTAACCAATTTGAGAGGAGATACACCGTGAAAGAAAAGTAATAATAGTCAATAACAAGTATTTTGTAAATTAAAAAGATCTTCAAGAGCAATATTAAGAAATCAGAAGTCTTGATTTATCTCGCTGATAGTTTTTCCTAGTGTAGTGCTTCATAGGGATAAGTGTGTATAGAGGTGCCCAAGAAAACTTTGTAATTTACTTGCTGCAGAATTTTAAAAATAGAAAACCTAAGTAGAATATTGTCTACTTTCATAGCTATATGAAGAGACTTCAAAGGTGGACAGAAAGGAAGTAGATTGGAAGAGAAGATAAAAATGGAAAAATTGGGATGGGTCAAGGGGTCAAGGGATAACAATGAGAAATATTTGAAGAATAGCGAGGTGAGGGTGGAGGAGAGGAAGGGAAGGGGAGAGAGGACGGGAGAACACCCGTCCCCCATCAGGGCTGGGTTCTTGAGAACCATGAAAGTGTTGAACACTTTCACACACTGCCCTGCCCTGCCAAGGAATGTTCTCAGATTTGGGGCAGATAAAATTTGCTATTCGGATAGGAGCCCTGTGAATACTATTGAATTAAGTACTCCTTTTCCCCTCGCTGTCTCATGTAAACGGTGATCAACAAACTGATTGGAAATTCACATTTTATGTTCTAAAACCAAGCACATTTTTCTTTTTGTAGGATGATTTTATTATACCAAATGGTACACTTCATTTTATTTGCGTCAGTTTCTGGTGGTAAGTAGAGATTTATCTTAAGTATGGACTGGAAATAGAGTCTTTCCTGACTTGTAGGTTAGAAAACAAGAGGACGTAACCCCAGAGACAGAAAGCACACCACAGTCCCCAGACACGTGGGGAAATCTCACACGATCCACTCCATGGACGGAAGGAAATACAGTTGTCTTATTTACTTTCCTCTGAAGTCTCCAGAGGCTTTCAAAGCAGAAAGGAAAGTGAGGTGAGAGAGTGCGCAATAGCACAAATTTATGTCTATATATTTCTATCCATATCTATACTTCTATTCATATGTAAATTTACATTGCATGTTTAAATGATATTTAAGAGCGATATTAAAAGACAGAAGTGTGGATTTGCCTCACTGATTAGTCAGTTTTCCCTCAAGCAGTCATTAAGGCAACACATACAGACGCACACATGCATGCAACTTAGGGCTGAAAAATATTTTGCAAATATTCATACAATTAGAATTTATACATTTCAATAATTTAACTACTGCTATTAATCCTTCAGTTTGCATAGCATTCACTACATTTGTTTACAAATTACTTAACCAATATTCAGAAGGACATATCAGTACAAGTATTTTTAGACCCTATGTTTATTTTTTTATTTAAGACGAAAACATAAAACATTTATTATAAAAATAACATATATCACAGTTAATTTCTGCTACTATTGCTAGCATCTTATTCAGAGTAAACTTTTTTTGACATATGTGAAAAATGACAAATCTAAGTAAAGAGATTTAAAATAAAATAAATTCTACTACAGTTCATAATTTCATTTCTCTTCATGACAGGATTTTTACTCAGATTATTATATTTCTTCATTATAATCACTCTAAAATAATATTGTTATTTCATTCATTAATAAGTCAGTGATAACTAAATGGACATATTTTGAACAATTGGCCCAACAACTGCATACATACATACATGCATTCTTTTCACATGCATGTGGAACCCTTACAAAAACTGGCCACATACAAGGCCCTAAGCCAAGTTTCAACAAATTTTAAGGAATTAAAATTATGTAGAACATGTTATCTGATCACAGTGGAATTGCTCTAAAAAACAAAAGACAGCTGAAAAATCCCCAACTGTTTAAAAATTAAGTAGTGCCCTGTTAAATAAATATGGGTCAAAGAAGACATCTCAATGGAAATTAGAAAATATACTGAATTGAATAATAATGAAAATATGCCATACCAAAGCTTTGGGATATAGCTGAACCAACACTGACGTCAAATGTGTAGACCTGCACACACCCATTAGGAGAGAGAAACGGTAAAAATTAGTGATACGAGAATCCAGCTCAAGAAGGTAGTAAGAGATTAGCAAAATAAGTGCAAAGAAACAAGGTGGAGGAAAAAATAAAGACAACTGCAGGAATTAATGAAATGTGAAACATACATATTAGAGAAGGTCAACACGGTCATGCTCTCCCTCCCATTTTATAAGGTCAGTGTCGTCTCATCGCTAAAACCCGACAGGGCCACTGCAACCAATCACAGGCCTTTCGCCCGGCGAACAGAGTGGCGTAGAGAAACGCAGTGTTACCAAACTGAACGCAGTGGTATATATTTTTTTAAAAATGAGTATATTGCCACAAAGCTGGGTTCATTGCAGGAGTGAAACGTTAGTTTAGCAACTAACAGGCAGTGGTGGCGCCTCTCTTGATTCACGATCGCCAGAAGGGCGGCAGCAACCCAACTGCCCGCCAGTGGATGAATGGACACACAATGATGTATTATTTAGCCTGAGAAAGGAAGACAATGCTGGCACATGCTACGACACAGCCAAACTTAGGAGATATGCTTAGGAAAAGAAGCCAGTTGCAAAAATACAAATAGTGTGTGATTCTACTTACATATGGTACAAAGAGCAGTACCTTGTACAGGTAGAAAGCAGAACGGCGGTTGCCAGGGTTTGGAAGGAGGGATGGAGAGCTAATGTCTAATGGGTAGAGACTTTCAGTTGGGGAAGATAAAAAAGTCCTGGAGACATACAGGTTACTTCAACACAAAATAAAAACAATTTTGAAAATTAATACATGCAAAAAATCTTTGATAAGATTTCATTCATGATTAAAAACTCTCAGGGAACTGGAAATAAAAAGAAGCTTCCCTCACCTGTTGAAAAATATTTTAAAAATAACAAACAGAAATTCAAACCAAAAATGTTCAATAACTTAATACTTAATAGTCGAATATTGAAAATTTTCCATAGAAATTGAGAAAAAGGTAAGAATTTCCACCATTGTTTCCATTAAAACATGATCCTGGTGGTCCTAGTTAAGGCAGCAGGAATGGAAAACAAAAAAAGGGGAAAAAACTAGAGGAAAATAACTCTCATTGTTCACAGATGATATGAATGTGTACCTCCAAAAATTCAAAATAACCATCACATAAATTATTTGAGCCAATAAAGTATAATAGCAAGAAGTTTGGAATACAGTCAATATATAAAAACAAGCCCCTGCTAGTCCTTCAAAACACAGATTAACCAGTTTTTTCTGCCACTAAAAAGCTGTATTTGGATTTTGAAAATCAACTTGCCTTGTAAAATTAAAGGATCGATTAGTGGGGGGTAAATTCTAAGAAATTCGGCATCTATATTAAATATGTAAAATCTATTTAATTTACCAAATGAATAAAAAGCTTCTTAAAAATGACATATTAATGTCCCATGTTTGCTTAGCACCAAGAGCAGGGATCTCCATGGTCAAAGGGAATATTTCGAAGTGCTAGTAGACCCCTGTAGCCAGAGGCTGCCGTGCAAGGAAGCAACCGAGAGCCGGGCGAGAGGCCGCGGGTTTCCGTGGACCCGAGCGTCACTACGGGCGTAGCTGTCAGTGTTGGAGAAAATTGCGCTGCGCACAGAGATTATAAGTACATGGTGGACTTTTGAGGCCAGTGTGTGTGGCAGGGTCCTTGACTCTCCTCCCCATGGGTCCCGCCATCAGTTGAGGGAACCCTCTGCGCTCCATTCTCAGAATAATGTTTTAAAGGCGAAAAGAAAATAAGTACACAGGATCACCAAGGAAACCAGTCATATTAAAATGTTAAAATGTCAGCTGGTTAAAATGGGAAAAAAAAGGGGGGGTATAAAAATAGACAAGCTTCTTTATAAACACATTTTGTAACAGGATTTAGTGGTGGGTCTAGAACTGCACAGTAATAATTACCACCAAACTCGTCATGAGCTACAACAGCATTTTGAGGTATCTGCAACGATGGCATTTTTATTGTAAATCTGTGATTTCTGCTCTGACAAAATCACAGGTACTATGAACACTAGCGTGGTTTGTTTCCTCCACTTATAATAGAAGCACATGCCACATTTCAGTTGCAGGCTAGTGAAAATCAAAATGAAACCCCCCTGTCTCAGTGCATGGACTGCCTAAACCCTGTAAGCCTCTAGTCATAGTCTGACTGCTTGCGCCTACACACCTTCCCACAGATTTATTCATCCGTCAGTTGTTACAACAATAAATATTTGAGTTTCATTTTATTCTGCTCAAAGGATTTTCATTTTTATTATTTATTTGTGTGTAAAACAGGTCTGTATTATATGTATATATTGTGATACACATATATTCGATATTTAGAAGACCAACGGCTATATAAGAGTACTTCTCAATGAGAATTTACCAAGATTAAAAACTACCTTTTATTTCGTGACTAAATAAGAATGAACCCCAAAAGCCACAATCCAGAATATTATATATCTCTCTGTAAAAACAGAAAAAAACATTTTTTTAAATTTTATGCAACTTAGGGTATGTGGTTTTAGCTGAAGGGGATTCAATTATTTTGGAGAGTCTAAGGGTCCTGTCCCCAAACTGGCCCATGACCAACAGCGAGATGTGATGTGTTACCACATCCTGGGCCATCGAATGCTAATAATCATGCGGGAGCCTTTGTTCCAAGTAAACGTGGAGTTTGGACTGACGGAAGCAATGGGCAAAGGGAGAAGCAGGGGCTCTGGATTTGGATGGGATCTGAGAGATCATCTTTTGCCAGTAAAGATCTGAGAAGTGATCCAAGTGTGCAGAAGACTCCCACATCTCCAAGACAATCACTCATGAGTAGGAGTCCAGGGAGGCAAAGGTGACATTCTATGATGTTCTTCTCTACCTGAGGCTGCTCTCCCAATAAGCTAAGGTAAAAGTTTCATTGCCCTGGCTTCCAAGTTCAGGTGTATTTTCTGTTAAGGAACCGTCCTTTGTCTTTGCGAGACTGTTACCTAATTAGATATGTGCTCACTAAGACCCACATGTTGCATCACAGAATGTGTGACTAAGCTGTTCAAAGATACCTGCGTTCAAGGAGGTGATGTTGCTGCTGTGTTTACGCCCAGCGCTGAGCACTGTCAGGTTGTCTGCACGCATCACCCACAGTGTTTGCTCTTCACTTTTATGGCTGAATCATCATTTGAAGATCCTGCCAAATGATAGGTATTTGCCCTTCTACACAGAGGAAATTGATGGTACACAACAATGGCCTACTAATGAAGTTCCACCTGTTATTTTATGAGATTTAATGTTAATCAAAATATGTATTGTTCTTCAAGTGAAATATTAAATATAACAGAAAAAATAGGGTGGCCAGGCAAACGGGGAAGGACCAGACATAACTCTCAGGGTGGACTCCAGCCTCCCTTGTGGCCTCGATATTCATGGTGTGCTTTCTTATTTCTCTTTACCTTTATGCCTCTTGGTCATTTTGCTCTTTTGATTATTGTTTATTATGATTTGATTTTTTATTGATTATTGATATTTGATATTATGTAAATTGACATTTTTCCCTCAACAATTTTGTCAGGAAAAAAATTAAATTTTATAAAACAATGAAAGAATTCAGTGATCCCTTATCACCAGCAAGACTTTTTGACATTTGTGTCTTACTCATCTATATTGTGTATAGTTTAACAATTCAAAATGATTTGAAAACATCAGAACATTCGCCCTTAAATATTTCAACCTCCATTATCTTACACTAAAGGCATAAAAAGTTTTTAAAAGAATCACTTTATATCACCTGAATTGCCCCCACCCCATGGTAATTTATAGTTCTTAACCAAAATCTTATCAAGATTCGCAAAGTGCATTAGGTGGTTTTGTCTCTATAGTCACGTATTTCAAAATTTGCGAACATTCCACTCACCGCTTCTGTTCCCGTGTTGAACTTGAAAATTAAAAATAAACCTTTACTGCCAGATTAAGTTATCAACATTTTTGTATATTATGGCTGCATTCATAGATATTTACATAGCACCCTGAAGTTATAAAGTGTACTGTTCTAGACTGTACAACAGTAGCTAACAATTTTCTTTTTTGACAAGGCAGAGAACAAAATTTTGTCCAGAGATAAGATCATGGATATTATATAAGTACCCATATAATCATTTAAAATGTAACCACTAAAATATGGAAACCATTCCTAGCTCATGGGCTATACAAAAACAGGTAGAGGCTGCACTTGAACTACAGGCCGCAGTTTGCCCACAACCTTTTCCTGTTGGGAAGGAGAATTATTATATGTGATCTTTTAAATGTGAGGATGTCGGGTTGAAAACACCAAACTCACAGTCTTGCTAAGAGAATATTTATTTTGGCATGAAATAGAGTAGCTTCTTTCCTTCTCTTTGAATTTCTCTATGCTGACTTTTAAGACATTATTAAGACATTCTCTACCTGAGGCTGCTCTCCCAATAAGCTAAGATAAAAGTTTCATTGCCCTGGCTTCCAAATTCAGATGTATTTTCTGTTAAGGAACCCTCCTTTGTCTTTGTGAGAGTGTTACCTAATTAGAGATGTGCTCACTAACATCCACATGTTGCATCACAGAATGTGTGACTAAGCTGTTCAAAGATACCTGCGTTCAAGGAGGTGACGTTGCTGCTGTGTTTTTAAAGCAAAATTTCCTCCTATTTTAAAGCAAAATTTCCACTCAGTAATGTTATTTTATTTTTTTAAAAACAGGTTTACTTGCCTCCTGAAAGACAGTGTGACAGAAACACTGCCAAGAGTAAATGTGACAGGAGCAATTTCTGGCTACTCTTTCAAGCAATGCTCACACCAAATAAGCGGTAAGGTGTCTTATGGGAACAAATAAATGCGAGTTGTTAGGATGTATAGATATAGTTACATCAGGTTTGGTCTTGTGGCTATAAAAGAAAACCCCGCTACATGGCAACAAAGTCTCCTTATGAAATTCTTTCAGCGTAGAGTAAAAATTAGCATCCATGGCTGGATGTCCCTTCGCCTCGTTATATAGTTTCAACTGAAATTGATCTCCTAGGACATATCTCATTACATCAACATTCATCATTCATTTTTCCCTCCTCCCCAGCTTCAAATTTTATAGGAAAGTCCTTGTTATGCATATTAATTCAAATCAAAGCAAGCAAGTGTTGAGATGATTCCTGTGTTAACAGTGATAGAGATACTTGAATAGGTTAATTAGTGCATCCACCAATCAGTGGAGTTACAGAGACAAGAGCGTTCAGGTCAGAAAACTGAAACAAGGACTTACAATTCTAAAATTGTATCAGTATACGAGAAGAACACGGGCATTCTTCTGCTGGTTCCCTGTGAGAGCAGGAATTCAGTAGATTCCGATAAAAACAACGGACGGCGGAGGGAAGCGGGCGAGCGCGTTGAAAGGGGAAGCCAGGAGGAAGGGCCGCTGCGGGCGCAGCTCCCAGCGGCCCCCGGAGTCTGGAAGAGAACCCTGTGTTCCGCGTCATTTCCAGCTTGCAACAAACAAGTTTACGGGGACCTGGACATGAAGGGCATGAACTATCACAGGTCTGTCACCGCGAGCGCTCGCGCGTGCCAGGTGAAGTGCACGGACGACCTGCACTGCCACTTTTTCACCTACGCCTCGGGGTCGTTTCCCAGCAGCGATCACCGGTGAGTGCGCCCAGGGAGGCCGGATTACCCCGGCGGCAAGCAAAACCGGGACTCGTGGAAATGCCTTTCCCTCCACTTGATGCCAAAATTTATTGTTAACTCCTAAGAGACAGTTCTTCATGGAAAGCGCTACATTTTTAAATAGGCAATTTTGAAACATTTATAATTGGTAGTCTGACCATTCCATTCCCAGCCTACAGGATGCTACGGTTTGGACCCTATAAAACAATAAAAACAAAACAAAAACTCTACTTGTAGCTCTCCCAGTACAAAAGAGCTGAAGCCCATGTGAAATGTTTTACCTCACCTCCTACTGTATTGCAAAATATTCCAGGAATATGTCTATTTTGTAAGAATATAAAATGATCTTCTCTCTAATGATTAACTTGTGCTCTCTTTTAAACAGATTTAGGGGAACATGTCATAATATTTAAATTTTTTTTTAGATTTTATTTATTTATTTTTAGAGAGAGGAGAGGGGAGGGAGATAGAAAGGGAGAGAAAACATTGATGTGGGAGAGAAACATCCATGGGTTGCCTCTTGCACGCCCCCTCCTGGGGACTTGGCCCGTAACCCAGGCGTGTACCCTGACTTAGGACCTTTCAGTTTGCAGGCTGGCACTCGTCAGTCCACCGATCCATACCAGCCAGGGCCATAACTCCTATATTTAGAAATAATTTAGATGTTCTAAATTTATATGGTAAACTACAGTTGTCTGGAATTCAATGAAAACAGAAATAAGTTCAAATGACTCACATTTGGATTTTACCATTCTTCTGCTTTCCCTATTCATAAAAGAAGACGAGGAGAAAGCAGGTAAAATATCAAAAGATTTATTTCGAAAACAACAATGATAAAACAGAACCACCCCCTAAATTAATCATTAAACTTTCATGCTTATTTTTGAAGCTTTTTTTTTTTTTGTCCTTCGCTCACCTCAAGCTACATATTTTTGCATATTTTACACCCAAGACTTAACACAATGTGAATAAGCCAGGATATTGGGAGTTAGTGGGCATTTTTTTTTTTTTTAAAGCTACAATGCTGTAGTTGAGAGGGGCCCGGGAAGCCGTTCACTCCTGCATCCTCCCACTCCCTCTCACCACGCCTCTCCAGTAGCCAGGGGACCGATGAGGACGGAGGGGTGCACTCGCAGGTCCGCCGCCTACCGGGCCTCGGCGGTGCGGGGACCGAGCCCAGCTGCTTAGCCTCCAGATCAGCGCTTTTCAGAGACCTTCCTCGGCGCTGCGGCTCAGGCCGTCTCTACCAGGGAATTGGTCATTGGACGGTTTCTCTTCCTCGCATTGGGAAGAATAAAACATTTTTCCATTTTTGTTTTTATTCAGTAACGTTTGTCTCTTGAAATACACCCAAACGGGGATGCCAACCAGGCTAACGAAGCTCCACAAAGTGGTGTCTGGATTTTCGCTGAAGCCCTGCGCGCTTTCTAAACTGGGTAAACTGTTATTTCCCGGACGAGGGGCCCCAGCCATTGAGTATTAGTTGCCCCTGATATGCATGATGGCCTCACTTAAGACACCCATCCTCTTCACTGGTGGCATGAGCCAGGTGGCATTTTGCCTTCTGTGTGTGAAAAATTGTATTATGTCTCATACAGTTACAATTTATATTGAAATTTAAGCTTAAAATGATCACGTAAGTTTTCCCCATTGAAACAACTTTGAAAGACTTTAAGCTACACAAACTTTTGAAAAATTGTGATTAAGACTTTATTTCTTTAGAGTCCTTTTAGGTTCACAGCAAAATTGAGGGGACGGTATAGAGATTTCCCCAGCACAGCGTTTGCGGACAGTACCGTCGACAGCGTCATGGCTCCAGACGCTTTCGTCTGTCGCAGCATTTGTACTGACCATCCCAATTGTTTATTTTTTACCTTCTTTTCTCGAGAGTGGCCGGAGGAATCTGAAAGGTCAGGAGTTAAGAGTAAGAGGAATGTGTTACCTTTTAAAAACAGCCCATCAAAATCCACCATGAAAAATTCTGAGTTAACTCTGAGTTCAATCGGAAGGTAGAGGCCGATAGGAGCTGGATGGAAGAATCGCTCCCTCCTCTCACTTTCTATTCCCTACCCACTGACCACGCATCCAGTGTCAGCACGGAGTCCTGGTTTTCTTTAATGCCCCGTTTAAGGACATTATGCCTGTAGCAGAAAGAGCTGGAAATATCAGTGAAATGTCAAATCCAAAGTGGAGAGAGGGGAAAGTAACGGCAGGAGTGGGGATGGCGGTGGAGGGAGGTTTGAGATTTCCCTCCCTGATTGGGTGTTAACATGGCAAACCGTAGTGAAACACGGGAAAATTCTTTGATCATTAATGGGATACTTGCAGGGGTTGTTGTTCATCATCAACCAGGCTCACTAAAACAATAGTCTGAAGGTTAGGTCTTCATCAAAACCTAGAATCTGTATGTTATCAAAATTGGAATTCTCAGAGCCCTTCACATTTGCTTGACGTGGCTGCTCCTTTCTAGGGACAGCGTTTCCCGGGACAATCCAGCGAAGGTGAGCCCTTGAGTTCCTTTGTCCATCGAGCAAGACTGGTTTTCCATGGAGTGAGGCTGTAGTTTCAGAAGTACTGGATCTATTGCATGAAAATATATCTGTTAACTTTCATTTACTTAACAAATTTAATATAATTTGTTTGGTGCCTGCTAGATACCAGGCACTGTTCTAGACACTGGGGCTACCATTCTTGAACTAAATAGATGAAAACCCTGCCCTCCTTGGACCAGCTTGGAAGGGATAGAGAAGTAATCCAATTGGGGTGTATTGTCAATGTAGAGCCGCTAAGACTTGCTGATGGATTAGATGCCCTGGGGAAGGATAGAAAGGGTCAGTGATAGCTTCAAGATTTCTGGCCCAAGAAAGTGAAGGGATGGAAACGCCAATGACTGAGATGTGGGAGATGTCAAGAGAAGAGAAGTTTCTATTAGATGTTCAAAGAGAAATGTCGAGTTGGTGATTAAGAAGAGAATTCTGGAATTAAGAAGAGACATTTACGCTCTAGATCTCTACTCAGGCAGCACCGGTATATGGCGGATAATTAAACCCATGAAACTGGTGAGCTCATCACAGGATTGAATGCAGTTAGAGAAGAAAAGAGGGTCAAAGATCAAACCTTGAGGCATAATCAGTTTCAGAAAAAGATGCCTTTGTAATGTGTTATTTTGTGTAACCGCTGCTCTTTTTTTCTTTCTTTTATAAAATTCCCAGTCAATACCCGTGAGGGAAGTAGCACATCTGACTCTCAAAACAGGGTGACAGAGGAACATGGGTGCTGTAAGCCAAGATTGGGCTTTTTTACATTTAAATTAATTAGAATGAAAGAAAACTAAATATTCTTTTTCTTAGCGGTACTAGCCACATTTCCAGTAGCCTCGCACACCTAGTGGCCATTGCAGTGGACGGCATCCACGACGAAAATTCTGTTGGACAGCAATGTGCTCGGCTGTGATTTTGTGCTAATTAGGGACAATCACTCCCTTCCAGGAAGATGCTGCTTGGCTGTGAGGCCTGCAGTGGTTTTACTCGTCTATGTCCAAGTTTGCAGCAGCTGAGGGGGGCTGATTTCTCGGTAGCACGAACATCCTTGAATGTTTGAGATAGGCGGGGAGAATTGAAAGGAAGGAAATAAGGAAGATGTCAGGAACACCAACAACAGAGCGAGCTCAAAAAGTGGATGTGGAGGCGGTGGTTCTGAACATTTGTCTCTAACCTACGGCCCCTGGGAGTTGACCCGGTGATTTAGGAAGCGTACTTTTAAACTGGGAAATTTTTGCTTTTAAACACCAGTGTGAACTGACTTACATGCGGGCTGTAAAAAAAATGTTGTTTTGCTTTGACATGTTTTATATGACATATTGATATTTCCCTTCTTTTTCTTTCTTTTTTTTTTTTTTACTGTTAGAAATCTTTGTCTCCTGAAAACGTCTAGGAGCGGTATACCAAGTAGACGCATTAAAAAGAACAAAGCTCTCTCTGGGTTCAGTCTACAAAGCTGCAGGCACAGTGTCCCCGGTAAACAAAGGAAGAGCTTCCTTCTGGTTGAGATCACTTCCTTCTGGGGAGGCTGGCAGGTGTTAACGTTTTGGGTCTCCTGACTGATGCGCTATTTGCTGTGCAGTGTTCTGTCACCCTTCGTTCTACCACGACACAGACTTCTTGGGAGAAGAGCTGGACATCGTTGACGTAAAAGGGCACGAGGCGTGCCAGAACACGTGTACCGACACCATCCGCTGCCAATTTTTCACCTATTCTCCATCTCAAGAATCCTGCAATGGAGGCTTGTAAGACGCCAGAAGGGTTGCATAGTTGTTCCGGTCCCCTCTCCTTGCGAGGTGCATGGTGTTTATACTATTTTGTTTTCAACCTGCAGGGGTAAATGTTACTTAAAACTTTCTTCAAATGGCTCTCCAACTAAAATACTTCACGGGAGAGGAGGTGTCTCTGGATATACGTTAAGGTTATGTAAGATGGATAATGGTGAGTGTAATATTACTGGAGCTATTCTGTACTTAATTAACTTCATGACCAAAAGAGTCAGGAATAGTCACAGAAAGATTAAAGTATAGTAAAAAACACAATTTTTAAAAAAATATATAATCTTCATTATTTTTTTTCCCGTTACCATTTAGTCCCCTTACACCCTTTCCCCCCAACAATTTCCTGTTATTTTCCCTTCTATCAGCCAGGTTCACGATGTTTCAAGGGTAAGTCATGGGCCTGACTAAACTGCATGGCCTGGTATCCATTGAATATGTTTTAATGTGACACATTTGTACAGCTGGTATTTCATGGTGAAATCCAGGGTCAGCCAGCACTTTTATGTCTGATTTTTTGTTACGCTCTAGATCTCTACTGAGGCAGCACCGGTATACGGCTGATAATTAAAGCCATGACACTGGTGAGCTCATCACAGGATTGAATGCTGGTTCCTTCTTATTATCCTTCCTTATTATCTTTTCTGATTATCTTTTATAATCAAAATATCAACCAACCTGTTGGTTAATCAAGTTACTAATTTTCTTTCCATTGGCCATCACTTGATCTTTAATTGAAACATAAACAATCATCGTATGTTCAAAAACTGATGGCTCTATTCAAGAAGTCCCCTACTAGCTCCCTTTGGGGAGCCTTCATTCTTTTGAGTCCTGTATACTTACAAATACTGGCAAAAATTACAGTAAAATTTATTACTTTGTAGCAGTGTGTGTGCTAAGGTGGAAGTAAAAACATTGTCTAGATTAAACAAAGCCTACAATATAAAAATTAGGTCAGATCAGCAGTGTTTGCAGCCCAGTGGCCAATTCTGAGAATAGTAGTAAGAGACGGTTTGCAAGCAAACAGAATCGACCAGGCCAGTGATTTTCAACGTTTTCAATCTCATAGCATGCATAAACTAATTATTAAAATTCTGCGGCGCACCAAAAAATATAAATTTTCCAATATGACCGAAAAAATAGGTATAATTTTGATTCAGTCACACCAGATGGCTGTTGTGTTGCTGGCTGTTGTCATTTTTTAATTTGACAATCTCAGGGAAAAGAAGTTAAGTGCCCCTGACAAAATAGTAAGGTACTGCATGCTTTAAAAATTTTTGTAGCACAATGGTTGAAAAATCACTGATCTACACAATAGAATCCCCAATAGGAAAAAACATACCTTACACTCCTCCTTAAAATACCACAGCACCCTATAATATCTTTAGTGTTTATTGATTTACATAAAGCTGCATGTTTTTAGACTTTTATTACTTAGTGTCCAGGGGCTTTGCTAGGAATCTTTGGATGGCTCCTCTTCTTAACAAAGTCAGTCACGTAAGTTATATCTCACACATTCTTTGCTTTCCTCACAGTAAGTTTACCTAAGACAAGAAAGTATATCTCAGTTCTACTAAGCATTAAAAGAGACACTTAGCAAATTGTGTTGTTAGTGATGTCAACAGAGTTTACAAAATGAGAACCAGCACTTATGCCTTAAATTGCAGAACCCATTCTCCACCCTCCTTCTTTCACTATGTTCTTCTTGGTTGAACTTATGGCCTCTGAACTGTAAAGGTTACAGAAGGTGTCAGGTATAATTGATAGCTAAAGCAGAAAACATAAGGGAAAATAAAGTCTTATGTCTTTTTAATTCACCTTCTGAATGAAGTAAAACTAGATAATTCGGTTTTGTTGCACTGTATTAGGTGAAATAGGATCCTGTTAATATGAAAGGAAATATCTAATTGAGATATTTCTGTCTTCTAATGTCATTGGTCTATAATACAACTAAACTTTCTGAAGATACAGAACTACTGTCATCAAAAGAAATATTTCTTAACATAAAGGTGAATGCTAGACACAGATGGAATCAGAATCTGCATTTTAAAAGATAACCAGGCAAGCCACATGCACACCAAGAAGTAGAGTGACGCTGGCTAGGAGCACTTCCCTCCCATTCTTCTCTGTGGGTTACTGGGGCAGATTTGGCCAAGGCCCCAACCAGGTGGGCGGTTCTGGTGTTCGGCATTTCAGGAGGTAGACCTGGAATGGACTGTCCTGCGCGGGGCAGCCAAGACAGGAAAGGAAGACAGGAGGTGACTCTGAGTCAAAGTCCCTGGAAGGCATCAGGGGCTGCACCTAACATCCCAACTGTGAGCAAGACCAAAGAGCAGGAACAGCTCACAAACAGAGGCACAGCCCTGGTTTGGATGCAGATGGAGAGATGGAGCAAAGATCAACCCCGGGGCGGGGGTTCGGGGGCGCGGGGGAGAGCTGGGCAGAAGCTTCAAATGGAGTGAAAGGTGCTCGACTTTTATTTATTTATTTATTTATTTATTTATTTATTTATTTATTTATAACAGTAGCTCTCAAACTTGACAACGACTGATTTAAAGGAACAATCAGGGATGTCATTTGAGGGAGGGTAAGATGCTCTCGTAGCACCAGATGATGCATGCTTTGGAGGCATGGAATTACAAGGTGACTCGTGCATTTTCGTATGCGCGTGCTTTGCTTTAACACGTTGATTGTGAAGCTTCTTCAAACTCACGATAAATTATTGAATGGAGGGAAGGTTTCTTCCTTTGGTGACAGAATATAAGTACTGATGGAAAAATGATTTAGGAAGCTACTCATTTTCATCCTCCTGTTGTAGCATGTAAAACCAAAATCAAGTCCAGAATTGTTGGAGGAACGGCGTCTGTTCCTGGTGAGTGGCCATGGCAGGTAGCTTTGCACATCACCGCACCCACTCAGCGACACCTGTGTGGAGGCTCCATCATCGGAAACCGGTGGATACTGACAGCTGCCCATTGTCTCAGCGGGTCAGTACTGTGACTGATTTTACTTGTTCTCACCAGGCTCGCACATGTATTAAGTCTATCACTAGTACTTTAGTATGTTTCTAAAATGTACATTATCCTATTTGCTCAATTAGTTTTCTATCTTTAGTGAAAAAGAAAAAAGCAAAAAGGAAGAGGCACCCATGGTCTTCTAGCACCGGAACAGATGTAGGAACACAGCTGTTTGCGTGCTATTCCACATTCCCACTGAAATGTACACACATCCCCAGTGGAGTTTTTGTTATTTTCTATAAGAACATACCACCTTCTTTGCATTGTCCTAGAATTGGGCCCAAGACTAAAATCAATTTCTCTGTCCCACATTCATTCATTCATTCTGTCTCCTACTCTCTCATCTTCCCTCTTCTCCCTCTTTCTTGTGTGTGTGTGTGTGTGTGTGTGTGTGTGTGTGGGGGGGGAAGGGTGGAAAGAGAATTCATTCACTTTTGCATGCTTAATATAAGAGCAATGCTAGCCCAGGACCTTTTAGATAAGACAAATATGTGACTGAAAAGTCTTAGCATGAAATCACTTCTTTCTACCTGAAAGCCCATCACTGGCAAAAAATATTAGATAGTTAATAATAGCCAATTAAATAGCAAAATAATTCAAATGTCTGAAACTTATCTGGTAAAGGAAAGTTTTCTCCCCTGTTGTTTACTCCGTAGGATAGAGTCACCTCAAATTTTGCGTGTCTATGGTGGTATTTTAAATCAATTGGAAATAAAAGAGGATACATCTTTCTTTGGGGTTAAAGAAATAATCATTCATGATCAATATAAAACAGCAGAGAGTGGGTATGACGTTGCCTTGTTGAAACTGCAAACAGCTATGAATTACACGGGTATGTAGAATTTTAAACGGCAAGTGAACTACACGATGAGCTGATATCGTGGGTAGCGCCTCCAGGCCTGCGACCTGACCCTAGAGACCTCTCCGCCTGTTGTTGTTGGGAAAGGGCGAAGGCCTGCAAACTAGTCTTTCAGCCTGATTAGTGAGCCTTATTTGGGGGTCGGGGTGAACTGATAGTTTTTCTCTAGGCTTCTTCAGATGCATGGAATGGCAGTTCTAATAATATATTAATTGGGATGTTAAAGATGGTTTATAGCTTCCTGGGAGAGATAAAGGATTGAAGGTCGGAGCAGTAACCCAACTTGTCCCAGGTCACAGGCCTCGCTAGCGTAATGAATGCTGGCGGGGTTGGCGGGGTTGGCAGCGCGCGAGGCTCTGGCTTGTCTCGCCTTCCTCATCCTGGACTGTGTGAATAGGAGGGGTGAACCGGTGTGACAATGAAGCAGAAAAGGATAAGTAGAGAGCACGCTAAATAATATAAACAGAAACAAAGGTCTCCTGGGGAAGAAGATATATTTCATGTCTGATAACTAAACTATAATTTTTAAAATTTAGATCTTCAACGGCCCATATGCCTGCCTTCCCAAGGAGACAGAGATGTAATATATACTGATTGCTGGGTGACGGGATGGGGCTACAGAAAATTTAGAGGTAAAAAAATGACGTTTCTCTGTATGTTCCATTTTACAGATAAAGAACACAAATTAATCCTAACCTTTTTTGCTGTGTCAAGTCATACAGCTAAAATGCAAGTAAAATAATATTATTTCAGAAAGCACGCTGGTAAAGATGGAAAGACAAAATCCCCAAGTCAAGGGGATACCACGTCTGTTTGGAAATTTGAAATATGACAATCTTTGTAGAGACTAATTATTTTCAATGAGGTCTAATATGAAACCTAGCATTTTTCAGTAAAGCTTCTAGCCTGTTATCCAATCATTTTCTCCTGGTAGTAATTTCAGTTAAAACCTTAATTAATTTTCTAACTTAATTAACATTAACAAAATGATACAGTAGCGAGAATAATGTCTTTTTTACACTCTGTAATTAGAAAAGTTCTATGCGGTAAATTCAGTGTTATTTCTTTCTAGATTTTTATACAGATAACATTGTATTTTTAAAGACATTTATTTATATTTAAATACATATATAGTTATTCCATTAATAAACCAAACTGTTTTTTACAGACAAAATACAAAATACTCTCCAGAAAGTCAAGGTCCCCTTGGTGACAAACAAAGAATGCCAAGCAGGCTACGAGGGGCAGAGAATAACCAGTAAGATGATCTGTGCAGGCTACCAAGAAGGAGGGAAGGAGGCTTGTAAGGTAACTGTATTCTCCACCAACCGAGTCCAATCCCATTAGAACACGGAATGCATTTGCAAAAGCAGGGGACACAATGTATTCGTTTCACTGACGCTGAAGCTTATTAAAGGGCTACAGCGGGATTTGAGGTGAAATCACTCTGAGCAAGATATGTTTACAACGAGAAGAGTGTGGACTGACCCACGTGCCTGCTCTTTCCTTCCCTTGTCACAGGGAGACTCGGGGGGCCCCCTGTCCTGCAAACACAACGAGGTCTGGCACCTGGTGGGCATCACGAGCTGGGGCGAAGGCTGTGCTCAGGCGGAGCGGCCCGGCGTCTACACCAGCGTGGTCGAGCATGTGGACTGGATTTTGGAAAAAACTCAGGCAGAGTGAACGACTTCCCAGGTGCCATTTGGCTCCCTGAGGGGCAAACCCGATCTCTCCCTGGCAGAGAGTGTCGATGTCACTGAGGAAGGCACTGGGCCACCGTTTTCCTCCACAGGGGACGATCCTGCGACAGTAACAAATGGAAGAGGCTTGGTATTTGTAAGAATATACCAAACGAAAACAAAGAGTCGTGTTCAAAATTCCCCGCGCCGTGACAAGGGCAGTTTGTTTTCAGCCTCTTGCCGTTTGATCGCTCTTTGGCTGAGACAAAGAAATAGCGTAAGGTGATATTTTTGAAGATTAAAATATGGGCAGGTAGACCAGGACAGAATCGCGCAGAGGCGCCAAAGGATGACAGCTTCTAGTACAGGGTCTGGAAATCGTGTATGTTGAAATAATTTAGGAGTTTCATGAGCAGCTTCTGAAACAATTCCAGGAAGGGTGTGACCTTGAAGACATCATTTCTGTCATTATCATTTAATTCTATCCAATGAGAGTTGATGTGGGCATTGTAGAATTAAGCGAACAGCTTGTTAAGAGGATATCATAGACCTAAAATTCAGGAAGCCCAACCATTAGTGATTTGTATTGTTAATAATAATAGTCATATCATTTTGATGAACAGTATGAAAAAGCGTAGAAGTAAAAAGGTAACACACTTGCTACCGCCGCACACTGTGCTGTCGGCTTCGCTTCCTGTTACACCCTTAGCCCTCGTTACCCCATACAGGATAAGGTATTATCTCTCCCATTATAACACAATATAATGTTATTTTAGAGGCGAAAAGAAGAAAAATTTTCGACTCAATTCTCTGTTTTCCCACAAGATGGCACTTCTAACCTCTTTTTTGCTATATTACATACCATAGCATCTGGACAGGATGCACTTAATTTACAATGTATTTAAACAAATTTGAGTGTATATAATATCTGTAAAGGTGAAATCAGCTTCACTGCTTCCATACAAATTTGCTTTACTTTTCCAACATGACTGTTGTAAATATCTTGTCCCTGGATAGTAGCTTCTCCGTCAACCCATATGCTCCAGAGCCTCTGGGCTTTGGGACTTCGCGTCCCTTTAGTGACTGACGGTCGAGAGCCCCCAACAGGGGGTGCACAGGGGGCGGTATGCACCAAGGCGACCTCCCCAGACACCTGTAGGACTGCAGGGGGAGGGCTTACCCGTGTGCCGCTGACCCGTAGCTGTGGTCACGTGCCGTCTTGCCGAGCCGCGGGGCTCGGCACTGCCCGCGCCAGGCTTCTGTGGCCTCCCCTCCGTTGCGGCCGCCCTCCTCGCCTGTTCTCCACCGGCCCCCCGCCTGCCCAGCGGGACACGAGAACAGAAGCCTCTCTTTCCATCACTCAGAATATTGTTAAGATCCTGCTGCAATATTCAAAGCATAGTTTGGTGCATACGGAAGGCCTGTGATAACAGGAAAAAAAAAAGTACAGTCCACTCTATACACACATACACATGGATTTAGATACAATTGCTTCAACGCGCCAGGGGCAGGTTCCTCTGTAGAGGATCCCTCGCTGGCTCTGTGACCTCCTGGCCCCTGGCTTGCAGGGACCAGGTGAAGCGTTCTGCAACCACAGCCCCAACAAGGGCGAAGTCAGAGCTGATGAGGCCGAAACTTGTACTACGTTGTGACTTCGACGTAGAGAGCCTCTTACGGGCAACACTTTGCTCTGTTTACTTGGTGTGTCCTTTCATGCGGTCAGAAAAAAGGCCTGAGGTACGAATTTGTCCTGACTTGGGGACAGTGTCGAGTAAGCTGGCCAGCAAGCTGGGGACTTGGGGGACGAAACTGAAATGATGCTGGCGGAGAGAAAACCCTGAGGGGGGGAGGTGCAAGCCTTCGGAGGGCGACGTGAAATCGTCATAGGTTCCATGTCTGCCCACGAGAGGGCGCAGCGGGTCCGTGAACCGAATGCCAACCGGAGACTCCAGAGAGTTCAGAGAAACTGAGAACCTACTTGAAACCTCAAGGGCATAAATGACCCTCTCCATCCTCATGCTGCCTTCCATGCTTAGCCCTCCTGGGTTCAAAATTTCCTCGAGTCCTGGAGTCCAGCCTCAGCTTGAGCACCCTATAACAAAACTATAATTCAGCCCCGCTCGGCAGACAGTTTTAGGTGTGGTGGGGTATCGCGAAGGGCAGGTGCTCTCCGTCTTTATCCGGCTCCCACAAGGCTCACCTGGAGACCTCTGCCAGCCGGGTCATTGCAGGGACGAGCGGCAACGTCGCCCCGGTCCCACCGTTATGCCATCTGGCTAAAATCGCCTTCTCTGGAATTGAAAGGGAGGGAGGGAGGGAGAGGGAGGGGGGAGGCAGGAAGAAAAGCCCCTTCAGAAAGTGAGTTCAGAGGCTGACTCTGGTAAGTGGGGCCTGATGGGCAGGGTTTATTGTTTTTGTTTTGTTTGTTTGTTTTTGGTTTTTGTTTTTGTTTTTGAATGCCACATACATTGGGGGAAAGAAATAAAGGCTTAGAAAGTCATATTTTATTCAAATGAAGCCATCGAACTGGTTATCTAAGGAAGAGAGCGCAGTCCCTCGTAGAATCCAGAGCAGGCTTGTACACAGAAGCATCATTTGGGGATGAATTTCAGTTCAAGAGTTCCTTTTAAACTTACCCCAAGTCGCCATTGCCGAGGACTCAAGATGCAAATTATCAAGACTATTCGAAACTCCCAGAGACAAACTAAGGGAATTAACTGTTACCCATTATCCAGTTATCCAATTCAGCTGAGAATAATTATCACGATTGATTTTGAGGCCTGTAACTGCCATATTTCATTACTGAAGGTAAGAGATAAGGAAGAAACTTTTAAAATATCATTGGTAACTATATATGAGTGAGAATTATTCAATAGAGAAGAACTTACTGAAAATGTTTTTGTATTTCAGATAATTCAGATAGTTCTTTAAAAAACAATGAGTGGGGAATCTAAATTTAGCTGATTCACAAATTTTAAAATAAATGTCAAAATTTTAAAAGATTTTTTCTTGCTCTTGTAGATCTAAAAGAGTTATCTTTCTGTCAATGAATCAAGTCATATAAAATTTCTGTTAAATATTTCATTAGGTGCTTAGATGCTGAAAATCTTTCTCTTTTTAACTAATGGAAGTTTTTGGTTTAGTTCATATTCAAATTACCAAAAGCAGTTATTTAACAGAATTTTAAATGCTTGAGAAATTTTTAATAGTATTTTACGAATGTCTTGAAGAAAATTTGCAAAATACATCACAATACGAACAATAGAATAAAAGCTACCCATGATCCAGCACTGCTCATACCCTGACTTAATTCTTTCCAGTCTTTTTTATATTTCTAGAACCTATAAAAGACAGCTAAAATGGAAACTTCAGAGCAATGTCATATATGAATATAGACAGAAAAATTTAACAGGAAACCTAGGCACATAGAATCCAAATTTTCATTAAAAATGAGAGAAATCATTAATTGATGAAAGTGGATCTGGACCGATTTGACCTCTCAATAAACGTGAGGTTTTTTTGGTAAATAGTCTTTTATGGTTAGAGGAAGTTTGTCCACTATGCATCCCCTGTCCCCACTAACTGCCTATAAGATAGCATGTGACAGAGACAGCAACTGGAAGACCCAATTCTGCCAATTGTGCAGACATTTATTAGTAAGTGTGCACAAAAACAGTTACTCGGCCTGTTCTCACAGCTGTTGGATTCCCTGCCCTCGGTCCTCAGGCACCAGCTTCACATCTGGCATGAAAGGTTTACTGAGCGGGGAGCACAAGGTTCTGCCAGGAGAACCAGTCCGCCCTGCGTGGGATTCAGCAGGCGAGTCCAGGATCAGTGAGGCTCAAGCCTTAGGGCTTAAACTCAACACGGGAGAAACAGGATGGGACCTACAGACTCTTCATGCTTCATCCATGCGAAGGCAGCGAGGCCTGTACGGATGTCTCGCTAGCCCCTGCCATCCTAGACATCAGAGTAGATTCTGACAGCATCCTGTGAAGTACAAAGTAACCACATGGACTGCTGACTCTGGAATAGGGTACATTACATGCCAACCACTCTTCGGTTCCTGTTTAGGGTTACTGTCACACACGTACATGACACTGTCTATACTAGTGTCCTGGTTTTCATCCTTCCTTTCACCTAGTTTCACCCAGGCGTCAAATGATCCTATTGAAATACACGTCTAATTATGGTGCCCTTGGGTTTCGCTGGCTCACAAAAGGCAACTTTCCCATGCCGGCCCATCAGGCACACACAGTGAGGAGAGACTCAACACGTATTTTTACACCAATAATTGAATCAAAGGACCAATGAATACAAAAATATTTTAAAAATAATTTGCCATATGGGCAACATAAATATTTTGTCGTATTTCCAGTGAGTTTTTAAAGTATCCTCACTTTAATATTCTTAATTCTTTTATATACTTGCAAAATGACAAATTGCTCTCCTGCCCTAAGGAAGCTTCTGAATTAATCTAAAGATAATTTAAATACCAGAAGAAACTTGTTATTGTGAATTTTATTTTTAGCACCAACATAGTTCACAGTGAAAATTCAAAGTGTCATACTGTCAAAGAGACGTTTATTTTCATTAACATTCATATTTAATATTTATTATGGCCTCGCAGATAATCATACTGCTACCTTCTCAACCTTTCATTTTCTTTTCTGATTTTTAAAATAATATTGCCCTATGGATATTTTTAAGAAGTAAAAAAAACCACACTAAAATGTATAGCACCCAAGACTGCCAAAATCATATGAATGTCAGGAATGAGATTTTACCAATTGGACTGCATCTTTTTCATTTTCTTATCAATTTTTTAACTACTATCAATAAGTTACTTCCTAATTCTGAAGCTTCTAGGCGCACTCTCTGCCCTGCAGGCGTTCTGGCCCCTCTCAGAGAATAGGATGTGACATGTGACTGCAGGGGCCATGACCAGCTGATCAGTGACTCCCTGCAGCACCCAAAGACGTCCCTGTCCCGATGTTCAGAACCTGCGAATATGTTACCTTACAGAGCAAGAGGGACTTGGCCGGGTGAGGACGTGAAGTGTCTTGTGCTGGGGGGAGATTATCCTGCATTATCCCAGGGGGTGCAGCGTGACCGCTGGGG